CTGCGTGTCAGATTTTTCTTAGTGGATGTCATAAAAGTTTCTAGAGCTAAATAAAGACAAACAGAAATATTGATCCTTGGCAGTAAAATGAAGAGGTTCTTTAGCTTCATATACCAAACCTTAGACTCTGAGCTCGGATTTATCCTGCATGTAAACGCAGTCACTAAAGTAGCTTTCTATCATTTGAGAAATACTGCTGAAGTTTGGCCTTTTCTATCTCACAGCAACACAGAGAAACTTCATCATTTCGTTCATGCATTTCTTACAAGCAGAGTTGATCACTGTAATGCTCTACTTACTGGACTTCCTTAGAAAGCAATATATCCCTTACAACTCATACAAAATGTAGCAGCATGAATCCTAACAAAAACAAAAAAGAGAGATCATATATCACTCCTGTTTTAAAAGAACTGCACTGCCTACCTATATTTTTCAGAGTAGATTTTAAAGTTCTGCTACTAGTTTTAAGATGATAAATGGCTTTAAAGAACCTGCATAATTCATACAACGTCTATGTCTGTCTATCCAGATCTTCAATCTGCAGATACTGGCCTTCTGCAAACACTCTCCATAAAATACACAAAACGTGGAGAGACTCCTTCTGTTATGTGACTGATCTGCAGAACTCAATTCCACCTTTTATCAAACAGTCAAGTTCAGTGCTCACTTAAGATAAATATATAAAAAAATAATAATAAAATATCTTTAACTTAGCATTTAATTAAAATTCTGCATATGTTTAACATTTATCTTTTTCATTTTATCAGTCACTGCTTTCTATGTTTTACATTAAGAAATGAAACACAACTACAATTTCTGCCACTGGGAAGTAAAAAGTGAAAGTGCTCTCATTATTGTTATTATTATTAATGTTGAACTGAAAGCTGTCCACTTTTCCCATGGAGATTTAATGGAAAGAGGAAGGCTTCACAGTACATGAAACCTTCTGAACTCAGCAGCTGTAGTTTAAAGCTGCTAAACTCTCAACAGCAGTTCAATGAAAATGAAGGTGGGGCACTCATGAAAACTGCTAATCTAGGCTATTTCACAATATCCCACGCCTGAGCAATGAAATCCACCTTTTGAGTTCCCCAAATGTCACTATATAAGGCAAACTCCACCCATGTTTCCAAATTTCTGCATTATTCAGTGGTTGAGATGTGAACAGTCATTCAGAGTGGTTTGAGGTGAAATTGTTCATTGTAGAGAAGTTTACTGATTGTTTTCTTTACAGTGGTGTTGACAGGAACCAAAGGTCACAATGTCTACAACACAAAATATAGGCTTTTTATTTACTATACAAAACCACCAGTGAACCTACACCTGTCTGAGATTTTATATGTAATACTGACAAACGTTAAAATAGTGAAAAAATATGTTTTCTTTGGGGACAATTTTGCCTAATGTCACTCTGCATGAATCTTTCCACCATGAATGGCCTTAAAAATATGTATGCTTTAGTTTCAAAACCTTCTAAAAGCTATTGTAAAACAATGCTTCAGACATCAAGCTGCCATTTCATAACCATTCCATGAAATAGGTTTTTTTGTGACTTTTAGAAGCATTAAATTCCAACTGGTTCACATCACCACCACTGACTTGGCAAGTTTCTCATTTTCCCATCAAACCATGCTTATTATTATTTTTTTTTTTTAACAACTTAACCATTTAATTATGCAGAAATTTCGAAAAATGGACACATTTCCAAACAAGCTATCCTAGTGGTCTGTAAAAACACACACATCTTCTTTGTTTGGCTTTTCTATTCACACACAAGGCTAGAATACAATGCTGAAAAAAGGATACTGGATAGAAAAGAGGACAGCACTGCACACTGCCCTCAATCCAGGGAAGTTTCAAGTTTACCGAAAAGCAGAAATAAGAAGCAGCATCAATTTATGTACTCTGAAAAAATAAAGATGCCACAAAAAAGTAAAAAAAAAAAAGGGTGTGAAGCTTTTTTTCTGTTTTTATCTCTTCACATAAACCTTTACATCTTGTGGAGGTTTTTTAAACTTTAAAAAAAGGTTCTTCACATTCACATTTCCCTTTTCAAAAATGGTTCTCTGAAGAACCATCCATTAAAAAGGTTCTTTAGGGAACCAAAAGTGGCTGTTCTAAGGCATTGTGCAAAGAACCCCTTCTGCCACCTGTATTTTAAAGAATGTAGGGCTGCAACTATCAAATATTACTTTGATTATCTGAAAATTCCATAAGAATAAAAAACTCGATGCATATTTCACTTTAATACCTAAATGGCACAAAGCCTTTTTTTATTTTTATTGTTGCTTTCATTATAATTGATATTATTATAATTGCAATTGTCTTATTCTTATTGCTAACAATTAAACATTTATTCATTTTTATTTACAATATGTTATTATTTTTCAGTGCAAGTTGCATTAAAATGCTAAATCCTGGCAACCCTGAACAGGTTTCCTGTTTCCTTGAGTTACGAGTCGTGCCAAACTGCAATCTTTAATGAGTCTAGTGTGCAAAGCAGGCAAATGTGTCCTACTGATGACTAGAATTAAGATGGCTAAACAAGTATTTAGTTCCCCACAAAATGCAAGAGTTCATATTAAGAGTAAACAGGCCAGTAACTTGTATGACTAGTCCATTTCTAAATATTTTAATCATCAATCAAACAATCAACCATAATTATGACTTCCAGACTCCTGTGCTTCAGCATTCAACACTTGATTCAAAAAGTAGCATTTCCCCAAACAGCTCTAAAAGTTCTTCTAGCTGCCCCTGTTGCGACACACGAGGTTTGAGTGAACTGGATACAAAAATAGAAATTTTCAATTTCCATGGAAAGAAACTGTGAAACTAAGATAGGAATAAATCACCTCTCTTAGGCTACGTTTACACAGCAGGTAAAAGTGGCCCAAATCCGATCTTTTTCCTCAAATCTGTGTGTCTGTGTGAACAGCAAAAACCGCACTGAATCTGACATTTTCAATTCCGATTTGAGACGCTTTCATATGTGGTACTGAAATCCGATACGTATCCGGTCTGCGGCAATGCGACTCAGTCTGAACAGCCAGATCGGAATTCATGCGACTTTTACGTCAATCCAACTCGACATTCGTCATAATTTCGCGCTGCTGAGACTCAAACATTTAGGCTGATGTTTTTGTACCAAAGCATTAGAAGAGACTCATCAAACCGCTCCGTGTTCGAAGAGGTTTCGAACGAACGAGAGCGAGGCTGCAGCGTCGGAGAACAGTTTAAAGAATCCGAGGATACGAACCAAAGAAGTGGCCGTGGCCGAATAACGAGCCCTTTTACGGCGAACACATTATGGGTGATGTCAACCACTGGAACTTTATACTCGCTCCTGTGATGCTGGCGAAGACGAAGCTGAAAGCTCCGGGAGCGACTATCGTTCGCTGGCCGTCATGACTGTTTACCTCTGGACGAGCCGCCACGTGAAACATTGTTCTTTTGCGTATGCGGGTCAGTTTAGGAGCTGATCTGTTCAGACTGATGTTGCATACAGGTCACATTTAAAAGATAATGTCAACAACCAAACCAAAAAATCGGTTTTGGTGAGAAAATCAAGATTTGGGCCACTTTTACCTGTGTAAACGTAGCCTTACACATGTGGCCACTCAAAGGACAAGCAGAGGATGAGATGAGAAGTAAACCTCTGAAGTAGGAACACACTTGCTTTCAGCTAGGCTGCCCTCAGTGAGCTAACTAGCTAAGAAAACTTTGCATTGCAAAATAAGTTGATCAATAAGTTAATTCAATTGAAGTCTGTATTTTACTGCTCTGCCTTATAAACAGCATTTGCTTTGAAGAAAGGAAAATAAGTAAAAAAAAAAATCTTAAAAAAAAAGTTTCGAAAACTACTGTTTAAAACATTAGTTAAAAGATGTAGAGAAAAAGACTCTCTGACTCTATGGTCTCTGACTTTAGCAGGATACTGTATGTTGATGCAACTTCTCCCTCTTCCAAGACGTCTTCTCATTGGCTATGACAGTAAGGAATCAGCACTTAACATGGCATTGAGGATGTCCCAAAAGGGAAATGTTGATGGCAAGTTGCCAGGGGTATGTTTAACCAGTATAAAAAAAAACAAGGCTGCCAAAAGATTATTCTATTTTTCTCCCCAACAGAAGGTTCACTGTCAAACCTTTTCTTCTGTCATTCATTAAATAAAGTAATTTCTTTACTTACTTACTTCTGAACTAAATATCAGAAAAAAAGAATCAAGCTGTCGATATAACAAACATGGTGTTACATGTTCCCCTTAGCATGATCAGTTACTCTAGCACATACAATGGCTTTAAAACCTTTTTTTTAGGACGGTGCCCCAATCAATGGAATGAAACTTCCTATTTTACTTAAGTTTTTTTATTATTATTATTATTATTTTCAAAATTCCACTTTCATTAAGAAGTACATGCAAATGCAAATAACATACAAAAGAAATTACAGACTTAAAGAACATCTCTAATATGCATTTTGCCAGAAAGCAACCAACATAGCCAACTTATTTCTGGGCTAATTAGAGGGAAACACTTGAGGATCAAATATTGCTGTGTGTTAAACACAAGCCAGGAGTTTATCACTGTGAGACATGTAGCTGTGGGGTCTGGAAAATCTAAAATTTCAATATATAGTTCCACAGTGAAACTGCAGATGACAAGCAAGCTAAAAGGGAAGCCCTGAATGACCTGTTTGAACATATTCTTTTTTCAAGGTTACTGACTGCCTTGCTTTATACAGGACTTACCTTCAGTGCTCAGGCAATTACTGCTCAGGCCAATCTGCCATTCATCTTTTATGCCTTTGGTTCTTTAAGCTGCAGAGTAGCTACAACACAGATTATGCTTGGGAGAGGTATCAAAGGTGGAGGACTAAATGGACTGCATGTCCAAAAAGGCTGAAAAGACAGCATTTGTGAATCGTGCAGAAGCCTGACAATTAGTTCTGACATACAACAAAATAGCTTAACAAAATGTCTCTACAGGGCTTAAGGTAAAACCGCCCTGCAGAGCTTTAGTGCAAACGAAATGAAGTCCTTTTGGGGATGACAAACAGAAAGGCTTTGGTTTGTCTTTTTAAAATCAAGCATATTGATGTCCATATGCAAAAACAGGAAGACTCCACTAAGGCTACTGACTATTCCCTTCTGAGCTACATTTGCAGCAGCTCCTTAGACTCTTCATTTCAGTCCCTTTGAGAAACAGAAGCCCAGAACAGCCCAGGTGCTTTAACACTGTTAAAACCAAAAAGATGGTTCCAGAACATTGCTATAGGGGAAACTCTTCTTAGACTTTTATTAGGATTTAAAAAACTGACTGCAGAGAACACACATTCAAGCAGGTACCCAAATAAGGCACGTTCAAGGTTTCACCTTGTCTTTTCCAGCCTCCTGAGTACATCCCCCATAACTACTGTGCCTGAGTGAGACATGTTGGAGTAAAACTTCTTGTTGAAAGGGATCAAGAGCTAGGATTTGGTGGAGTGTTGTTTGGGGTTCATGGCGGCCTGTCTGGCTTCTTCAGGAAGGAGTGTAGGGTCGGTCAAGATGGAGGTGGTGGTGCTCAACTGTCGCAGTGTGCCTAAAACCACTGTGAAGGAGAGGGGAAAAGACACAACGCATACTGTAAGTGTGAGGAAAAAGCTTTTTTTTTTGCTGTATTTGTTCCAAACAAGAGAAAAAACCCACCACAACTTACTGACATCTCATCAGACTTGTAAATTGTACACTATGGCTCTGATTTACTAAACGTTTGCGTGTTTAAACCGTGCCAAGCTGAAACACTAACAGGGTCATAGAAGATGTGTCTTTTATATGAGCAAAAACTGATGTCTGGCTTTCCCTTATTAAAAATGCAATTTGGTGCTTTTCTTTCTGAGGTTGCAAAATATAAAGTGGTATTGACGTGAGTGATATAAACTTTACTGTAACATCACTCTTCAGGTAATACTGATATAAAATCATAACTTTAATAAAAATCTGAATTAATTGATAAGAATATCGTTATTATTGCTACTGTAACAACATATTTTATTACCATACTTTTATAAGCCATACAAAGTTAATATTGGTAAAAGATTCATTCTTAATTTTGTAACACCTGCTGTATCTAATAAATGCAGCTCAGTATTCCACACTAGGGATGTCTAAAGTGCCAATATTCAAACAGTGAAATAACTAATGAGCTGTTTTGGTTTATTGCGGAAAGACGGAGAAAATGCACAATTCGGTGAAACAAGGATTTTATGCTTTAACTGAACTGTGCAATGTGCTGAGTTTCCAAACGAATGTGGAGTCTAATCATACGTTCCTGTCCACATCTTACATCCCTTGATTTCCAGTCACGATTTGCACAATGTTACTGGATGAATCACACATTTCAATTAACAGAACCTCAAAAGGCACATGTAGATAGGTATGTACCTGCCTTGCATGAAGAAAAAAAAAGTTCTAACTTGCAAACTCTAGCCTTTGGAAGTTAAATCAGGATGGGGGTGTGATATAGAGCTTCACACCAGCTTTAGTATGGCTACACTGCTACCTAGGCTAACTACTCTAGCTGATGTTAGCTAGGTCCACAAACAGTGAAAATGTATTTCTCTGACAAAGTAACATGTTGGCACATTAATCACCTGTAAGAAGACGATAAGTCCTAAATACCATCTAGTGTTGTACTGGTTAGCTCTGTTAGCTCATTAGCTGCCCTGAAGAGTAATTCAACATTCACTCATTCAACATGACAACTTACCCATTTCCCTTGGCTGTTTTTAAATAATAATACGTTTTAAAACTGTGTGCTGCTACACTAGCGCTGTCACCTAAAATGCTAAGCCTACAGCCCTACATTAATTTCACCCAAAGTCTTTCATTTATTTATCTTAACTTCCTTGTGGTTAACCAATTTACCATTATGGATACTCAAACATCAAAGTCAAACCTATCTCGATTAACATAGTCAAATATATCCTAAAGTCAAAATCAACATCCCCTTTCCACACATGCTAAGTTTAATGCTATTGCCTAGTTTTGGACTGTTTTTAAATGAAAGCTGAGAAATATCCGGCTAAATAGTGTTCAACCAAAGACATCAAGTCACTGGCAAAAAAAATAAAAAAATAAATAAAATTTGACAAAAACCTGTGAAAGGAGGCTGATGAATCACCAGCATGAATCGAATTAAAAAGGTTTCCCTAAAGTTTTGTACATGGAATAATAAATCAATATCTCAAACCCTCTTTGCTGTTTAATGGCTTTAATATTAGCAACTGAACTTCATTTATAGTTTATTTTATTATGATTTGTTTAGCTCTGTCAATCAAGTCTCAAACTATTTTAGAACTGATAAAACTTCAAATTTTTTAAAATTTAATTTTACAGTGTTAAGCCATGAAACCAACTTTAACCTTTCTTCTTCTAGGTCTTCTTCTACAATCCTACACAACTATAAATGTGTCACTTTTGTATATTTTTCCAGGAAACACAAAGTGCAAAAATTGAACAGGCTCACATGGGATGTTTAGAATGCTGATCAAGCCGGGGACTTCTCTGAATGACAGGAAGAGGAAAAGAGCAATGACAGTATTTCCATTAACAGTAGAATAACACCCACATAAGGAAATCAGCTTAATCACAAAGAGCACCATAAACACAAAGCTAAAAAAAAGTGGGACAGCAAGCAGCTTCTGCTCTTTTGTCACCCCCAATTCGATTATGCTGAAGAGTCTATGTTACTTCACGGAATGTCCATTTCATCAGTCAGTCATTTTTAAGCAGAAATACCCTTACTCCATGCTGCCACTGACGAAGGGGTGGGTGTTTGCAATTCCACAAGCAACACTATTATGTCTTTGGGGGTGCTACAATCTAGTATCGTCCAATCGGATATTTGTATTTTTGATAATACAATCACACATTGCACGTTTTATGTACACCGACGTTACCAATACCAATCCAAAGTAAATATGCTGCCAATTATGTTAATATGCCTCAATATTTTTAGTATGTTCACAGTCTGACACAGGGGTGGGCAACATATTATTTTATCGCTATTGTGATAAATTACAGTCATATGTAAAAATTTCCTGGTCAAATGACACATTTTGTTGACTTTTCACTTAGAAAGTCAACAAAATTTTATTTATTCAGTTCAGCAAGTACTGAATAAATAAAATGTGGCCTGTATATAAGTTACACCACATTTAAATTATACCAAGCCCAGACAAGCAAACTGATCTTGTATTAGTCATATTTTGAGGAGAACTAATTCATTGTGAAGACCTGTGTGCTTGAAAGAGTTGAAGGTAAAATAGGAAGAGGATGACCAGCAACAAAATGGATGGACACAATCAGAGGAATCATGAACCAGCCAGGCAGAGGCCTAACAACTTAACCAGAAGACAGGCAATTCCGGAGAAACACCATACATATGTTTGTCAGGAGTCAGAAACGACTAGACAGTACTTAATCATAATAATAACTTCGCAGAGAAGGGAAAAAAAACAAAAAAAACAATTCAGTACCACATATAAAAAAGTGTCAAAAATCGGAATTAAAAATGTTTTTTGCTGTTCATACAGCCACAAATATAACACATCTGTGTCACATACGAAGAAAAATTCAGATTCAGGCCACTTTTACTTGCTGATATATACAATCTATGTTTTTTTTTTCAACCCAATCCAAGTTAGCAGGATATGCTAGGCTGCCAATTACTTTACTATGCTACAACAAATTGAATTTATTCCCTGTATGTGCATTGTGTGACACTTCTGTGACTACATTCAGAGAAAGGGGGGAAATCTAAACTAGACTTCTTACTAAACTATCACTTTAAATAATTTAAAACCGATACTTGGGATTATTAAAACTAATGACATCCCTAGACCTGCAGCAACAATCACCACCATCACTCATAAGAAAACGTACTAGGTCTGAGGACGGGTAGGGCACAGTCACGGTCCAGCCACTGCATGGTGGTCTCACATAGCTCGCTCTGGTTGGTGGTGGAGACGCTCCCATTGAAGGACTCAAACAAAGGCTTAATGATGATGCTAAACTGTAGAAAAACTGTTAAAGAAATTAATACAGATGGGCCAAATTTCCATTGTTTACCTTTGCACTACATTTCTCTTACTGAAATATGCTTCTTCTCAACACTTTAAAATTTGTTACCCTGTTTCACGTTTTTCTTCCATTGCCCTTCACTGTTCTACATCTATTTTGTACAAATGTCAAATGTGCAACAAATCTTGTTTGATTTTGACCAAGTCATGTAACAATTTAGTGACAGTTTAGTTGATAACCTAAGTTTGAAATCAGCTTTCTCAATGTTAACTCACTAAAAACAGTTTTATTTTATCACTGTAGCTCCCTATCTACTTGTAGCTGTCTAGTTTCTGGGACCATAATACAGACAAACTCGTTTTTCTGATCAATGAGGCCATTTCTAAGGGAGGCAAAAGGATACGATCCAAAACTTCCAGTTCTGAAGAGTTCTGTTCTTCACATATTCATCAAACTTCTCCTTCATGTGATCAAAGCGCTGACGGGTTATTGGCACCCCTGTGGCTGGAAGCTGCTCCTGACATAAACTGGGGGAAAAAAAAAAAAGTTCTTATATACACGCTGATGCCTGGTTCCACAATTTTTATCTTCTCAGTGCAATAATAAAGAAATCAATGTGTGTGTGTGTAAGTAAATCGAGTATTTTGAAACTGCTTAAATGTGGCTCAGACAATCAGACTTCAGAACCGGAACACAACGTTTTGTGTATTTTGATATTTTGATAGGTTGCGTCCTTGAATTTAGGTTTGGCAGTTAACCATCACCGTGAATCACAATAAGAAGTCAAAAGAATTTGTCAAAGCTTGCAACCTTAATATAGTGTATTACATACAGGGGGTGTACAAAATGACCAATTCACCATATGAAGTACTAATTCATTGGCTATTTTATCTGGTACACCTAACAGACAGGTGCAGTTTGTAGGTTTACAATTACTGACTGTAGACCAACTGTTGCTGCACAATTCATCATCTACCTTTTATCACACCCATCAACGCAAATGGATCACTACAGATCAGACATGATTTGGGTGGTGGACCATTCTCTGCAAGTAATGACACAGTCATGGTAGTGTTGCACTGCTACGAGTGTTGCCATCACTGCTGGGTTGAAAAATATCGGCAACAAGTATGACTACAGTATGAGGTGTTTTCATCCCATAAAAATAATAATTGTTGAATTTAGAGCTGTTTATAAGTTTAGCATTTGTCAACTGCTTCTTTATTTGACTGTTTGTAAACTGAATTTTTGCTGCCACAGTTCTTTGCCACTGATAAGTAAAGCTAAACTCTCCACATTCGAATGTTTGAACTGGTTCACCAATATGTTTACGCCATTTGCAAGAGTAAGACATTTTTATAGCAACACATTGGTTGGTTGATAACATTCAGATGCCGCTTTAGAAACTTCAGTTACACTCTTTAATATGTGACATTAATGTCACCATTGACTGATTTGGGACAGCATTAGCAGATTATGGCACATAATTAACATTAATTATAATTAAGAAGATACCAAACTAACTTAATGGATGCATTTAACTCCTCGATTTCTTCCCGCAGCCGCTTCGTCTCTTCCTGCATCTGTTGCCTTTCCTGCTGCAGCTTTCCAATGTACTCCACCGTCTTTTGAAGTGTTGTAGCATTACTGATCTGGCAACCAAAAGAGAGAGTTGGCAATTCAGTCTCGCAATAAACAGATGAAAATTCAGACAAAACTCAGGTATCAATGTGTCTGGATAAATATCTAGATAAATGGTAGCCTACATTAGCCTAGTGACTTCTGTGCAAGCTTTCACCAAAAAGTTGGCTTTTTTTTTTTTATAGTTTGCTACTGTCTTTCTGTCTCACAACAAGTGTTGCAGGACTCAACTCTACCTGAAGCAGATCTTTATCTGAACTCTGTAGATTTATTCTGTAGACTGTGTCAAAAACTAGCATCTAACAAGAAATAGATCTTTGTCTTTATCCATGACATTTGATTGTCTGTACAAAATGGGACCAGGCACCCGTAAGCATCTTGGGTCCAAACGTAGTGCAGTATACTCTCATTAGCCAGAAGACTAAAGTTAGGGTGGATAGATTTGAGATTCATCATCAGGGAAAAAGAAAAAATTACATACTTAAACAGAAAATTACACTGAAGCCAACTAAACATTTTTCAGTATTTACTGTGCCCGCCCTTTACCTTTATTACAGCTTCCATTCTCTGCTTTTAGTGTGTTTAAAGAAATCTGCAGGAATACTTTCCCACACTTCTGAATCTCATGACTCAAGTAATCCTAATTACAAATTTAGACTATGTATAAATAAAACTGTAGCCCAGTTTCAGTGTTCTAGGGCAAATCTTTTCTTCTTTTTTTCCTTTTTTCATTGAGGGCTTCTTGACAGCTACACATCCTTTCAGACTCATAGCATTGAGCTGTCTTCCTTTAGTGGAAGGACTGACAGAAACACCTGTGGATGTTTTCAGATCTGAAGTATATCTTTCAAAGATGTAAGTTTTTAAGGGCTGTTAATTTTATGGTAACTGCTTTGGTTGTTTACCAGGCCTTAACACTGTTAAGTCCCATTTTCTCTGTAGTTTTTAATCATTTTTTGAACTCCAGTTTTGGAAACTCCTTTTTCACCAATTTCCCTTTGACTTTCAACCCTCTTATGCAAGAGGACTATCTTCTATCTAATCGCTTTTCGAGGTAATGTTGTTGCTTAAGTGAATGTTAGTGTCTCTTTGAAGAGAAACAATGTCAGTGAGTTTTTCAGGAACAGGGATTGTTGGGAGGACACAGCTGGAACTGGTTGGTTTTAAGACTGGAAGAATGGAAGTGTTAAAGTCACAGTAGGAGCACAAAAGTAAAGAATCGACAAATTAATTACTCATATTTAGTGATATGTTTTATGTTTAGATATATTTACTGTTGGAGGATCATGTTTTCATTATTTGTAAACAAAGCTCTGCAGCTGGTCTTGGAAAATGCTTATTACCCAAGCACTGTTATAGTATCAGTATCACTGTGAATCCCTGGTGAGTACTGAAAAGTGTCTGCAAGTGAAGCAATTAAAATAAATGACAATTACATTTGCATTGGACTGAGATTTTAGAGTAGGAACTAGGCTGCAGAGCGTCTTGAAGCCAATGTTGATGTTGGATCGCCTTTTCTGCTCAGCTGATATGTGGTTCACACGACGACTCTGCATAAGATGAGCAAACAAAGAAACAGAAAAGACAAGAGAATTAAAAGAACTACATGACAAGAATAAGATAAAACTACTAATTCTCCTTAGTACTTTTAGACTGTCATAAACAACTTGCTCGAAATGCAGCTGTCAAGGTATCAACTAAAAAAAAAGGGGGAAATATTTACATATTACTTACGTCTAGGCTTGGGCGATAGGGCAATACGATCGGATATCGCAGAGTAGTAAGTAAGCTGATCACTATGCTTCACAGGTAGTAACAGTTTGAATGAACAAAAAGACACATTTAACTTTAAATAGTCTGCTAAATAATACTGAATAATATGTATACAATTTACTGTTTTATTCCCCTTTACCAATTAAACAATGGATTATGAGGCTATGGTCGAGTAAAATTTCCTCCATCTGTTCAGCATGTTTCCTTACACATTCTGAGGAGAACATTAAGCATTTTCCATATAGCTTAAGTGTCCCAGTGGTTCAGATGAGTTGTAAAATTCTAAAAATATAATAATTTATGGTTCACCACAGGTATCTACAGCTACACAGGTATCTGCAGAATGCCGGCACTACAACAAAAGAAAATGCCATTTTTTTTTTTTTATTTAAAGCACACAGACTTGGCTTTACATGACTTACTCATTTACTCAAATATTACAAATCTAGTAAGTCTGGAGTTAATTTTTTCTTTTTTTTAAAAAAACAGGAAAGTATTGCACTAATTAATTTTAAATCTTTAAATCTTAAATCTTCTTAATTGCACTAATTTTAAAAAGGTTCATTAGAGAAAGTGAGAACGCTGCCATCTGAACCTACAATTCACACCTTTAGCTAACCCGAAACCACACCTGAAGCTAGCAGTTACAATTAAGCACTAGGTTCTACAAGACAGCCTTGTAACTAACAGAGTCTAAGCTAGAGAAAGTCTCAACTCAGAGACTACCTTAACCAGCAGAAAGACTATATTTCAATTAGAAGACAAGCACACTCCTTTGGTGGCACCAAGTCACTGGTTTTCATAAAGCTATTTCTCAGTATGACTGGCAAGCCTCTAAGAGTAGTAATCAATCATCACTGGCTAACCCAAATACTTCCGCCACCGGTCATCATTTGTTAACTAAAAACTTCTGTCCAACAACAGGCTCGCTGATGACTAATAAGTAAGCAGATCACTATGCTTCACAGGCAGTAACAATTTTTGGGAAAGCAAACTGAATGAACAAAAGGACACATTTAACAGACTGCTAAATAATACTTTATTCAATATTCACTACTGAATATTAACTGTCAATTTTTCATTCATATTGCTCTTGTCATGTTATTGTTTTGCTATCTGGTGTTGACAAGAGCAGGATAGGTTCCCCTTCTGAGTCTAGGTTCCTCTCAGTGGTTCATCCTCATGCTCTTAGGGAGTTTCTTTTTGCCAGTGTCACCCCTGGCTTGCTCATCTGGGGCCTGGACCTGGCTTTCTATAAAGGTGCTTTCTGACCATGTCCATTGGTGGGAGGGTGATGTCCCCTTAACCTTTTGAAATTATGCAAGGGAATTTTTGTGGGGTCTAGCTTATATTATTGAAAATATATTCTATAAAACCTCCCACACCAGTTGTATTGCTTTGTCATTGCAGGCTAAAACAGAGCGTGACTGCATAAGTGAAAACATGTCATGTGTCCACTGAGCTGTGCCAAAAAGAGTCTTTGTCAGTGTGCAGCAGTGCTTACTGAAGCAGGCAGCCTAACAGCCTGACTTTTCTATTTCATTTGAATCAATATTGTGAGACTATCTATCTGTCTACACTACAAAGTGCCCACATACGTAATTGCTGTTAATTACAGTATTATTTGTTTTTGTCTTAATATTGAAATATAAAGCACTAAGTAGCATGAGAATACAGTAACTTTGCGTGCTTTATTTACTAGTGATGTAACAATCCATCGTTCTGTATCGCTGCATTGACTCAAATAGCAAACGATCCGGTGCATCGATGTGACGCATAAATATCGATGCACGCACAAACATTATCTGCATAATTCCTCTTTGTGCGCTATGCTCCACTTAAGCTGTAGGGGGCAGCATGTTGCAGTCCACCAAATACGTGCTTGTGTTTAACAACTAACAATGCAGGAGCCATCTACCAGTCGTCCGAGCAGTAGCAGCGAATAAAACAGAGTTATACACTCTCCTGTTGGTTACAAGTCATGGGTGTGGAAACATTTCAGTTTTCGAAAAAATAACGGACAGACAGGCAAGACCTTTGCCGTTTGCAAAGAATGTAAGTGTGAATTAAGGTACTCGGGTAACATCACAAACTTCTCAACTAATTAGTTCAACTAAAACAGCGGCATGGTGTTGTTGAAGCCGATGGCTTGAACACGAGAGAGACTCCCGTACCCACATCACCGTTGACCACCTTCTTTCCTCAAAAATTGAGTCTCACTTCCGAAAGAGTGATGAATATTACGTCTGCAGCTTGCTGTTCCAAAACATGTCGCTCCAACATGTCGAATGAACTATTCCAGCAAGTTATCATGTCCTGTTTTAGCTTGTGTTCTGGAACCCCAAGTAATTTCTGCTTCTCTTTTAAAACTGCAGTAGCCACCGTGCTGCGATGAAAAAAAGTCAACCCAAGAGCCGTACTGCACTGTCGTTCAAAACGCGTGTCTGAAGAACGTAATTCTTCTTTTGCCAGTCAGTGTCAATGAAATGACAGGTTATGGCTCCATACGCTTCAGTTGTACGCGACATCCAGCCGTCTGACGCACCCTGCATCCATTAGCTCGCGTCATCTTGTACTTCTTGATACAGTTTAGGTATGCTGCTTTCACTGAAGTGTTGTCAAGAGGGAATGTTGTATTTCGGCTCCAGTGTGTGCAGAAGTTCACGAAAGCTTTCATTGTCTACTACACTGTAGGGCCACATATCCTTGCAAATGAAATAGGACATGGCAGACGTAATACTCATCACTCTTTTCAAAGTACTTAGGTCATTTCACTTTTTTCTTGCTTGTCTTTTTTTCAAAGGTATCCTTGGTTAAAATGTCATTTACTACTACTAAACAATAGTAATAAGCAAAGTAGCTTTGCTGCTGTAGAGATTTGCAGTAAAACTCTTTGTTTAGAAAACCTAATTTCGCAATGTTAATTGCACTTGTTTACAGTATCTATTTACTGTTATGTTGTTTTCTGCTTATGACTGCTGTATTTGACATTTAATAATAATGTGTGGAATCGCATCGAATCGTAACGAAACAAACCTGTACCGAACAGAATCGCATCGTAGCAATTTTCAAAGTATCGAAAATTATCATATCGTTGGCTAAAACAATCGATGTAAGATCGTATCGTGATGAATCTTGTGATTTACACCCCTATTATTTACCTAGTTTTATCTATGCAATTTGCAGTTTATGTGGTACAAGTAGAAATGGCATATCAGTATGGGATTGTTCTCAGCAGAAAACACTGGACAAGACATTGGAAGGGGAAAAAAAAATCTGACTGTGTGATTTTGTTAGCTGTGTATTTCTGAGTGTTGAAGTCCCTTCATTGTGGCCTACTTTTAGATCCTCACCTTCAGTGAAGCACTTCAATTAAAAACAGATAATTTTAATACTTAATAGATTTCAAAGCAGAAATCTAGGACTGGTATCAGCTGGTGCTACAGGTTTCAGAGTCTGTACTGGACAAGAAAGAGGTATCCTGTCATCTCTAGGTGCTAACAATGTATGTAGGCTATGGCCTCTTTATGTTGCTCCTCCAATTGTCAGACCAAATTTGCTCCACTGACAATGCCCATTGTAAACAACACTATTTAAATAACGTGAATTAACTACATTTTATGTACATCTGGGGAACCAGCCCTTATGATGATAATTTACCTGTACTCATTTTATTTATTAATGAAAGGGATGCAAAATATGCATTTACTATTCAAAATCTGCAATAATCCACCACAAACAAGAACACGAATAGAAGCCCTCCAGAGAACTGTGTAAGCATTCAGAGTCTGGCAGCATAGTACTCCCAGTATAATCCACTGCAATATCTGAGTACAAATGGAATCTGAAGATACCTGGTTGGACTCATTCTTGGCCAGGCCTGTGCTGCTGCTGAGTGGGGACTGAGGACTAGGCACCTGCTCTGATCCTAAAGGTGATCCTTGACCTGAGGTTCGTCCATCGCGTGCTGAAAAGTGTGAATATGTAGCGTGGAATTACAGAAATAAACTCAAACAAGTAAAGCTTTAAAGGTTAAAGATGGCCTTAAGATGTCTTTAAGTAAGATTGGAGGTGGGGTCTATTCATGGTCTCTTGAAAGGGTCGCAACCAGGATAAAAATTTTAGTTGGGTCCATTTTGCAGGTGACCCATTTTACATATTAATAAAACAACTGCTTAATACATATAAACACTCCAATCTCCATTGACTTTCCACCACTTCATTATTTCCTTGTTTACCCATACATAAAGAAGAACTACTCTTTCCTTTATTCACTCGTTCTCTATCCCTTGGTAATGAGGCTACATATATGTGTTACGAGTAGTTTAAATAAAAAACAATTTATGTAGTTTGCATTTTGCATAATCAGTTTAGTGCCCTCTAGCACACACTAACTGAAATCCTATATTCGTGCATAAATACTCACGTTTATGTCATAGATACATCATGTGTTAGCCTACATTATGTGTGCCAGATGCATGTACATCAAGAACTCAAAGTTGCTCAGTGTAGCGTATCATATGTTAAGCACAGCTGTTCTGAGGTGAGTGGAGAATCAAGAACATCACTGCTGAATGGAAAGTCTTGCAATGCAATCTTATCTCATAATTGGAGATATGTGACCAAAAAATAAAAAAAAAATCCTTATGAAAATACAAAGGTTCAGACCTCAGTGTCCTCATAGCTAGCCACAGCCATGTCTCTTTGTTTCCTCAGGACTTTTGAAAATTAACACTAACCAGTAATGAGAATCTCATTTGTGGAAGGAGATGGTGCTGGGCTCTTGGTGCTGGAAGCGCTCGAGGCTGTTTCTTCTTTGGGCACAATGAGCTGAGGAGATTTTTGACTCTGTGGGAAAATATGAAACCCAGACCCCTGTAAAAACAAAGACCAAAAAAAAAAAATAAAAAAAATAAAAAAAAATATTTAAATACGCACACACACACACACACACACACACACATATATATACACACACATATATATACATACATACACACACATACACACACACACACACACACACACACACATATATACATACGTACACACACACACACACACACACACACACACATATACATACGTACACATACACACACACACACACACACACACACACACACACACACACATATACATACATACATACATACATACATATATATAAATAATAGCAGTGCTCAGTCACAGATTAGTCAATTAGTTATCTTGCTCTGAGGAGCAGGAGGAATTTAATTAACTAGATTAGGCTAAGATTTGTTCTTGTGTTTAACAGACTTCTGTCATAGCTCAGTCCAAAAGGAATATTATTTACAGAGGTAATATAGGAAGTGACAGCTTACACGTGGAATACTGGATGAGGTAATGACCATGCCTGTAGTAGGAACCACATCAGATTTAAGAGGGGTCGGAGTGACAATTACAGCACTGGCAGGGCCTGCAAAAGGAGTTTAAAAAAAAGTAATGTATATCATCAATTCAGAAATACAAACAAATTAAGACTTTTTTCAAGCCACACTTAATAAATTAATCGAGCCTGAAATTTTGGTTCAAACCTGAATACAGCCCAAGATTTTCCTGTAAGAGTCCAATGCTACCTGAGGAACATCAAGTTTTAAGTCCAACCCCAACCCTAACTAAATTTTGCTGGAATCATATCAAATTGAGCATAAAAATTGACCAGAGACCAACAAAATCCTGTCCAAAACTGACTTCACATATCATAAATGCCGAATAAAACCTTCCAGTTTAAAGACCACGAGAACGCGAACATAGAGTCAGACATATATTCGCAGGTGTAAAATTTCATGAGCAGTGAACAAGGAGATAAGTTCAGGTACCCGTCTACTGTAGAAGGATCTGACAGCATCATTGCTGGAAGAAAATCTTTTAAAAAATTTAACATGAAATTGAGGTGCATTCTAAGACTAAACTGCGGTAGAATTATTCCATTAAGTAACCATTTAAATACAACATGTCCAAAAATTGTATTGTTTTCTAGGTATTTTAACTTGTTTTCAAAAATCTGTTGCATACCATACCAAGGTCAAAAGGTCACTGTGTACGAACTCTTGAGACCCCAGATTTATTATAAATAAATATAAACTTTTTTTGGCTACCATAGGAAAGCTACTGAAAAACAAACTCTAAATGATTCCAACTTGACATATGGCTCTATTTTCACGTTTTGTTAGTTTAGTCTTGACTAGCTTATTAAAATGTAATTCTATATCCGAGTTGACTGTGAACTGCTGCTCTGTTTGGAGGTGAGGGGGGAATTTCTCAGAATGATCTGCAATCTCAAAATCGACATGATTCGATGAGAGTAAAATATGACAAACATAATAATAATAATAATAATAATAATAATAATAATAAAGACTTTCAACCCCAAATCAGTCTGACTTGAGTATTTTTTGTGGGGGTTTCATATTTCTCATGAAACATGAAAACCAAACTCATAAAAACTCTCAGAAAAAAACTTTGTCTCTAGGAAGGGTGCTTATTTAATGAAAGTATAGAGCTTTGGGCCAGAAATTTTGGTCCAAACCTGTCAGAGTCCAATGCTACTTGAAGAGTAAAATTTCTAAATAAGACATGTAAGTAATATACCTAGCTGACTGAAATGCAAAAATTCAAATGCTACATTCAATCTATCAAAACAGGGTGACCTTGCACACATTTTAATATGATCATTTAAAAGTAGGAACACATTCTAAATGTACATTTCCACAAAAACTTGTGCACAGTTCAGGTTTTACATATTTTGACAAAAAAAAAAAATGTTCCGTGGCAGACCACTGGTGGCATGCAGTCATTAAAAATGTTGCCATGGTGACAGTGTCACTGGTGAAAATGGAGGATTATCAAAGGACAGCTTTAGAAGTGTCGAATGTTTTTTTAAAAATCAACAAACATTTAGTTTATTTCATATAAAGAAAAAGGAACTCACCTGTCAGAATGAGGTGAGATGATGGATTAGCAGGGACGATGGGTCTGCGGCGGGTCTTTTTCACAGAACCAGAGGGCTGGATGGGACGGGGCAAGGCAAAGTTCTGAGGCTGTGGGGGTAAAGAAGCACAAGGTGGGGGCGCAGGCCAAAGCCGGGGCTGAGCTGGATGAGAGGGGACAGCTGAGGGGGCACAGTTTGACTTGTGGCTGGTGGTAGTGGCGGCAGTGCTGGGGGTAACCGAGGACGGGGCGGTGTGTGTGACCACAGATGGAGACGGACTTCTAGGGATGGGCTGGGGGAGCGTGGCAACAGCCTGACACTGCAAAGAGTGAGTGGATGTTGAAGGCAGGACAGAAAGTCCAGAGTTTGTTAAGTGTCCTGTGAAAACAGGCATGTAGTTCTGTGGGTAGGATGGCTCAACCGAGCTTATGTTATTTTGATTAGTTACTGAGGGAGGCACCAATGCAATGGACGGCAGTTCTGAAGGGAGGTGTATGGGTGACAAGGACGTCTGCAGATAAGAGCACAAGGGTAGAGGGATGAGAATGATGATAAAACCCTGTATTTCTATTGTTTTACAGGACTGTACACAAATTAGAGAACACCATTCACCTTTCCATTTCTCTAAAAAACTATTAAATAAGCCTACAGCAAAACATCAGAATGTAACCCTATAATGTATTACTTAAACTGTAGTGAGAACTAGAAATAGCAAAAAGTTAAATAGATACTGACACAGCACACAGGTGGAAATACCACTTTTTCTTTAAAAGTCCATGAAGGGAGCCACTTGTGAAGGTGCACCAATGTTACCTGTGCTGGGGTGCTGATGCTGGGTAAAGGAGTGGTGGTTGGGGCAGTGGGGGAGGTTGAGGGGTAGACTGGCTGACGCAGGGTGTGAAATAAATCTGATTAAGAGGAGAAAAGGATGGAGGATTCAGTTTGATAACGAAGTGCAAAGACTCCTATATCCACACTGTGCTGGACAATGGTGTGATTTTATCAGAAAATATTAGAACTTAATTAGAACTTCGGTGTGATTATATTAGAACTTAATTAGGGCTTTATTAAGTAATGTTAATGTGTAATATTAATATAGATGTGCATGCTTAATGACAATATTTTAGAACTTGTAAAACACATCACAAATGTAAGGATGACAAAATATCAAAGCCATACATTAAATACACAAAAATCACCAATCACTGTATTTTAGCTATAGAACAAAATATTGACATCATGCTATATCGTGAATAGGGAAGTGAGGTCAACCACTGCATGAGCCTTTCAAACAAAACATTTCTGCATTGACCTGCAACCTTCAGCGAAGGCCACCACTGTTGACAACAACTGCCAGCAGTGCATTCGACCTTAATAACTGGCTGCAAATAATTCTGGTATATTCAGACCTGACAATTAGGTTTAACAAATACATATCTTCTGTACAGCTATAGCAAGAGACCTACTAATATCCCCCCAAAAGAGTGAACCTGGACAAACTGATAAATTATCCACAAACCCAAAGCTCACTCATCACCAATCTAAACAAATTAAATAATGCAGCTAAACTAGGAACTCTAATAAGCTGTTACCTTGAAGAGGCTCAAAGGTGTCCATGAAGTCCAGGTTAGGCTGTAGTGGGATGAGACCAGGCTGGATCATGTCTGCATTACCTGCATGTGCTGAGAAGACAGAGTGGCCATCATCAACATGGGGAATAACACTGTAAACACTAGAAGACTGTGTTTGTAATGTATTGTCAGTTTCTATTAACAACAACGCTAACCATCAAGCTTCACACAGTGAGCTTTTTCTCAGTCATTCCATAACTCGTACACGTAAGCAGTTATTTCTAATGCTTCTGATTTCTTCTTTTATCAAGGCCTTTTACTGAAGTTTTAGATAGTAAAGAGAGAGAAAAAAAGAAACCGGAAATAATCCTGCTCCAACAGAATGCCCTTTCTCTACTGCACTATTATTGTATTATACAACTTGGCCTGTAACAATTATTACATACCTGCCTGATCGCAATTATTCAGTTGACAGCAAATATTTTCCGAAGTTTTCTTTCACAATCATATGTTTGTCGCAATACACAGAATACTAATTGGGTGAGTTTTCATCCACTAAGTTAGGGTAAATGCATGCAAATAAAAGAAAGCTGAAAACACGGGTCTTACGAAAACAATTAATATTTCTAACTTCTGAATTGGTAACATCTTTACAGAGCAGCAGTGAGTAATGTTTGTTTATATGATGTTTGTTATTAACACCTTAAGAGGGCAGCAGTGAGTAATGTTAATTTATTTGATTTTAGTAAATAACAGCTTTAGAGGGAAGCAGTAAGTAATGTATATATATTTGATGTTTTTCAATAAAACATTCTAAGAGCAACAGTGAGTTAATGCTTCTTTATTAGATTTTGGTTGACACCTTTAGATGGATGGGGTGAGTAATGTTTATTTGATATTTGTTAATGGTACTTTTTGTAGTACATCAAGAGATAACACCTGGAATTAACATGCATCCAGGGTGATCTGATTATAAGTAGATAGCGCAAAACACACGTGAAAGGGGCAAAATGTATCCGAGACTCACTGTCATCCGACTGCTAAAACCAACTTCAGCGGAGTATTTCAATGTGAGTGCCAAAAGCGTCCTGATAAATCTTCGACAGTTTTGAAGGACCACCTCAATTAGCTTTTTCATTACAGCAGCATGAAAGCAGCTGCTTAGTCTCCTCTCAGATATTTTAGGCATTTTTGTCTTACAACAAACACAGGGAGAGACAGAGAAACATGCACTGTACCTTTCTTCCCATCACAAAGTCTGATCACATGTGGTCACCAGAAACATGCCAGGGGCAAACAGCTAAACGTCGCACTGTCCACTTATGATCGGATCACTTTTATACCGTTAATACCAAGTGTGAACAGGGAAAAAAACTGACACAAACATACTGTGGGGCTTCTGAGTGGTGCTTTGGCCCTATGGTTTGAAGGCTGCGAGTTCAATTCCCATTTGATGCCACAGCCAAGAGACCATAACTGCCCTCACTCTCTGAGGGTGGGGAGGATGGCCCTCCCCCTTCCCAGTGCATGAGGCTAGCCAACGTGTTGCCCAATGATACTGCATGAGCAGCTAAAGTCTTGGAGAAAGCACATGCTAGCTTTCACTCTCTCAGCTTGGTTAACATTGTTTGACAGTGGGAGCTAGCCAGCCAAGTGGAACTGGGCATAAACAAAACATTGTAACACATGAAGCACTCTCACCAATCTCCTTGGGATTAGGCCAAGCAATCGGCTGGTGAGAAGCCAGTGTGGAGAACAGCGTATCTGAAAACTCAGACATCAGGACATCCATGTCGAAGATCGGGTCCATCTCCATGGGAATGGGCGAGTCACAGCTTTTCCGTGCACCACGGCGACCACTTCCTGCCAACTCCTCATCCTGACAGAAGAGGATACGGAAGGGGGTGTCGGGATGCACTTCCCCAAAAAGCGAAAACTGCTCCTCTGCCCCCTTTAGGAGGGCAAAAATGCAACAGGCAGGCCAAGTCAGTGGACAAACACAGGGGGTCATGCAAAGCAAAATGCACAGAGTTGACACAAAAATCCTTTGAAATAGAAATGTTCCACATTTTAACTGCAAAAATGAGAAGTACACATGAATTTAAACGAGTATACAAGCTCAGATTCTGCATAAGTCTAACTCACAAAAAACATTCTTTTAAATTAGTTTGTATTAAATCTTCTACGTTTAGATTTTTACCAAAGTATTATGGGAAGTAGTGTTCAACTCATATGCATTATCATAGCTTAATACCATGCATTAGAAACTAGAAACAAAAACATCAAGCACTTAGTACAAAAAGGATGCATATGATAACACAATGGGATGGTTTCCTAGCAATGGATTAATGCTAGTCTTATGGATTTTTCACCATCACAAACCATTTAGTGTATGTGTAGATGTATCTGGGAAAGCAGTCCATTATTCTTTATTTTACCTGCCTTCTTTTTATCATACACATCTGTGACATTTCAAATGTGCCATGCAACGTATTTCACCACTCTGATGGCAAATGTGAAATGTAAACCTGATAATAAGCAACTATGTATACTGTGTGAGGATTTCAGGATCAGTGATATTTGGCAGCAGGGGAACACTCAGCATTTCAGAGAAAGCGACTACTACCTGCTACATAAAGACACTGTACTGCAGCCGAGGGTAAAAGTTTTGTTGATTTTCTAAATGAAAGTAAGTACATATTCTTTGCAGGGAACACAAAAGCCTAAGGTATACACAAGCCAAGACACTGCAATACGTCAAGTTAAATTATTAACAAGAGTATTAGTAGCTATAATGTTGTGTTGGAAGATCCATGAAAACACTACAGCAGAACCTACATTCTCAAAATGCTCTCATGTTTCTTTCCAAATACAAACAAACAAACAAACAAACAAACAAACAAATAAATAAATAAATAAATAAATAAATAAATAAATGTAGTTACCTTGAGAAGGCTGGAGAGGTCCTCATCTTTGTGCTTCTGTAACTGTAAAAGCACAAAGCATTTATTACTTCAGTTTCACCAAGGTTAATTAACATTGACATTCAGCACTACTGTTTAAATGCGCTAGCCTGTTCATTATCTCTTCAGCTGCAAAAGGCATAACAAAGTGAATTATAAATACATACAAAATCAATACACTGCTCTAAAACTACCATTATAAAAGGAAAAAGACATCCTGTTAAGGAAAGGGATAAGGGTTCTTTCTTTGTGCGGAGGATGTAATTATAACTGGCTCTTCACAATTCCACAAAAAACAAAAGCCATGATAGCTCTTAATCCCCATTCAAAAAGCAGCCTGGACTGAAACACACTTCAGCATGAATTGGTGGGGCTAAACTGCTGTAAGCTGAAAAGGTGGATACAGGTAATCGTGCTGGTTTTCGTGACATCACAAAAATTCAAAAATTCAAAATACGCTGTTTTGGGATCGTGAGTCTTTGGGGTCAGCCTTCATCTTATACATGAATACCAGACTGATGATGCCTGGCTGAGGAGCAGACAGTGTCACAGTGGCAATGTCAACTTCAGCTTTGTAGAAATTCAGACGTGACTCAACATTTAGCCTCATTTTAAATTTTAGATATAGAGGGAAAAAAAAGCAGGTATATATATATATATATATATATATATATATATATATATATATATATATATATATACACACACACACACACACACACACACACACACACACATTTAATGTCCAGTATGTCTCAGTATGTGATAATTTCCTAGTATAGACTAAACAATATAAACAAAATCGCTGACTTACTTTGCTCTGCTTTAAGCTTTAGCTCAGCTACATCCGCTTTTCCTCCCATCTCCACCAGAAAATTTTTCCTCAAAAGTTGAATAGTTTCTTGCAAAATGTCTCTCAGCTTTCGGCTGTTTTACGAGGCTGAAGTCGCTTCTCACTCGCCAGCTTCTTGCTGAACTTTCCGGTTCCACCTTAAATTCTGACTGAGACGCCGAAAGTAATTGCGGCACCATTTAAGGTGGAACGGGAAAATTCGAAAGAGAAGCGACTTCATGCGAGTAAGTCCATTCATCTCCAAATGTTCGTCTGTCTTTCTCTTTTCCTTTTTCATTCGCTACTCGCTCGGCAAAACCTCGTTGCTAACGCTACGTGACCTGCAGTCTTTCACCCTCCCCCCCTCTATTACGAGACCAAAACCAAAGTTATGAAATCCCTAAAGAATATATAATGTGCTGCGTGGTCATCCATTGCCACTGGACCTTATTTCATACATACACACACACACACACACACACACACACACACACACACACACACACACACACACACACACACATTATATATATATATTATATTCTCACACACACACACACACACACACACACACACACACACACACACACACATACACATACACATACACATATACGTAGTAGCCTAGCTAAAATGACCACAAACAGGCCAAAAAAAAATAACTAAAAACAAATAAAAATAAAACATACAAAATTTCCACTTTTGGATTTTTTTTAATTAAGAAATCATCATACCCTTTTCTTGAAATATGTTCTCCATTTATGGTACTCTCTGAGAACGATTTCAATTCTTCTCTTCCAGTACTTCCCTTCCGTAGCTATTGCCTTAGAATCAGCAGAAGATTAAAAATACTGTTAATTATTCTGACAAAGCAAATTATATCCAAAAAAAACAAACACCATATGATCAAGTTAGCAACCAACATAGATCAGTCAAAAGTAAAATCAACATGTAAATCAGATTAGGTTTCAATTTTGAATGATTAGTCAACAAAATGGATTAGTTGTCAATAATGCTGTTTATGGAAAGTTGACATATTGTTTACTTAATAACAACAGCAATCTACGAGGCTCTATAATGTGCAAATGACACAGCCATTCTACCAGATGGCAATACGCTAGGGGTCGACCGATATGTTTTTTTTCGGGGTCAATACTTATACTGATTATTAGTAATAAAGGATACAGATAACCATTGTGCGAAATATCCCCTGGCATTCTGGGGGTCCCATGTTGGCTGGCTACTAACTCACTCACCATAGCATTGCTCATGCTAGCTTCAATGGCAACAAAATGTTTAGTTCAACCTATGATTGAGACATTTGGGTGTCCAATAGGTTAATTAGGGGGTCCTGGATGCCCCAGGACCCTCTGTATTTCACAACTTGCCAACAACTGGTATTTGGGGCCAATATTCCTTTGCCATAAATTTCATGTACTGTGAAAATTGACAACACAGCAACTATTACTCACAACTTACATTCAGTGAAAATTAGAACATTATAAAATTAAAGTGCTTTGAGCTTTAGACAATACAGACTGCAAAAAAGTGACAAAAATTTTAAAGTTACCTTTAAGATAATAAACAGAGAAAAAAATAGCTCTCAGTAATGTTTAACAGTCAGTGACATTAGTAAGAAAAATAGAGCTCAGAAAAAAGGTTCAAAAACTAAATTAAAAAATGTATACAAATGTATTTCCATGCACTCAATAATCTGATCATAATAGGCTTTCTGCAGTTATCTGATTATTCAAATGGTCATGTAAACACCATACTCCGATCTAGAAATCCTACTATGAAATCTGATAAACAGACCTGTATTTTAGCTCAATAATCAGATTTCTCAGTGCACGTATACTCTTATTCGGATTTCTTTCGGATTTCTCTGTCTGCGCATGTGCGGAACAGACTGCTGTACCAGAAATAAGCAAGCAGCGTTGCAAAACACTGGAGCGACGCTGAAACAAACAACATTCTCGATGAAATGAAGCATTTAAATATTCTTCAAGAGGATGCATGATCATGTTTTCAGATAAAGTGGCATGATGGGAAAAAAAAGGCAGCGGCAAGTTCAAATTTTACATTACATTTACATCACATCTTCTTCTGGGGGTTTATTGGCTCGTTGCAAAACAGAAATCCGATGACTGTCTGGCTCATGTAGACCGCAGCTTTTTCATTATCTGATTACTCAAGCGCATGTAAACGTGTTGATCGGATTACTGACAAAATCTGATTTTCTGCAGTTATTGGACCATTAAGTGCATGTAAACGCACTCAATGACTGTTGGAAGGGAACATATCAGGAGCAGAGCTTGCATTTTCAGTATGTGGATAAAAGTAAGAAAACCTAGATATAGATTAAAAACCATATAAAGCCTACACTAACGAAATACACAAAACTGTGAACGTATTACAGTAAAACACCTTACAGTAAAAATCTGAGCAAACATGCATTAAAATTGTCACTACTTTGTAACATAATGAGGAAATACAAATGTTAATGTGCTTATTTCATTTTGTTATTCAACTAAAAATGTATTTCATGTGACAACAAGCAGTAGCTGGACGTGTTGAATGTATCAGATGTATTCTGATTGGCTCTTCCAAGGAAACGGCCTGTCTAAGCAGAGCAGTGGATTCTTTGGAAATAGTGAGCTGCAACTCTCTGTACTTTTAACGAGCAAAAACAGAAGGAAAAAGAACAGAATTTATGTATAACTTCGCCAACTATGCTATTAAGTCTCCAGAATATGGTCAATTATTTGTAAAATCATAACATATTGTTTTATATATAAAGTATCGTTGTATTTTGTAGTACATTGTAGAATTTTGAACTTCAGAACATTCTGAAGTTTAAAATACTACAGAAGCAGTGAGAGTCAGCATAGCGTGTCTGTCCCACACAGAGAAACCTCACACTCACCAAACTAATGTGATGTTTCAGGCAGGACTCCAGCTGCACACGAGGGTCACATTTGTTTGGCTAGAGTGAATGAAACTATATGACCGAGCGCATGTTGTTCAACCGTGACATGTTTTTACTCTTTTCCTCGCTGTGGGAGCAAAGCAGGTGCTTCTTTGTTGTCTCTCACAAACACCAAAAAGCATGTTTGATTGGATTTACTAGACACAGGATGGAAGAGACAGACTACAAGTGCTGGTTGGTTGTACTCGATAAGTCATCAACATTTCAAGCAATCCAGCAAAGCTGTCGGTGGGATATTGCGTCAGACTACAAAAGTGTGTTTTGTTGATCATGGTGGTGTCAGATATGTGCATAAATAACATACGGTGCTTTTTATCGTTCATATGCAGATTCCGATAATCGGAAAAATGCTGAATATTGGCCCCCATTATTGGTTGGGCCGATAATCAGTCGAATCCTACTAGAAAGAGTAAGGATGATATGTTTCTGTTGTTTCGCTGCACCATAAAAGAAATCAAGCGCTCAATTGATCAAAAAATGTCATTGTTCATTAGTCAATTACAGAAACATTAGTTGCAGCCCTAGCTCTGAAATATCATAAAAACATCTCAAAACATGAGAAAACTAAATAATGTTCCTTTGTCTCACCTCTGCAGGTCGATGGAATCCGGAGTCCATGGTCCCATCTAACGGTGTAACAAAATGGCAAACAGGATTCTCTCTTTTCTCCACATCTGCAAGGGAAAGAGCTTTAAAAGGCAATGTTGAGGAAAACATGAAAAAGGCTCTGAACAGTATGCATGTCTGGTCATTGACCCTTACATTGAATATACCAGGCTCTCCAGATGGCATTGTTGAGGCGAATCTTGTCCCTCCAAAGCAGTTTTAGGCCTTTGAAGTTCTTCCATTTTGGAGACACTAACCTGCCACTGATGGAGAAGAAAAAATAACAGGTAAGGCAAGGTCAGTTGAAAAGGAGTAGGCTATTATGTAATATATTTCTCTGACCGATAAAAATAGTACTACTATATTACCTAGAAATCAAATTATCCCCAATGAACCTGGCAGTATGTCAACAGGAGTGGGCACTATGACGTCAATATGATGTTATTTTTATTGTGAGAACAGTGCTCCCACACATGGATTATACTTTGGCAGTGTGCCCAGGTATATGGGCTCCTGCCCAAGTATATTTATTTTGAATCCTTTATGAATGCAGTTCAGGTCAGAGAGAGTGAAAGAGAGTGGGAGAGTGAGCAGAACTTGCAAGAAGTTACTACAGTACTATGTAGTATTTCAAAAACAGGACACCACAATTATAAGTGCATTCATTAGTTTAGTATGTGCAGCGCAGTATTATGCAGTTTGGATGCTGCCCGCAATTGGCTTGATCAGGTGCATTACAGTTGCTTTACAGGGAATATTAGGCCCTGTTCACACTTGACATTACATACGTCCTGGATTTAACAGTGTGAACACTAAAGCTTCTTGATGTGTCTTCCACATTAGCGAAGGACCGTATTAATTCACTGCGTAGCCACATTTTACGCCTCCTCTACCGTTTGTTTACAGGTTGTGTTAGCAGGTTATGTGGTCTAAATGTTTACAATAGCCCTTTCATTTAAACGAACGTGGACTCAACGGTACATTTCTGTATTTCTGTAATTTTTTTTAATTATAAGAACCTGGTTTTGTTTAAACTGATGGGCTGACAACTATATGCTTGTGATTATATGTCCAAAACTAAAAAGATGACAAAATGACTGGAACACGCTCTCTTGTGTACAATTTCAAAACATTCCTCAACTTGACTGATAAACCTGGCCTATTGATATAGCAAGTGTTGTATGCTGGAAATATTTTTTTTAAATTGACAGCAGTGATTGAAGAATTGTTTTTGTTGGTTAAACAACTACATCCCTAGCTAGAACTCAACAGCTACATGTTTTATAAAAAAGATAGACCAACGACAGAAAAAACAACAACCTGTATGAAGTCACTGAACAAACTGCATAGTAATAGCAAACAGCTAATTCAATGGACATCCTTCATTAATTAATTAATTACTTTCTTGCTAGTGGTCCATTGCAACCTCTTTACAAATCTTAAAGCATCATTATGCTTTTGTCATCATAGAGCCCACCGTTACATCTACAAAATGCTTTTTTGTGTGGGATGAATTAGGTGCAATTAGATGGCAAACCTCAGGTGTTTCTGAACTCTGTCTTACCTTATCCTTACCAGTATGGTATTGTAAATGTTTTAGGCCAATAAACTTTTGCCTGCTGTCAATACTACCTGTTGCCTAATGGCTCTCAAAGCAAGTAAAGAAGCCATCTGCCTGCTGAAAAGAAGCTGCAGACCAGTAGCTTGAAATTACAATGAATGTCTGCTTTTACTATCCATACAGGAGCACAAGGGCAGTGCCAAACTAGAGCTAAGGAAAGGCTCTTACGAAAGGCAGTTCCAAAGTAATCTAATCTGTTTACTATTTCTAAAGGGCAGTCGGACACTCTCAGTGTAGGTTTCCACTCTGAGAGACGATCTGGACGGCCCACTATTTTCTAGGCTACAACCTAGGTATGGTTCAGCATGCATCATAAAGACATCATCATTTGTTCTTTTACAAAACAGGCATGGATGTGCCGAACATTGGGTTCTGGTATTAACATTGTTTATTATTCTTCCCCATTTCTTCAATTTCGTGTAACTCTTCTTCCAGTCACTTAGTCCACAACAGATCTCGCTCAAGATAAACTGGAAGGTGTAAGCGTGTATTTCCTCTGTAATAACTGAAGGCAGCATTTCATCGCACACAATGCAGTGAAACACCCTGTAAAACAAAAGGAAGTGCTAGCATCTTTCTTCCCACCCAATAAATTCTCTCCTGGTCATAGACAGCAACACAATCACTGGAAACTGAACAACTGGAAAACTCAAGGATAAGTTACAGAACCCAGCTTCAAAGTTAAACTTCTAAAAGCACAGTTAACATAGCTACCTATAAAATTAAAACAAAGAATAACCACTCATTAAGATTAAGCATGTGCCATATAATTTTTCTGAATTAGAGACACATCTTCACCTACACATCCAAAATGCTCTCATCCTTTACTGAAACCACTGTATGCTGTGAATGTCTTTTTATTGCATAGCCAGGTAATTATGTGCATGTTCAAGAGCACTGGTAAAATTGTCAGGACAAGTTACTTAAGGAAGCAGTGCCAACTTGTTTTGGCTCAACATTCTTACAGGAATACAGAGCCAGACAGCTGTGGAGTTTTTCTGCATTCTTATATGTGGTAACTTCACTCAGCATGCCTTACCCGCAACAAACTTGAAGAGAGCACTGAGCAGTACATTCAAATGATTAAAACAATTCACTTTTTTTTTTTTTACTGAGCATTCTGTGTTTGACTGGTGCTAACATGTCCTTAAACGCAGCATCTGAGCCAAAAATAATATATAAAGCTGTCATGCATACTGAACTGCAAAATGTTCTTACTTGCAAAATGTGCAATTATGCCAGCCAGTTCTGACCTTGCAATGTGATTGGCATAGAGACATTCTATGAGAGCCAAAACTGCCTTGATAAAAGGCAAATCTGAACACGTTTTTAACCTTTTTAAGAATCAGGCTAACTTATTAACCTGTAATCCAGCAACAGCTGCCAGCATATATACTATTTAATAAAACTATTTTTCCTTTGAGGATTTATTCCATAATTGGATAATTATTACTCATTTATTATTAGGGAAGAAGGAGGCATTCAATATGCTTTCCATGGTAAGATTACTTGACAGCAGTGTAAGGTCATACATATTCTTGCACGTCTTGACCCGAAAACAACAGGAGGCAGCATTTCTAGTTCTATAACAGGAGTGAAGTTAGCTGGATTCAAGGAAGGTCACACGCTATACACAAGAGACTGATGTTGTTCTGTTCTTGCACGACATCAGTCATGTTCTCAGTCTAAGAAGGATATGTAAACAAGCAATTAGCAGCTTGTCTCACAGCTTGAAGTATTCAGCGTAGAGACCGTAGAGTGTCTAGGAAAATACTGTAAATTTGCAAATGAAGTACTGACAAGTCAGCAAACGTTTCACAAGAAAGCTAATCTAAAGCTGGGGTTACACGACACGACTTTACCCTGATTTTAGCCCCTATTATGGCTCTGAGTCTGGCTCAGTCTGTGCTTACTGGCTTTAGTCTGCAGATTTTGGATCTTTTAGAGTCGAAAGTTGGGAGAGAAAAATCAAGTAGTGTGCAAGAGTCACAGACTCAGATTTTTTGCCTCCTGATCACGTTTCAGACCAGTCAGAGTATATCAAACATGTCTGAACGCATCTGTTCACACAAGTTCGGTTCAGTTCAGCAACTTAAAGATGCAGCAAGCGATGACTGTATATTTGACACATGCCAGATGGCCGAGAAACAGCCAAAGACGAGATCATCTGAAGAACCAAGCTTGAGAAAGAAGTTCTTATATCAGGAAAGGGCGAAGAGCCAGAATGTAACTGCTGCACTATTTAATTACAGCAGCAGTAATTAGAAGTCTGCTAACCCACAACCTAGCTAACGTTAGTTGCATTACTTGCGGTGTCGTTAACGTTATATCATGGTATTTGTCCGTACAACATTTGCAAAGGGTTTTATGGCCACAAAGATCTTAAAAGATAAAAAAAAAGTCTGCTAGCCCAGTGTCTTTCACTTTGGCAACGCGTGTCCAGAATCTCTGAAGGAGCACTGAAGGGAGGGGTGCATTGGTTTCGCTGTTGAGTTCAAATATCAACAATCTTTCTCCAGAATCGCTGACTCCCCTTTTAAGAATTGTGTATGTGATCCCCTATATTTCAGTCACTCAAAAAAAATCTGCGGAAACCAGTCAGAGTGAGATACCCAGTCTTTTAATAATCTGTTACAAATCTAAGAGTCACGTAGTGTATCCTGGCCTTAACCCGAAAATTCAGTCAAATATTTCTCATTGGCTTTTCTGCAGAACTGGGTTACTGGTGAACTTTTGTGTACTTGAGTTAATCTGAAAGACTTCGATCTGAAATGTTGTCAAGAAACTTCTTTATTTATTATTTCTTACTCTTTAAATAAACTGATTAGTAAAATACAAATACAGGTAATAATACAAAGCTACACAAACAGCATGTTTACCATGCAAGATCTTTGTTGTTAAAACTGAAAGAAAAAGCATTTCTAAGTCAGAATAAATAAAATAGACTAAAATGCAGCATGCTAGCACTGCTGCATGCCACCCTGTAAAGCCTGAAATAATAATTTAAAAGCCAGAGGTTAAGTTGGATTTTGCAGGAGTTTTTCAGAAAACATTATACATCTTTATGTATTAACATCACATGCACAGGTTCAAAAGAAGGTCTGGCTCGATGTTTAGGTCTGAAAGGCAAAATCAACATTAATACTGATGAGGAAAACAATAGTAGATAATTCACTTGCATCCTTAAAAGACACATCCTTCACCAAGTTTTGACTGAGTTCGCTTTGAATACTCCTTCAACACACTCACAAATATCAGATTCATCCGCTTGAGGAAGGGGTACGAAGCACAGGCAATGTTACAATATGTTCTTCTGCACACTGGGTGCAATTACACACTTCTACAAGAGAGGTCTCCAAATCCCCAAAAGGTACACAGTGTAGCTTTAAATGAATAAAACGTAAATAATCTTGTACAAACATAAATATAAATGATTTACCAGAATTTTCCATCTGCATCAGAATATCAATACATCATATAAAGAACATAATATGGTATCCCTACAACTTAAGTTTTCATTTGTCCAATGAGAATTCATTTAATTTCCGTCTACATTTTGACGTAATTAAATTGGAAATATTAGAAACACACCAATGGGAAATCTTTGGCTGATATCTGATATTTTATTTACATTTCTCAGTGATGATACATAAACATTTTCCACCAAGCTCCTAGTCAGTCTGGGTTAGCATAACAAAGAAATGTAAAACTTTTTAATAGAGGGTTAAAAATGCAATAAAATGAACAAAATGATGCAGAAAAGAAAATGCAGAAATTTTAGAACAGAATGAAGCATCACCTGAACATCCTGCTCTTTCGGAGCACAGTAACCACACCATCAAATATTGGTCAAATCTAAATATCTGTCTGATGCTGATTTTTTTAAAGGAAATGTCTGCAGATATTGTTAGGCTGCAATATCATCATGCACACGTGCTAAGTGTCATCCAGAGTGGTTTGATGTTGAAAAGCTCCATTTGTCAGAATGGTTCACAGTGATGGTGACAGTAACCAGACGTCTTAAGAGTTCAATGCCTCTACTTCAGCTGCTTCAGAGGAAGCTATTGCACAAAGTAATTATGATTACACTGTTCGATGCCTGAGACACTGTCATTCATTCCTGAAGAAGAGTGCTGCATGCACAGTGTAGTAAAATGAAATAAAACTTACTTTTTTGGATTTACCAAAATTTTAAAAATAGCTACATTTATGTTGTATACATTGTGATTTGTGGTTCTGACCACTACCACTGTAAAGAACTCCAAGTGGATAAGTTTTTCTACAATGAACCAAATCACATCACACCACTCTGGATTACTGTGATTACATCTCAATGATTGAAGAAAACTGCGGAAAATTTGAGAAATGATTGAGTGTCTGATCTACTCTTCTGTTCAAATGTAGGACCAGCAATCAAAGTCTGGATAGAGCATAATGAGGCAGGCTGCTTCACCTCACCACCAAGTCTCCAATTAAGCCTCCAAGGAAAGAAACTGCCTACTCGTGACAGCAATCACGTGTGCTGGACACAGAGTTAGCCTGTCTTCACTCATCCACAAGGTTATGATGTAACGGCTGCAAAGCTAAATAGTAAAGCTGTATAATTAGTGGCATAAGTTGACACTTATGAAGCAAGATCAGTGCAAGACACCACACATCAATGCGCCAGGAAGAAAAAAACTGAAAGAGTAAGATAACAGTAGTGCCTAATTTCAGTAAGTCATAATAGTGAGCCATAATACGTCTGTGAAGGTTTTCAGTTACCCATCGTTAACGTGTCTAGTATTAGTAGTAGTAACGTTAAGCAAAAGAGAAAGCGACTGGACTTGTGGTGTATTATTGGAGACTTTTTGCCACGTGATCCAATTTCCTCGACTTACCTTACTACTCATTACGCAATTTAAAGACCTGAATGACTAAGAACCGTCAGATATTTATTATTCAGAGTTTTAATAATATCTTTTACTTCGAGGCTAGGTATGCCCACTTCCTGAGTCCGCAGATTGGTAGTCTTAACTAAACAGACATGCATCACCTCTTCACTTGGACTGGTTGACAAAACTAAGCTACCCGGTGTAGGGCTAACTTAACGAATATGAGTGTCCCATTTCTCAAAAGAAGATGGAGGTTGTTACCCTTTGAGTGACCTTATTTTAGTATTCGCAAAGCTAACGGCCAGTTCAAAATATGTCAACTAACTTAGTTAAGCTAGCTAGTTAGGTCAGCCACTTGCGTTCGCAGAGTTAGCTAACTAGCCGATTAGCTTTAGTTCTCTGCATGTCGACTTAGGAGGGTTCTTTTAAAACTTTAATTCAGACTTCATGTGAAATGTTAACACTGCAATTAGCTTACTGTTTCTGACAGAACATTTTGCTCCTTTACTAGAATAAAAGGCACTTAGCTAAGCAAAATTTCAAGTCCAGGCTGGTTTAGCGAGCATTATAACAGTAACGGTAACTTAGGTTGGCTAAGTTAACGTACAGTGCCAATGTAGGAAGCTAGTTGGCTAGCCAGTTAGCATTGACCATCTGTGGAGTGAAATTCAATATGGTCATAGCTACAAATATCTTCTCTTGACCACTTCGGTACTCCCACGTATTGTTTATCAGTCAATAGTGTAGTTCTTTCAAACGTGGTCAAAAGTTGTTCATATTATTCTGCTCCAACTTAAATGGTGCAGCAGTTACACTCTGGCGTCAATGTTTCTCCTGCACCATTTTAAGGTGGAACGGGAAAATTCGAACCAGAAGCTAACAATTAGCTACGAAGCCAACTTCAGCCTCGCTCAAAAGTAACCCACCTACCTGTACGCAAGTGTCATACACTCGAAGAGTTTAGTGAGGGACGCGTCGATGGAAATATGCGACGTGCTCGTCTTGCCAAAGTGATACGTCTGACAAGTTTGTTTGTTAACAGTGTCGAAGTCGTAGCCTTTCTTCGGCGGGTGCTCGACGTGAGGGGTGGACACCATAAAATGACCACTGTGGATGATCTGCGGCTCGCGTCCATCAGTTTTCTTGAAGCCCAGAGGAGTCTCCTCCGTGTCAGAGTCGTCGTCCTGCTGCTCCCTCCTGACGTTCGACATGGCTCTTCGGTGCACTCGGCTTTCTCGGGTAGCCATACTTGTAACGTTACCTCTTCTTTGTTCCGCTGTTATCCGACTCGTTTGAGTGTTGTTAACTCCACATACTATCGCGCTTACTTTCCTCCTTGAGCTTATCGTGAAGTGAAGGACTCTCACAACTCATTTTTTTTTAACCTGTTCACTTTAACGCCCCCCTTTCTTTACTTTGTTCTATGCACGTACACAAAACTCCGCTCCGAGGACTTTGTGGTAACAAGGAATCCAGTCTGAGGCGTTTCCGAGATCGAGTGCCTCCTGATTGGTTAAAGGGACCGAAAAGACACGCCCCACTGGCCGGGGCTTGAACTAAATGGGCCAATGGGAGAAAGAGTCATGTAAGGTTCTCATCCTGGTATAAAAATACACCCCTCTGGCAAGGCGCGTATAAATACTGGTGAATGATTTGGCATAACACATAATCATGATATTTTGCGGGCATTTATATGCTGAGCGCACATAATATATAGTTTTCTTTTGTAGATTACATAAGAGGTTCCTGAGCAGACACAGCACATTTAAAAATGACAATGAACAGGGCAATATTGCCACAAATTCAAACCTCAAAAAAGTTGGGACAGTCTGTAAAATGCTAATAGAAATAGAAAGCAGTGATTAGTTAATTCAGTTTAACATGTATTATAACCTGTAACTGAAAACATATTTACTGCTGTGTTACATCAACTTTTCATTTAACACTTGAGCGCTGAGCACACCAATTGATGCAATTTTGAAAGCTGCATTTTCTTGCTATTCTTCCATTATGCAGGTCTTCAGCTGTGCAGCCATACAGGGCTTTCATTGTCATATTTCACACTTCACGATGCACCACGTTTTCAACTGGATACAGGTCTGGACTTCAAGCAGGCCGGCCTAGCAACTGCACTCTCTGAATAGTCATGTTGTGGTGACGTGCAGAATGTGGTTTGGCATGGTTATACTGGAAATAAGCATGGGCATCCCTTAAAAAGATGTTGTTTAGAAGGCAGCATATGTAACTCCAAAATGTGTCAATGGCAGTGTCGTGCAAATTACTCATGCCATGGACATTAATACACCCCCATACCATGACAGACCCTGGCATTTGAACTTTGCTGGTCCTTTCCTTCTTTGGCCCAGAGAACACAACATCTATTATTTCCATAAACAGTATAGGCTGTTTCCCCAAAGCACTTTCGGTGTTGCGTGTTAAGATCATCCTAACTGGTAGAGAGAGTGTTCAATGTAATGCTCGCTCTACCATTAAAGAATCATTTTTGTGCTAAAATAGTTTTGGGAATCGCACACATTTTCACTGTGCATCTGTCCATTTCAGATGAGCTTGAGTCTAGGGAAGTTGTACAGCATTTCTGGGCGTTGTTTACATATGGCTTCCACCATGCATTACTTGCATTTATGGATGGAGTGACAAACGGTATTTACTGACAATGGTTTGTCAAAGTATTGCTGAATCCATGTGGGGATATGCACTACAGAAATTTGCTGTGTTTTAATGCAGGGCTGTCTGAGGAATCGGGCATTCAGTTGTGGTTTTTGGCCTTGCGCTTTACACACAGAGATTTCTCTGGATGCCCTGAATCTTTTGATGATATTATGCACTGCAGAGGGCGAAATACTTAATATCCTTGCTCATTAAACAATATTGTTCTATAGTTCTTAAACTGCTTTCTAGTTCACTGACACATTTTTTGACAAATTTTTGAGCCTTATCCCATTCCGAAATTGATTGCTTCAACGTTTTCTAAATTTGGGACTGGAGCAATTTAAGACTAGGATCACTGTGAAATTTTTAAAGACATATTCAACAGGCGTTGCAATCATACTTTGGTATCAAAGGAGCATCCAGGAATAGCCTAGTCCTTTAGGATTAAGCCTTTTCAGCATGCTCCTTTTATACCAATGCCTGTATAAGATGTTTTTGAAACAGTGATTCTAGTCTTAAATTACCCCAGTCCCATTTTTTTTTAACATGCTAAAGCCATCAATTTCACAGTAAGCATATTTTTTCAAAACCAATGAAGTTCAAAAACCTCTTGTCTTTGTACTGTTTGTGTTTAAATCCAGGTCAAAGTATATTTGCAAATCACTGCTTTCTGTTTTTTATTTGCATTTTACCTACTGTCCCAACTTTTTTGGAATTGACCTTTGTGTCACTATCACAAAATCTCAAAATTTTAACTTCTTCTTTAACTTCTTCTGATAAGCAGCACTGAAAGTTTTTCATAACCAAGATCTGGGCGACTATCCTTGAATATGGGTCAAATGCAGCATCACTGGTAAGGCATAGTTCAGATATAGTGACTTAATCTCAATGCACTTCAAATTTAATGTGCTCTAAGAAGCTGACTGAATTCATTAGGTAGTCATTAAAGCCTTCAGGAGCTGCCTCAGATTCCACAGAACCGCAGAGTTTTTGTCTTTCTCCTGATTCAACATGTCTGAATCAGCTCATTAGGTAATTACACAAAGAGCTTCAACAGACAAAACTCAATTTTGCAGTGCCATGGCCCTCTCTTCAGCATTTGTCAACCTAATCTCTATCTGCTGCATCTGTAGAATACGGTCATTTGCCACAGACAATTTCAACACATTTTTCTGTATTTAAAACAGTAAACAGTAAACCTATTAACTTAAAACTGAGTAATAGAAGCCAACAGGCAGTTGCTGAATTCCGTATATAGCTGAAATACATAACCACAAAATGCAAATTTAAAAAGACAACGATTGTACTCTTAACACTACAGGCCTTAGGAGAAGATATGTATTAGAGAATGTCTTATCAATTAACTCTTATGAACTCATATCAAACTTTCAAACACTGAAACAACACTGTAACAAAGACATTCTGGTTACAATCATGATCAGGCAGTGGCTTGTTAAAACACCCAGACCACTATGATGGTAATGTATTACCGCAGATTAATCCCCCCAATCAACAAATTAACAAAATTTAGTTGACACACCCTGGCTTGATTACTGCCAGCGCTGTTGAATCTAAACATTACTTAAATAGAACCAATGTGAAGCAATAATAGCAAGAAAATAGCAAAAACAACTGCTAACCAAGAGGAGCATAAAGTCCCATGTCACATTTGCCAAAAAACACCTATAGGACCTTCAAGCCTTTTATAATGAGGTTCTGTGCACTGATGAGTCGAAAGTGAAAACAATTTGGAAGATGGGGTTTTGTTACACCTGGCATAAAGCTGCCACAGCATTCCACAATAAGAACATCATACCAACAGTCAAACATGTTGATGGTAGTGGGTTGGTGTGGGGATTGCTTTGCCTAATTGACAGAACCATGAATTCTGCTCTCTACCAGAAAATCTTACAGGACAATGTCTGGTCATCAGTCTGTAATCTGAAGCTCAAGAGGAAGTCCGCCTCTGAATGACTCAACAAAATTAAGGTTTTGGAATGGCCTAGTCCTGACTTGAACCCCCTTTGGGATGTTGTGGCAGGACCTTGAACAGGCAGTTCACACTGAAAAACCCTCCAATATGGCAAAGAAGAGTAGACTAAAATTTCCTCACAGCGATGTAAACAACTGCTCTCCAGTTACTGGAAGCATTTGGTGTTAGTTGTTGTTGCTGAATGTGGCACAACCAGTTATTACTTTTTTACATAGGTGATACAGACGTTGCAAAACTTTTTTCCTTCAATAAATGGTCATTTAAAAAACAGTGTTTTGTGTTTCCTCATGATGCTCTTGTCTTATTACATTTTGTATGAGGATATGAAACCATTTAGTGTGACAAAATAATGTGCAAAAATAGAGGAAATCAGGAGGGGCAAATTTTTCACAGCACTTTTATAATTATATTTTTAGGATTGAAGGGTTAAGAGATTGGCTGGAATGGTGCCTTGCTCTGCTTATTCATGTAAAAACAGCAGCAACTCCAAAGGCAAGTCCAGTCTAGAATCTCTTGGAAAACATGAGGGCAATATTGTCTGCAATAAGTGATACGGCAAGGGCACATGACTCAAACAGAAAATTATAATCAAAATGATTAATGATAAACATGATTTATGATTTTAAATCCTAGTGCCATCTTTTTCTGGCTGCAGTTTATGTATTATTCCAAGCAAGAAAATGGCAGCACTATATACTTGAAACAAAATGAAGTTATTGTAAACCTTTAGTTAGACAAAGCAAGACCTTTTATAGCCTTTAATCTAATTTATCTCTAATCTTTAATCTCTAAAGGCAAATTTGTGTAAACTAGATTATCAGCCAAGACATTTGTCTGCTTCTTTAGTTTTGCACTGGAGCTACCAGGTTAATGTGGCTAACAAGTATTAGAAGATTATAATCACTAATTAGCATCATGCTAACTGCACCCCTAAATCATCACACACTTGCCTCAATTCACCCATAGTTGTTCAGTAATCTCAAATAGACTTGATTATGTCATTTCTGGCACTGCATGACATACTGTTATCTATAAAAATGTACATACTGCTACTGCGCTGAATTTTCACATCTGAATATCTCAATTGTCTCATATGTGCATCTTGTACTCTTACATTTTCGAGCATCTAGAGGTTAGTAAATATTACAATAATCCACACTGTCTGCAGCAGCAGCTTTCAACAGATTTATCAGACAGACTGAAGCAACAGGCAGTGAGAATATGCCACTGAGTGATGTAGCTAACCAACGCACTGCAGGCAGGTCTAGTGGATACACTAACCCAGCTATCAGACTGCTTTACTAAAGGCTAAACCAAGCTTAAAGGCTGTCATCACCCCAAGAGACTGGAGGCTCCTTCCATATGTCTCTCTACCGTTCACTCCCTCAAAAACAACCTGGACTAATATTAACTTAGAATGTAACTGACTAAACAGCAGGAGATAAGTGATTACTGAAAGAAGCATGACTCAGCCATTTAGGTAAGCAGCTCACATCAGCGTGTTTTACACTGTTTGTACATTGTTAACTGGCTTATTTGTAACATACTGGTAAATCATATATATATATATATATATATATATATATATATATATATATATATATATATATATATATATATATGGTACCGTCCCCAGTACAAAGAGAAGCACTGTTAAAATGCATTTTTAGCACAGCCACACAATGGGTTACAGCATGTTTATTAATAGAAATGTCCTTTTTAACATGGACAACGTAGTAAAAAAGTGCAAACATATGAAATTTACTTAGCAGAGCCAATCAAACTCTTATCCCTCCCAGCAGTGGTTCACATGAGAGGAGACAGAGTTTCAAAAGACAAACAGCAAACAAAGATCAGGACATTTCTTTGGTAAAAGAACACAATACCTTGTAGATCAAACAGGCAACATGAACAAGGTATGCAAAACAAAACAGCAGACACAACACAGAAAGAGAATTTTTACTCATTCCTATTCTGTGAGAAAAGAAAAGGTAAAAGCTCAACTAAAGATGGCCTGGAGGAAAATATCCAGTGTTTGTCCACAGTGAAAATAGTGTAACACTACTGAAGATGACCATACAGGTAATCAAAAAAGACACTAGCTTATTATGAAGTCAGGGCTATTATACAAACCAGCTTAGCTGCCCATGTTGTTCATTTGTCTCAAAGTGCTTTCCAGTCAATGGGCTTCTTTCCCGCTTTCTTCAGTAGGTCATTGGTTTTTGAGAAATGCTTACATCCAAAAAAGCCACGGTGCGCAGACAGCGGGGAGGGGTGGACAGTCTGCAGTACGTGGTGCCGTTTCTGCAAGACCACAAAAACCAGCATTACCAATCACGGTACAGCAATTGACCTCATATCTTTACTAAAGTTCTAACAATAACTTTCATGCTCACATGCAACATACATGTTGGAATTACACCAATAGAATTAGGGTAATTATAAATCAGGGCTGTTAAAATTTACCTTCTTGATGAACAAGCGATTAGTTGGCAGTTTGTGTGATGATTATGTGCATGTTAAATTCTTCTACTGGTCTTTTTTACAGTAAAAAACAGAGCATGATGGACACACCCATGTAAATGCATTTGTTGCCACTTTGTGATTTTATGTGTTTTTATTTAATGGAATCTTTTTAAAGTCGACATTAATTGGAAATCAGAACATATTTCTCTTCCTTAACGTGACATATATCTAAATGAAACAGACAATTTTGGCGACAAGTAATTATGGACATAATTCTGTAGTGAAGAGGTTCTTGGTCTCCTCTCGATACTCATGAACATGAACAGAGAGAACAGAGACATTAATCTCTTTATTAATGTCCATCTGCTACTCAAACTACTCAAAATACTCAAGTATTAGAGAAGGGTAAGAAGTAATGCTGATAAGTGCAGGAGATGCATGAGTAGGAGGAGCCATGATAGCTTATTGGTCATTATTGGTAAATATAATTTTTCCCCTGCACGGTGTGCTTTTAACAAAAAAAAAACTCTGATCATTTGATTAATCATCAAAATAACTGGTAGATTACCAACATACACACGATACTGGAGATCAGGTCAAATATGAAGCACATGGATAGTCATTTCAATATAACATCAGTCCTGAGTTCTGATGGAATCATTAACAGCTCCATTAATCTTTCTAGACACATCTAGCTCAATATTTCTGGTTCCTTCCTACAAATTAATATAAACCTGTGAATCATATTAGTATCAATTTGTGATCTGTAACACAACTGGTTTTATATTTCTGAACTTTTGAAGAGTGATTCCAAATGTTTGAACAGTGAATAGAGCTGTACTCTTTTTTTTGTTCCACTCCTAATGCAAAATGTACCCATTAAATGATTAAATTAAAATGAGTCTTGGCATATTATCAAATGTTGACATTATCTGATCAGTAATAATAAAAAAAATCTCTCAGACATACTCTATCAATCGTAGCCCCCTTCTTCTGAGCATAGGCACCCCATAGCATGAAGACAAGGCCCTTCAGGTTAGTGCTGAGCCAGTGCACCACAGCATCTGTCAACATCTCCCATCCTTTGTCTTTGTGAGAGTTGGCTTGATGTGCCCGGACAGTTAAAACAGCGTTCAGCAACAGAACACCTACAAAGTCAGAAAGTTTGTCTTTTAATGCAACGTCACTGAGAGCATTAGCATTATACATTTGGTTATATATTTATTTCAAATTGCCATAAACAGTAAATTAGAAAAAGTGAACACCTTGCTTTGCCCATCCAGTCAGATCACCATGACCAGGATGCTGAAAGCCCTCAATGTCTGCCTCCAGTTCTTTATACATGTTCACCAAGCTAAAAACAAAAGAAACACATTATACATACATCTTTGTGTCTCATAAACATAAACATCATACTACAAATACAGTGACCGCTTTACTTGAGGCCTGCTTCAAGCCACTCCGTCCTTCTCCAGAATATATGACCAAATTATTAATTTTTGTGAATTATTAAAAAAAAAAATACTGCTCAATAGTCCACCCATTCATTTAGTTATTTTTAAGTTAAAATGGCTTAATTTATATTTCCTTGTCAGACACAAGCAGAAAACATATTTAACATGATTTTACACAAGGCCAAGGTTATTATAGCTAAATAAAACTTTTACTAAACTGAAAGTTAGCAGTGAACAAAAATGTGCTCGTTAACTGTAATAAAAATGAGTTTTCTAAAACAAGAAAACTAAACCAAAACTGTAACGTACACTGCAAAATGAACTAAAATAAAGTAATATTACTAAGAAAAAAAAAAAAATCACAACACTCATCATAATTATAGAAACTAACATTAAATTAAAACTAAACTAAAACTTTTACTGTTCAGAAAATAAAAGCAAAAGTACAATTATTAATGCACCCATGACTAACTCAAACAAAACTGAAATCAAAAACCAAACTTAAAATGTAAAAACTACAGGGTGTCTCAAAAGTTAGGAAATAAAAATAAAAAAGGTCTGGCAGATGGTGATCCAATTTTATACACAATCTGTGAGGGAAGGGGGAAACCTGTTAGGCCATGTCACCAACATGGAACATTTCCTAATTTCTAAAATTGGATCACCGTCTGCCAAACCATTTTCATTTTATATGGGTTTTTCCTTACTTTTTAAGACAACCTTTTTGAGACAACCAGTATGATAATCCTGCTACAAACCCAATTCCAAAATGGACAGTATGTAAACTGCAAACAGGGACAAGATATTTAATGTATTATCTTGTCAACTTCATTGTTTTTTTGTAAATATATATATTCGTTCTGAAATTGATTCCAACATGTTCCAAAAAAGTTGCGAGAGGAGCAATTTAAGACTAGAAACATTGTTCAAAAGACATTTTAAAAATGGTGATGTAATCATACTTATGCATAAAAAGGAGCATCCAGAAAAGGCCGAGTCCTTTATGAGTAAGGATAAGTTGAGGCTCACCCCTCACTGGCTATGTTTACATGCAAAGATTTTTGCCGATCCGATTGAATACATTCCGATTATAGATTTAGACGGAGGTGTTTATATGCTCATTCAATAACCTGATGAAAATGTCCGTTTACATGCACACTACAAGTAATCTGATCCAAAATCATGCGCATATGTAGAGTACTGCTTAGTGTAGACATTACCATGACAACAAGCATCACGTGAGTCCTGTCAGACTAAGCAGTGCTTGGGTTTTTAATTGCTTTAAAATGATGGCAGTCTCAGGAAAATGTTCACATCACTTTACATGTACTTATTAAAGAAAAGTAAGAGAGGAAGAGAGGAAGACATGTTCTGAGACACGTAAACTGGACACCAGCTTTAAAGTTCAAAGCATAAACTTCGTCTCTTCTGCAGACCAGTTTCTGCTCCTGCCTGTTGAACGCTATAAACTTTCGCCATGACGTGAACGCACATGCGCAGAACGTACTTTCATGTTCTGATTGGGAATGTAATCAGATACAGACGTTTACATGGTTATTATTCTTCTATTTAACTGATTATTTACAGGATTACCCACCTCTTTCAATCGCGTAGAAATTGTATTCCGAATGGCCTCAATCTGACTAGTTTATTCCGAGTGAGATGTATACATGGACGTATTCTATTCCAATTGAGCCAGTAGTCGGATTATTAACGAATTATTAGGCTGCATGTAAACGTGGCTACTGCCAGAAAATGCATTAGCAAAAAAATCTGTTTAACAACAACATTTCTCAGCAAGCATTTGCAAAGATTTTAGTTATTTCATAGTGCATAATATTAAGAGATTCATGGAATATAGGAAAAGCTCTGTGAGTAAAAGCAAGGCCAAAAACCACAACTGAATGCCCTTGACCTTCAATCCCTCAGATGGCACTGCATTAAAAACCAGCATGCTTCTGTGATGGTGATCACATAGGCTTGGGAATGCTTTGACAAACCATTGTCAACAAACACTGTTCTTTGCTGTATCCACAAAAAGATGATGACAACGACAATGACAACAATGACGATGACAACGACAACAACGACAACTTTTCGGTTGTTACCAATGTAAATTTCAAAAGTCAGGATCTGTCTTGGTATGGTGAAGATGGGCACTAATGGGCAACTTGCAAATTTGAAAGCACTATTAACACTGAAAGGTAAATACACATTTTGGAGTAACTTGAATATAGTGTTTTTGTATTGTTTTCACATTTCACATTTTCAAGTCAAACCGAATATTGTGACTGTCCCAAGAGAAACATGTAGCAACATTACAGAAGAAGGTGAAAACTTTTGTTATGTTTATGTAAATTAATGTAAAGGGGGTGGTTTTGATGGTCTACCAGGATTTACAAATATACCAAGATTTAATTTATTTAACTCTTTAATACTTTTTGATAATACTTGGAGGTTCACAAACAGGAAGTTCATAAACAAATCTGATTTTTCATGCTGAAGAACATTTTGTCCTCTTGCCTTTGAAGATTTCCACTCTCAGCCATCTTTTACACACCAGCAGTTCAAACCGGATCATACTGATTAACCCTTTTAAACAGAATGTCTCGCTGGTAAACCTTGACTCTGTGTTCACACCAGCAGTGATTTTTGCTGCTTAAATCAATGGTTGCTCATCGACTATGGGCATTTCTGAACCAACCACTGGCTGCTATGATTTCACTGATGGCAAGCAAATGCCATGGCAGTACACCACATTTTACTTGCTAGTGTCTACAGAGCTTTAACAAAATCACAAATCCGATACCTTCACACATGGTTCTCATCACAGATCAGATGTGTTCCTGCTAAAAATAAAAAGTCTGGGGGATATTGCTTGTCTGTAAAGCATCCCAGCATAGTACTTCACAGTCCGTGCAGTCTGAAGAAAACCTGTCTGATCTTTGCACTCACTGCCATCTATATGCCACAAAAGCACCATGAGCGTTCCTCCATCTATAGTAGGAACAAATATCTAGGAACCAAATAATGGGCATACTGTTTTACAGTGGCTCCGGCATCGTTTACGGCAGCTCTCATTGAAAATTAACGCCCTTCAGCCACTTTGCAACGTCGGGTTGTTGCCGGTGTGAATGCAGGGTGAGAGACTTAAAGTGCCCTTAAACTCAAAATCTGCTGCCACAGGATTTAAGACTTACATGTCCATGTTGTCTAATGAAAAATAAATTAGCATGTGGAACTGGAGCTTTGTGTTTGTTTTCCATCAGTGTATAAAAGATGCATGAGGCGTCCTTTATTGTTGGCACACTTCAATATTTTTAGAGCAAGCATGCAGTTCACTTTTTCTGAGCAAAAATCTAATCGATAAGTAATTATTATTGATTTGTTTCATCACAGTATACAATCACAATTAAAAGTGACCGATGTGCAAGAGCTGCACTGATACAACAGAATTTTGTACTAATCCTGAGATAAAGTTAATCAAGAACTCAGAACAACAGAAAGTTTTTCTAAACTGATCTTTGCAGGTTAATAATTTTTACAATTTTATGGTTACGTTATGTCACACAAAAGCATCTAAGTATGTTAGTTAGCTATGTTGTGTTGCTCTATATGCTTTTCAAAGCTGGAAAAGGGTAAGTAAAATTCATTACATACTTGAATAAGTAAAGTAAAATTCATTACATACTTCATTACATACTTCCTCAAATATAATTTTACTATTAATGCCAAAGTTTTGTCTATTCGTATTTACTGTAAATTATGCTAAACTGAGCTGCGTTCATGCTGACTGGACAAAAGTTATTCATCCGGAAGTATAGCCAACCATTATGGTTACATTCTTATTTGGAGACAAGCAGATTAAACAGCAGAATTAGCTGCATTCTGTGTTGGCCTTAAAGGGCTAATACTACGTAGGTTGTGGTTGTACTATGAAGGTTTTATTATAGAATGATTCAAAATATTTGTACTATTGTGGAAAAAGCTGTAATAGATAAAAGTAGACATTGTTTTTATGTTCAGAATGACTTGAAGTAGCAAAAAAAACGTGTAAACGTGTTTACTTGACTGTAACTATGTCAACTCTAAAAGTCATGTAGACCTGTGTTTACTACCAACCATGTGACCTCTAAACCAAAACCAACAAAATCCGAGGTCAGAAAAATCAGAGGTATATAGACAGAGGACTCCAGTCACTGTAACTGTCCGCAACATATGCTCATCAGACATTATTTAAAATCCAAACAAATTACAGAACTAATACTTTGCCAGGAAAAGGTAACGTCCCTTTATGTACAGTGTCCTTGAGCAGCTTGAGGCTAAGGCTTTAACATTAGCTACCAGAAAGTCACCAATTCAGCCTGCCTATATATAACTATAATAACATACTACAGTAGTAGACCGTAATGACCTACATGTACTTAATTGGTGTAGTTATTCAAATTGTCCGTTCCAATTTAAATGGTGTGGCAGGTTATGCCCCAATAAAAAATTCAAATAAGAAGCTGGCATTTACAAAGCTAACTTCAGCTTCATTCTCTCTCCTGTGCTGGTCTTCACAGACACGTTCAAACAATTTGAGCGGCAGCAAAGCAAAACTGAAATTGCTGGCTGTGTGTCACTATTAAACAGTTTCTACAATAAACACTAGAAAAAAGATTAATCAGTGTTCATCAAAAAGAGATACAACACACAAGAACAACTCTATTACCGGTTTGATTCCACTTGAAAACACATCTCACTCGATATGCAGAATACAGCAAAACAAAAGAAGCAGAAAGCAACGCTCTACGCTAGCTGAGTGACATCTGTAGCCTCAGTTTGTGATGAGACAAATAAAAATAAAAATCACAAACAACAGTGCTAAGTGCAAATTATAGCCTAAAATGGATAGATAACTGTCCTCTGGTGTCAAGGATGTTGGAATTTGTAGCTCGTACTGTAGCGTACATAGTGTAGCAATTATAGTAAGCTTGCTTTAAATAAACTGTTTTTATTTATTTTCAGCTTTTTTATTTTTTAGCATATCCTGAATTTCGGTTTCGGCCAAAAAATTTCATTTAGGCGCGTCAATACAGGGAATAAATACCTTCGGCAGACAACAAATGTGATTTTTATCTAACAGACATATAATTTAGTAAAACTACATCAGTTAATAATAAAAAGCCCAGATGAGGATAAGGGTGAGTTTTGCCCACTGAAAATGTATTTTAAGACCCCTGCTCTAAACTGAATTCTGCCCTCAGTTTTGAAATCAGTGTTACCTTGGAGGAGGTGGAACAGGCCTCTGCACACTGAAGCACAGCCCATGAGCCTGGTTTGGTCCATGATAAGGATCTTGGCCGAGAACAACAACCTTCACCTGCCAAAACCAACACAATTATCATTAGCAGGTGACTGTAACTCCAGGATCTGAGTCCACTGACTGACACAAAGTTTAACAATAATACAAAACAAAGACAGAAGAAACATTTCCTTCTTGTGACATAATTATTTCAATGCGTTCTCTAATCCATTCACAAAGACAACATAGTGTAGTAAAACTCACATCTTCAATCTTACACATCTGTGTCCAGGTGAAAACTTGGTGAGGGGGTGGATAGACTGTGTGTTTCTGCCTCTCTTCAGCAACAAAGTTCATTAACTGTTGAAGAAACACATATTCCTTCATGAGGAAAACACACAGAAGAACCAAACACAGAACAAGCAGAGTAACAGCTCCTATTATTTATGTATTTATTTTTTTACAGCATAGCAGTGCCAGCTAAAAGACATGAAAATTCATGAGAACTGAAAATCTCCTGTAGCAGGGTCTAGCCACATCACTCCAAAGAGAACATTTTTCTCATTTTAATGTAAAAAATGTGGTGCGCTTAGAACCTAAAATACAGGTGTAACTGCTGTAGAACTATTTATTGCAACAACTACAATAGTTTAATAACTACGCAAACACAATTACAAATGTCAAACAATTCTACTGTTTTCTACAACACCAACTCCAAAAAAGCTGGGACAGTATGTGAAATGCCAATAAAGACAGAAGGCAGTCATTAGTTAATTCTGTTTGACATGTATTAAATGAAAAACAGCACATAAACACATTATATCATGTTTTACCTTATGAGCTTGTTTTTTTTTTTTTTTGCCCAAAATCCAAAAATGATGTCTGGAACACGTTCCAAAAATTCGGGAAAGAAGCAAGTTTATTACTGTGTTACATTACCTTTTTTTGTTTTAAAACAACAGTTAATAATCAGTTGAGGCTGATTCAAACTGAAAGCATAATTTGTTTGCTATTCTTTTGTTATACAAGTCTTTAGCCGTGCAATCATGCAACCATACAATGGCCTTTGTTGTCATATTTTTAGCTTCATAATGCAGCACCCGTTTTCAATAGGAGACACGCAGGCCAGTCTAGCACCCGCACTTTGTTTACGCAGCCATGCTGTTGTAAATGTGTAAATGTGCACAATGTTTCTTGACATCTTTATGTTGAAATAGCCATGAATATCCTTGAATGTCCCATCATCTAGAAGGCAGAATATGTTACTCCAAGATGTGTTCACCGTTAATGGTGCCCTCATAGATGTGCAAGTTATCCACTAATACCCCCCTATACTATGACAGACATTGGCTTTTGAACTTTATGCTGGTAACAATCTGGATGGTCCTTTTCTTGTTTGGCTCAGTGAACACAACATCCACCATTTCCATCAACAATCTGAAAGCTTGACTACACATTTCCACCACGCATCAGTCCATTTCAAATGAGCTTGAGCCCAGAAACATTGGCAGCTATCTCCTTTTGAGACCCTTATCTATTATAAATAGAGGCAATTCTAAAATTTTTGCCCATCATATGCGTTCTACAAGCTCCAAAATCACAGTGCATGGACTGAGATGATCGCTATTTGTGATGTTATTTTTAGACAGTCGTTTAGCTCTCACAGCAGTTACAAGAGTCCAGAGAAATCAACTAAAATGAATTTCAGACAAAAAGAAAGTCGTAGCAGATTGTCCTGATTGCAAACAATGGACATTTTCATATATTAACCTTTTTTTGTTGTCTATTCATTCGAAAGTTTTTGAACAAAGAAATTCTAATATGCAAAAATGAAACCAAATCCATTGCTAAACGTGCCTCTCTTTTCACATTTCAGTAACATTATCTTAGTTCTGATTGGCCTGTTAATATTAAATACTATATCGCTGGGTTGGCCAAACGATAACTGTCAACTGTTGGTGTGCTGTGATTGGTAGAGGGGTGAGAATTTCTCTCAGAGTTCTCTGCTGGCAGCCCCCCTCTTCATCATTTAAACACTCATCAAATCTATTGAATTCCTGTGAATGACACATCAATCATTCAGGTCACAGGCTTTCTTGTATGTAACACTTAACTTTGTTTTCTTTTACTTATTGATTGTTGCTTTGAAGAAAAACTGTATTCCTGAGTGTCTTTATGCTTCAGTAATGTAAAAATACTGACATTTCAGTCTTTTTTAAAAAACACAGTATTCAGTGATCCAAATCCAGAAGGGTAGAGGATCAATGTTTCTAAGGTCAAACTGACAAGTTTTGGTCAGGTGTTTGTGTCAGATATTTTAATGTTGCACACAAATCAAAGGTGTCACAGGAAAAAAGCTAATCTACTTTTTTCCCCCCAAAAAAACTTTAGCTGATCTGACTACATATTAGATGATCTTCCAAGAGAGGAAACATCTGCAATGTCTACACACTGCTGATGATCTGTCTAGTCAGCCGTTCTCAACTTCGGGGTCACTACATGCATCCTCAGGTAAAACAAACTCAGGCAGCTCTTTCTGACAGGACTATAGCTAAGGGGACAAGTGCTGTGTCCTAACAGTTCAATGAAACTTCCTTTTCTATCTGTGCTCCTTGATTTTGCCCAACCTGTAGCTGACAGCTGCGCTATACAGAGACAGAGCTGTCTATCAGGTGGATGCACATTATCATCAGATTGAGCAAACTCAAGGAAAACAGATCCGAAAGGAGGTTCCATTGAGGGCAGTCTACAGGGACTCCATTATAGTGAAAAATGAGTTTAAACAATGGATACATCTGAAACTTAACATGTTACGTTTGTTATTCAGTTAAATTCATGTAAAAAAATAAATAAATCATTCATAAATCAAATAAGTCATTCAGAAAGTCAAAGTGGTCTGATGTAAGATGTGCCACTGCAAAGAAACTACAGTCAACTTTTCACCATTGTGATGCTAGAAGCTAGAAGCATTTAATAAAGCTAACTCAAAGACAGTTGTTGTACGAAATTAAAAAACATTAATGGCGGAGGGGTACATGCAGAGTGTTGTGAGGCAAAGTAGTACTCAAAGGAAACATTTTTTCAGAGTTACTCCTACTTTACTATTATCAACATTACATAGTAGACATTGTGATATGTTGGTTCTACATAGCACCAAAAATGGTTCTGCTATTATTATGATGCTTTTTGGTGCTATACAGAACCATTATCAATAAGGTTCTATACAGAACCATGTGCAACGCATACTCCATCAGTCTGAGCAACCATTTCACTATACAAAGAACCATTTAGCATGTAAATGGTTCTATAGAGAACTCCTAGTCCTATGTAGAACCATTGCCTTTACTCTTTTTAAGCATGTACAATAAGTTACACCATTTTACATGAAAACAATCTGAATGACTTTGTTTACATCTCAACGATTATTATGCAGGATTAAAAACAGTGGAAACGTTCTTTACCTGAATATTTCTGAAGCACTGCGTCTAGAGCATGCGCCACACCGCTACCGTGCCAAGAGCTCTTACCTGTTTGAAGTAGGGTTTTCCAAACTCGGCGCTCAGCGCTCTCCTCCAGCTCTCCCCGATGCCGTCCGGAGTGGAGCGTGCAGACAGTCTCTCCAGCGCCGCCTTCTTGTTCTGGGCGATCCTGTCGAGCTGCTCGGGGCTCAGGTTCAGCCTGGGCGAGTCTGCTGCTGGAGAATCGCCGCTCTCCGACTTCAGCCTCTTCTTCGCCTGCGACGAAATCTCAGTGTACTTAGTGGAGCTCCACGGCCGTTTGAGGAGGAAACCGCTCGACAACAAGATTAACGGGCGAACATTTGAAACCACCATCACAGCCATTACTGACCGCCTTCTCCACACTGCGGACTGACCGGTCATTACTGCACCGAGCTGATGAAAAGCAGATCTAAAACTTTCGAAACGGATAAACACGAAAGTGGCGGGGAGTTCACGAGGCCGAAGTCGGCTTTCTATTCGCCAGCTTCTTGTTCCAACTTTGCTTTTCTACTTTAAGTGGTTTATGTGTTACTAGCTATAAAGCTAAGGGAGCAGTAACTTCGCGCCGGCGGTTTGAATGCATTCTAGCGCCTGGGCGTTATAATAATAATAATAACGACAGCAGCAACAACTGCTGCGCAATTTAACCTAAGGGTGGAACAGGACAATTCGAGGAAGCTGGCGAATCAGCCTCGTCAGGAGTTTCACATGTAGTTAAAACAGAAAACAGCTACACGTAAGTGAGTTTTTTATTGATAACTTTCAGCAGCCAAAGCAACACATTTCAACTGTATCTATTAATAATATGTTTACTTATTAAAAAGATCTCAGCGTGTTTTGCAAAGAAGTGGCTTGCGTGTGACGCATGATCTCTACTTCCGGGTCATCTGGATTTCGCGGGAGAATTGCAGCGCGTGTCAGTCATTGAAACGATGCTGCAAACAGGTTCACATACAGGACAAATAAAAACAACAGTAACGGTTCTGAATAAACGTTGGAAAGCCACAGAGTCCCCGAAAACCCACGGCAGTGAGGCAGTTCGTTATGTTTCCAAAGTACATTTATGTGTTACTAGCTATAAAGCTAAGGGAGCAGTATCTGAGCCGGCGGTTTAAGTGACTCAGTTCAGACTCGGTCTTTACTCACATTATAAGCGTCCTCGCTTCCAGTTTGCTCGCCGAGGTCTCTTTTTTTGTTCGTTGGGGAGAAAAAAGACGTAATGCTTTTCTGTCCAATCATTCTGGTAAATAAAAAGACTCTAAAAGTGCCAAGATAAACGACTGTATGTAGAGGTAGCTGGCGACGTCTGATTCTCCTGGACTTTGCTTTCTTGGCTCCCGCCAAATATTGTAAGCCAATGGAAACGCGAGGTTTGAGGAACGTCCCTACAGTGTCAGATCAGCTCAGATGCAGTTTGAGGGAAAGGCTGTATTGTATGGGAGGCAAATCCAGCCAAAAAAGAAATTAAAATTAAAACCATAAAACGAAAATGCAAACCTCTTTTTGCCATTTCTTTTTCCAAACATCTGCGCAAATGTCTACATTTGCAATTTCATTTTTCACATGAGCACGGGCCATTTGTGACAAAAATAAAAATAAATGCAAAACAGCTATTTGTCATTTCATTTTAGCCGTTATTCTGGTTTTTCATGGCCAAATCAAAAATGGAAAAGCTAATAAAGAAAAGAAAATCCAAGCTTCACTTTGGCTTTGGCTTTTCTTCATGAAATGCAGAATATGTGTCAAAACTGAAATCAAAATGCAATGTTCACGTTCTCATTTCTTTTTCACAGCAATCGGCTGCATATCTGACAAAATGAAAATGCAAAACTGATAAATCAACAGCAAAGTCACAGTTTGTGATTCGGTTTTCGGCGTGGACGCGCTTTAAGTGTCAGAATGAAAAGGCAAATGCAAACGAACATCAGTGCCACCTGCTGGACATTTACTTTACATTTTCCACTTTTCGATTTCATTTTCAAACTGACCAACATGCAAATATATGTTAATTAGCACTAGGCGGGGCTACGGGGTACATTTTAGGACATCCTCAGACCTCCGAGTCAGAACGGCATCATTCCTCAAGCTAAACGATTTCGAGTCTCGAGAAAAAACACCGTCATGACTCAAATCTGGTGAAACTGAACGTCAGAACAAACACCGTCAGAAAAAACTGGAAATGTTATTCTGGCATTTATATCGAGATACATAATAGTTTTCTAAGTTATACGAACCAGTATATGCTCGACCAGGCTTGCGTTTGGTCTGATACCTTTCCTCTGAGGCCGTTTGGTCTGACAGTGTTCGTTCTGACGTTCAGTTTCACCAGATTTGAGTCATGACGATGGTTTTTCTCGAGACTCGAAATCGTTTAGCTTGAGGAATGATGCCGTTCTGACTCGGAGGTCTGAGGATGTCCTAAAATGTACCCCGTAGCCCCGCCTAGTGCTAATTAACATATATTTGCATGTTGGTCAGTTTGAAAACGAAATCGAAAAGTGGAAAATGTAATGTAAATGTCCAGCAGGTGGCGCTGATGTTCGTTTACATTTGCGTCCACGCCGAAAACTGAATCACAAACTGTGACTTTGCTGTTGATTTATCAGTTTTGCATTTTCATTTTCATTTTGTCAGATATGCAGCCGATTGCTGTGAAAAAGAAATGAGAACGTGAACATTGCATTTTGAATTTAGTTTTGACACATATTCTGCGTTTCATGAAGAAAAGCCAAAGCCAAAGTGAAGCTTGGATTTTTTTTCTCTATTAGCTTTTTCGTTTTAGATTTGGCCGTGAAAAACCAGAATAACGACTAAAATGAAATGACAAATAACTGTTTTGCATTTATTTTTATTTTTGTCACAAATGGCCTGTGCTCACAGAAAAATGAAATTGCAAATGTAGACATTTCATTTCATTTAAAATTTTGGCAGGATATTTGCGCAGATGTTTGGAAAAAGAAATGGCAAAAAGAAGTTTGCATTTTCATTTTATGGTTTTAATTTTAATTTCTTTTTTGGCTGGATTTGCCTCCCATAGTATTGTAGCCACTCAGATATACCTCAAACATCTCTTTTTACTGAAAGACAGAGAGTGACATATACTCATATACTTACCTACCTAACATTGATCCATATGTTATCTTGCTTACAGTAAAGCTCTGTAGTATTACTGTAAGAAACTATTTGAATACTTCCAAATGAATTCTGTTTCCGTCCCATAACATTCCTGTAATGCTGTCTTATAGGAAGCTATAGTACTTGTGTAGAATTGGGTAAAGTATAGTACTTTTATAAAAGACTACGATTAAAGGGGGTTGGTAGGTTTTAGGTTTTGAAATTTTTATTAAAAAAAAAAGAATTCAATGAGTTATATATAGTATAAGTATGTTTGTTCTCTCATTGGGTGATGGGCTGAGGTTAATGTAACTTTTAGCACCAAATCAGATGCCCTCAGATTTGCCTGAGCACAAATCTGAAAACATTATTAGTAGCTACTATACATACATGTAAGTCATTATTTCACTAAAATAACATTACTTTATTAAAGGAGAATTTCACTGATTTTTTATCTTTATAATTAAATGGCTGAGATGTAAACAAAGCCATTCAGAGTGGTTTGATGTGAAACGCTCCATTTTAGAGAAACTTACTTACATTTTAGAGAAGGCACTAGGTTTCACATCAAATCATATAAAATCAGTGGAATTCCTGTTTATTTTGTAGATGGTTTTAAGTTACTGTACTTACATTTGTAGGTAAGATCCTGTGCAAAAGTTAAAGACCATCCTTCATTTATTTAATGATTGTTTTGACTGATAAGTAAATAAAAGAAGGGCCCCTGATTTTTATACAGTACTGTATGTCATGTGTGTGACACACATGTATCTCAAAGTGTTTGATTTTGATTTGATCAAATGCAGTGCAACCCTCTTTTATAAGTGTATTGTTTCTTTATCTGAACAGGTGCCAGAATGAAGAAGCGAGTAGCTACATGTGGGGAACAAGAGGAAACTGAAGGAGAGGACTTAGTAACGCTGCATACAAATCAAATATGTGAAACTGTAGAAGATGATGAAGATGAAGAATTTTCTCACCCAATTCCTTGGCGAAAGATTGAGGCAGAGGGACTGGACTGTGACCATGGCTTGCTTTTTTCCAAAGAAGAAGCGGATAGACTTTTCAGCCGACTAGAGGAGGAGGTGGAGTACTTCACAGGTTTGTAAAGTTCATGTTTTACCAACCCCAAGCATAGTATGAAGACGTCTGAAGTTTCTTCTCCATTTGCACACTGAAGCTATAAGGGTGATGTAGACTACTAGATTACTAAAATGGATGCATTTCTGTCTTAGTCCACGAGATGGTGCCATTTCTTTATGGTGAGCTCAAGGACAGTGTCAGTGGAGTCATTTCTAGGACCAGGGTGAAAATGTAGTGGCACAGGGATGTAAATGATTAACAGATTAACTGCTGATACAATTTCAATGAATTTCAAATATTATTAACTGTTGATAGACGTAGATTGCATGAACTGTAGTGTTACATCCCTTCTAGTTAAGATGGTAACAAACTGTTAAGATGTACTCTTGGCTATGTTATGTTTTTCACCCTCTTCTTCAAGGTGACCAAGCTAAGGTGCAGGTGTATGGGAAGTTGCACAGTGTTCCCAGACAGCAGGCAACGTATGGAGATGAAGGACTGATGTATTCTTTCTCTGGAGTCCATCTTCTGGCCAGACCATGGACTCCTACGCTGGAGTATATCCGTGATGCTGTCACCAATGCAACAGGACAGACCTTCAACTTTGTCCTAATAAACAGGTAATTATAATCCAGTGAAGTTCTGATTTTATGGTCTTGAGCTTAATGTCAAGTAGTTTGCAGATATAGACTGCCTGTCAAAAGTTTGGGGACATCTAGCTTTTAATTAAAAAAAAAAAAAAACCTTTATAAATGAGCATAACCAGGCCACTGAATCATTTCAGATGAAAAATGGGAAAAAATTAGTTAGTTTTGAGTTTTAAACACCTCATTGTCAGTGCTGGACTGAGAACAGTCCACCAATCAAAAACATCCAGCCAACAGCGTCCTGTGGGCAGCGTTCTTTGACCACTGATGAAGGACTAGAGGATGACCAACACAAACTGTGCAGCAGCAGATGAGCTATCGTGTCTGACTTTACATCTACAAAGTGGACCAAAAACATAGGTGTGTCTAATAGAGTGGACCTTAAGTGGACACAATGTTTAAAAATTCCAGCAGCACTGCTGTGTCTGATCCACTCATACTAGCATAACACACATTAACACACCACCACATCAGTGTCACTGCAGTGCTGAGAATGATCCACCGCCCAATTAATACCTGCTCTGTGGTGGTCCTGACCACTGAAGAACAGGGTAAGCGGAGCTGATAAAACAGACAATGAGTGTACTTAATGAAGTGGCTGGTCAGTATGAGTCCCTACTGATCTCTGGTATTTGTTACACAGTGGAGAGGTCTGCGTCTCCTCTAATAAACATCCCCTGTTGTTCAGGTATAAAGATGGCCATGATCATATAGGCGAACACCGGGACGATGAGCGGGAGTTGGACCCCACCTGTCCAATCGCTTCTGTCTCTCTGGGGGCTGTGCGGGACTTCATCTTCCGACACAAAGATGCCCGGGTTGGGCCAAACAAACGCCAGATCAAGCCTGTGAAGCTGGAGTTGGATCACGGAAGTCTTCTGCTTATGAACTCTCCCACCAACACATACTGGTATCATAGCCTCCCAGTACGGAAGAAGGTGAAGACACCACGCATCAATCTCACCTTCAGACGCATCATTAGGAGCTGCCAAAGAAGTGACGTTAAAAACAAGTGACTTATTATTATTATTATTTCATGACAAACATGAAAACCAAGTTCATCATATCAGATTTGCAGTCATGTTGTTGATCAGGTAAAGCACTTTCTCTTGAAGCTTTTCTAACACTGTGTCCAGTGCCATGTCAGTTTTGTTTAGTATCACTTCCTGGCACTGGTAATGACGGTTATATACAATTGTATGTGAAAGTTTGGGAACCCCTGGTCAAATGATGTTTTGTTGATAAATAAGTTAACACATCCTCTCAAGGGAAAACACTTCTGCCTGTTTTAATGCACAATCACTGTTTATTTGCTGACTTTTACACATTGGGGAAAAAATAAACTATAAAATGTGGCCTGTGCAAAAGTTCTGGCACATTTTATATTGTGTTTTATTTTTTTCCATCATATTAACTTAGCAAATAAACAGAAAATGTGCATTAAACGCATTACTGAATCAGGAGGAAAAAAGAACATGCTAAAATATTAAACTGTTTCAACAAGCTTACAATCATCACATGAATCTGCTTGGGGGACCAAAGCACCACTGATGTTGCAAATTATTCTTCTGCACATTACGTCCAATTACACATTACCACCAGAGAGGTCTCCAAATCCCCAACACTTTATATAGTGTAGCTTTAAGTGTGTTTCCGGTAGAGGATGTTATTTTCACAAAGATAATCAAAAAAGCATGTCATTTGACCAGTAGTGCCCAAACTTTTGTATACGATTATGTTTAATGTGTACACTAGATATGGCATAGCAGCAACCAGGTTTGGACTGACATAATAGGTTGCATGTTTCAGTTTGATGATGTTTTGCACTATTACTATATATGCTGTGCTTTAAAAGTTGACAGCATAGTAAGTAAAAGAACAAATTCAAGATTATTCAAAGGATATGCATTTATTTTTTTTATAAAACCAAAAACTACATGTGGAATAAATAAATGAAACACAACCATACTTCTGTACAAGACATTTCTAATGTAGAGTGAAAAATCAAAACAAAACAATATGGTCCCCATGAGTACATTTTCGCAAAAAGGTTCAAAGATTGAACTAGAGAAGGCAATATTTTGGCAAAAAATTGTGGCAAAAATCATAAAAGGGTAATAACGAAAATGTTATTGTATAAATATATACATATTTTTGCAAGCAGACATAATCAGAGTGATTTTTTTTTACTAAAAGTCATACTTAGTGTTTTAAATGCCAGCACTGCTGGACTGAGTATGAGGTATTTGCACAGCTGTCTATCCATAACCTGCCTGTTAAAGTCTAATGAAAATCACTTTATTTTCCCCATGGACAGCTACACAAGCTAAGTCTTGACAGCAGACGCTTGCCAGAGAGAGACAAATACTTAATGAATTAGATGGGTACACGGTCAGAATTAAGAAGTTGTGCACTGTGGACTTTCAGAAGGTTGTAGTGCTATTGAAATGGTGACCTGCATTTCAAAGCTTCATTTTGTAACTCCGTACATACGATCACAGTTCGGACTGCACGTTAGTGGATGTGGAAAGAGTTTTGCTGGGAGATAAACAGTTGTGAGAAACACAAACTCGGGCAGACGTAAAACTCAAAATGAGCTTATTTCAGTAACACAAGGCACACAAACAAAAGCAGGACGTATGCTACAAGCTAACTCTCTAACTTAGTCTTCACAGCAGAATGGGTCCAAGCCGAACGCTCGAACCACTTTTAACCTGTGACTAGTACCACTCGCTCACATGACCTTATCGTCCATTTAGCTAGTTGTGGAATTTATTTAGAAAAACCTCTTCGAACTACAGCAGCAGAACCAACCTTTTCAGCGTGACTAACAGTGTGTTGACCCTCCTGAGCAAAAAAAAAAAATTAATAATAATAATAATACAGGTGAGAAATATTTTTGCTTTCACACAGCAAGTGGCAGTTGATAGCGATGATGACTAAATGAAAAGGTTCCATCTACAGAAGTCACGTGCCACTTTGGGAGGGACACAGACACGACTGCTCTAATGCCGCATTCACATGTAAGCAGACGGAGGACTGCAAACCAGAAATCCCACTGTTTTCAAATGACCCGTACCAGAAAATTCTGCCACTGCCAGCAGCAACGTTCTGTAGACTGCAGTGGTGAGCGGAACGTTCTTTCAAGAGTTCAAGTTTCCCAACTTCTGCTGTTGTTGGGAGCCATGGGCGCCAAACATCTCGTTGTTGAATTCCAGACAAACCCAGTATTAAACAACACAAAATAAGAGTACAGATCGTCTTCTTGACTGTTATCCACCTTAAATTAACACTCTCTGATAATCATCCGTTCTCGCCAGCACCACCGTCACCAAGCAACATCTACGTGGCTTCATGCCACCATTAGTCATGCTATGAGGCACAGAATGGCATCTTATTCCACCCAATGCAAACATGTGAACGCAGCATGAAAATGAGACAATGGTAAACCGTTTTAGATTTTAAGGTTCTTTGTATCAAAAATCCAATTTAAATTTTTAGTATAAGTATTAATAACAGTTAAAAGATTAATAACTTCACATGTAAAAAAAATATTTCTAACATGGCAAAATTAAACTTTAGTAATTATATTTTAGCAGCTAAACATTCAGTTAAAAGAAATTTTTTTTTTAGTTAAGGAATGCTTTCCTAGTTCATTTTAATAAGAAATGGGAATTTTAATAGGAATTTAACATGTACTAAATCAAGCATGTTAATTTTCTAAATTTGCCATTTCATTTCTTAATATTAAAACTGAATTATTCCATGTGCAAATTAAATTTGCTTTTACATTTAAGAAGTTTTAACATGCGACGGTCCAGTTTTCACTAGTAAGATATCAATTTGAACATGTAATATTTCAACTGAATTTTTTAGAATCACTTTTCTTGTGTAAACTGATTTAGCACATGTTAAAAAACTCGTACTAGAAAATGTTCCTCTAAATTAAAATGAATCAAGAAAAGCCATGATTTCTCACAAGTGAGAACTGAATTCTTATATGCTAAAATATAATTTCTACAATTTGACATTTTAGAATTTGATTAACAAAGTTCATGTTTTTACTAGTACTAAAAATTCTATCCATTCAAATTGAATTTTCAATATAAAAAAGTTTGGATTAAATGCTAAAACGGCTTTCCACAGGAAACAGCAGGTGGTGATGTTAGGACTGGCTGAACTGTTCTAGCATCAGTGCAATGTAAACCCCTACCCCCAAATCTCACAGCTTGATTCCTTAGCTTTCCTCCACATTTGCCCCCATCCTTACTGAAGAGTGACTGTGTTTCTGGGAGAGTAGATGAACAGATGAACAGATGTACAACTTAGCGTTTGGAGTAAAATGACTCAAAGTATACAGGGAGAGGAAAGGGAGATCACTAGAGTGTAACAGTTGGCAAAAGACAAGTTAGTTTTCTTCAGAGGAAGAGTCCATTTTGCCTTTCTTGTTAGGAGGAGCACCATCTTCCATATCCTGCCACAAAGAAAGAGGAAAAAAAACAGCACTATCAGCGAAAAACACTGGAAGACCATCAGCTGTCTGTGAACTAACTAGTGTTTACTATTCATATCTATAAACTCAGTCCACAGTAAAGACCAACTGCTTAATCCTAATACTGCCACTCTAAAAGAAGCCCAACATCTCTAAGATCAAATTCAATATAAGAAATGTGAGGTGCCAATAGCTGCTTGAATAGCCTTAAAATGTGCTGAATGTAGCTTAGTGTCTCAATGAGTAAACCTCAGAAAAAGAACAGGCTACTTGATTTATCCCTATGTTTGATTTTTATTGTGTTACCTGAGCAGCTTTGGAGGAATCTGTGAAGTGTTCTTGGTCTCCTTGCGATTTGCCATCCCTCTTGGCTGTTGTTGACTCCGATGAGGAGTGATTTTGTCCTGGTGATGAAGAGCATTACTGAGTAAAATACTACTTGAATCACCATTACTTTGAATCGATGCATAGACTAAAAAAACAAATTTACGCAGTTTCCGCCCCCTCACCCCAAATGCAGTTAATCAGACAAGACATGTCTGGTGTCTGAAGTCTGCTTCTTTAGTTTTGCACTTGAGCTACGAGGGCAATGTAGCTAAAAAGTAATGCAGGGGTGGGGGGCCAAGGGTGTGCAAGCCCCATGAGAGCCGCAAGAGGTGGCATGAGTACTTTGCCCAAGCAAAGAGAGCCGCGAAAGGTGGCATGAGCATGGTTCCAGAGCACCAACCAGCGGCAGTGTGCAGATGGCTGGCACAGTCACCTTGAGAAATGGGAGTGACTGTGAATGGTCTAGCAAATTGGTGATGAAAAAAATAATCCCTTGTTTCAGTGCAGGTAGCAAGCTAGCTAACTCACAAACCATAAACAGTAACAAAAAAAATGAAGATAAAATCGTCAGATAATTATATGCCCACAAGAGTACAGTGCTGCACACTGATCTGTAGCAAAGAAAACACATAACTGACATGGCTGGTGGCATTTGGGTGACTTGTGTGCAGCTGAAGTTAGCCATGGAGCTAACAATGGGGCAAGTAAGTTGGCTTACTCGTCTACCATAAATACAAAAATTATAGATAATTATATACTCATTACAACACAGTGCTTGACACTGATCTGTAGCAAGTGTAAATAACTAGCATGGCTGGTGGCATTGGGGTGACTTGTGTGCAGTTGCGGTTAGCCAAGGAGCTAACACTGCAGTCTGCGAGCTGGCCTGTTAGACAGTGCTTAAATTAGGGCCACCCTTTCAGAAGTACTCAATGCAACAAAATGAATGTAATTTTGCTCATGAAATTTCACTGGCCAACATTAGTATTGGACTTGGTTCAATCAGCTGAATTAGGAGTGTGAGCAAGACAAACCATCAAACTGTGCAGGAATTTAGCCCTCCAGGACCAGAGTTCATGCTGTACTATTCAGACTATTCAGTAGGTCAGTCTTAAACTAGCTTTCTTAAAAATACATTAAAAAAAATACATTTAATCCTCATTCTCACCTTGCAGGTGATACTACATCATCAGAGACCTTCTGTTCTTTGAGTGAAGTTATACAGTTTGGAGGAGGGGAATGTAAGGTTTATTCTCTCTAGATCTTGATGCTTATGCAAATATAAAGAAGCAAACTTAAAATATTAAGCGTTCCTTTGATTACAACATTTGTGCTCCGGGAAAAACTATGTAATTTATATTTTTGGCCAAATCATTGCTTTATGCATAAAACTCAGTCTAACTGACTCACCAGTCTTGCTGTCCTGACCAGACAAAGACTGTTTGCTAGGAAACTGGTCGCTCTTGGTCTCGCTGCTGTCGTTCTGAGACGCTGCCATGGGTTCAGGGGTGGGGCTAGTGTTGTTACTGGTCTCCTGCTTTAAAGGGGAAGAGTCAGCGATGGAGCTCTGGTTACTGTTATCATCTGCAAAAGAGGAAACGCAATAGGTTAAACAAATCACTGGCAAGAAGACCATTGCTCAAACATAATTAGCATCACGGTCAACACTGTAGAGATCAGTTCATTTCAAGTCTGCATATTTTATTGCTTGATGGCACCCTCCAGTGGTAAGAGAGAATAAATGGCCTGATAACCAAAAGCTGATTATGTGCAGACATACATATGTGTAAATGTTCAAATTTATTATAGCATACAAGATACCATAACTAATATAAAAATGTATATACATGCAATGTCTTGATAAATTCTTATGGAAAAACAAACTAAGGCCAAAAAAGTCTCCCAGCAAACTCAACTGCACATATATTTCCATACGGATATATGTATCGCCAACGTCTGTGTCATTACCATGCATGTCCATCATTCCAGGAGAAGAACTGTTCTCTGGTGTAGTGACTTCAGAGCCATATTTGTCATCCTTGCCCTTCTTCTTGTTCTTGTTCTTCTGCAAAGAGAAAAAGACTGAATATAATGTATTGCTCTCTTATGTACAAGTCACTAATCTAGAGTGGGCACATGAAAAGTCATATGAAAATTTTACTCATAAAGCGCATTTCACAATATAGAGCCACAAAAATACGAAGTTATTTATACTGATGCTTTTACAACGCTTGGCATAATAAAGTGGAAATTAAAAAAAATAAATAAAATTACGGCCCTCGAAAAATGGAAAACCCTTTTTTCTTACTTACATCATCAGACTTGGGTTCCATCACTGGCACCCACTTGTAGATTCGCAAAGATGTGTCACCGACCGTTACCCATTTCTTCTCCCTGAGGAATGAATCAGTTTTGAGTAAATAGTGTGTGTATATATATACATATATATATATATATTTTTTTTTAAATGACATCAATACTACAGGCCACACCTTCACATACTGATATGATGATTACAAATATCATTTTCAATTGTTAAATGTTTGCCAGATGATTTTTTTTCCCTTTCTGGCATTATAAATATTTGTTGTGTGGTTACAACCTTTAACAAAAGAGCAACAAGCCTTGAAGCTAAAAAGTCTGTTAAATTACTGCTACATTAGCAAACCGCTCTAAGCTAAGTGATGCTTACATAGGCAGTTTACACCACAAACAAAGCTTTTAGTAAGCTTTTGTGCTTGGCCTTGGCAATATACCATTTATTAATCTGCAATACGATACTACAAACTGTCAGCAATATATTTTACTCAGAACATGAAGGCTGTGAACATATTTCCATTGTGAGCCATAAGTGTTCTCACACATCAAATTAATTTGGTCTGAGAATTATGGCACAAAAACAAATCATTTTTAATTATTCTACTACACATATTGCCTACAGTGTTGGGTAATGTGGCAAAGTTGAGCAACACGATATTTCAAGATATTTTTGTGATACACAAGTATCACTATCTATTTTTTAAAACTTCTGTATAATTCAATTGTTGAGAAGTTAACAGTCATTCAGAGTGAAATGTTTCATTGCAGAGAAACTTACAGGCTTAGATTTCTTTACAGTGGCAGATGGTGCTGATAGGAACCAGAAGTCACAATGTTCACAATGCAAATGTAGCCATTTTATGTACTATCCAAAATGACCAGTGAACCTACATGTCTTATCACTTTTTTTAACGCAATGTTGATGTTAAAACAGTGGTAAATTTGAAAAAGAAATGTTTTTTTGGAGACAATTTAGCCTTTCAACACCCTGCATGTTCCTCTCCACCAAGAAAGAATTTAAAAAAAAATGTTTTAGGCCAAAACATTCTCTCTAAGAAATGTCTCAGGCCTCAGGCAACTATTTCATGTAGTGACCTTCTATAAGTGAGCTTTTAGAGACATTATGCACTTTAGAAGTTTTTCACGAACGAAGCATTTCATATTTCAAAATGTGGTTTGTCCCATCAAACACAACATAAAATATTATATTTTGTCCTTTGCTGTGCTAATTCTGCGCGTTTGGAATAAACTCTAAACCTTCACTTTCCACATTGTGTGACTTGAATGGACTTTATCTCGAACACCCAAACAGGCCAAACTTGAGTGGAAGAATTACAAAAACAGCCTGGACTACTTTTCTAATCGGAGGTCAAAACCTGAAGATAATACTAGGTCAGAGATTATGGTGATATTTTTCTTCTCAATCTCTAGAAAAAACTCCCTAGAAATAAAAGTCGCCTCATAATAAGAGGCTGTAGTTTGCTCTTCCTCAGTTTTCCTGAACGGCCTAGTCGTAAATGAAAAGAAAACAGTTGTTTTGTTTATTTCAGTCAACGTACGGCGGACACAATCAGGTGTGTTACGTTTAAAGTTTCCCTTTCAGACAAACCGTTTCTGAACTGTAACAGTCGAGTTTGAGTAGAAAGCTTTAGCCGCAATGTGCTGTGTGAAGCTAAAGCCTCAGTGCGTGTCTGATCTCCCAACCCCCCCTCAGCCGCTTTCTCCTCAGCCTACAGCTCAACTCTCCATTTAAAACCCCGCCGGGAACACGTTTAAAATTATTCTCACTCAAGAGCGCCGTCACCGAGCGGCTAAAGTCAGTCACCGAGCGGATAACGCCGTTTCCACCGGAGCTGCTCCTCCGCTCAGCCGGCATTACAGGCAGGCTCCGACAGAAACGGCTTCATGTGACTGCAGCGAAATGGCTTCTAGGTTCAACCCCACATTAAAATTTAATGGAAAGAAAATGTTCCCTCTGGCCGAGCAAAGCGCTTCGAAAGGCGGCCGTTAGCGTCGTTAACCGCGCGGAGAGAAGGGCAGCACACCTTGGAGGTGACTGACTAACCTGAGTCAAACTGAACTCGACCAAAAAGCCCCTCTTCCCTTTCATTTCATTGTTTCTCGTCGTCTTCTCCTCCTCCCTCCCCCTCACTACAAGCTTGGGCTTTTTTCTGTTCGTTAGCGGCCACGCTCGCTCGCTCTTACCATTTTCGTACTTTTTCAATGGCGGCCATAACCCGCTTGATGTCATCTTTCGCCCTGCTCCGGGTCTCCGCGCGTACCGACCTGCCCGACATTACGGCTGTTGGTGAAATATCTTTTCAGCTTCGCCGGCTCGCCTGTTTAGACACAATGCGAACACACAGCAGAGGGCGGGAGGGGGAAGGCGGCGTTGGGCAAACGATTCGTGAACGAATCAGTTGACGTGAACCGATTCTTTTCACTGGATTGGTCGAGCCGATTCACAACTAAATCTCTGGAAGTGCTACACAAGCGATATACTGGAAACGGTCCGTGTTAACTATTCACTATTCCTTGCATTAGAAATTCAAGTGCAGTGTATAGAACACTACAATAGGGAACAGAAATGGCCCCCTAATCACTGTTCCCTATATTATAAAAACAGGGGCGCTATATTAAACACTATTATATGGAAAAGAAATGGTCCCCTAGTCACCATTATATTAGAAAATCACGAGCACTTTACTGCAGAGGCCCGCTGGTGACATCTTGTATAAATAAAAATAATGCATGGCCACGACTTAGTAAGGCATGGAAACAAGATAATTAAGTTGTGGCCATGAATTAGTAAGGCATGGGAATGAGATCCTAAAGTGTGGCCACGACTTAACAAGGTATGATCTAGTTCCTACGCCTTACTAAGTCGCGGCCACAACTTAATTATCTCATTCCCACCCCTTACTAAGTCGTGGCCACGTGTTATTTTCATTTATATGGAATGTCACCATCAGGGCTCCGTACTTTACAGAACACTACTATGGGGAAAAGAAATACTCTCCCAATCACTGTTCACAACATTAGAAAATCAAGAACACTACACACTATTACACGGACAATTGCTTACAATAGAAAATCAGTAGCACCATGTGGAACACTTTCATAATGAATAGAAATCACTATTCTCTACATTCAAAAATCAGAAGTATTATATTAAGCACTATTAAAGGGAACAGAAATGGTCCCTTAATCATCAATTAATATTGCCTAAATTTGAAAATGAGAAATAGTAATTATAGGCAACAGACTACACTGTACTACTATGTTCACCACCACATAATGGTAGGCCCATAAAATAGTGTGCCACTATATATTTTTCTCAGTAGTGATATAGTATTCTTTATTTATTAATACAGTGCTCTGCAGATTTGATAGCTTGGTGGGTGTGCAAGAGAAGTCTGAACTTCCCTGTGCCTGTAAATTCTAAGTCCATGTAAATTATACTAATAAAATAAAATATTTTTTATTATTCAACCCACAGCATAAAACTTGTAACTTTAAGAACCAGGTTGAATGTATGTATATTCTCTCTCTGCAGCCAGCTTCAGTCTATGGAGGTAGTAGTGCTTGTTTGTTTTTTCAAATTTCTAAATTTTCCAGGTGGTCATAGGTGTGAGTGTGTGTGTGACTGTGTATGTCTGTCTGCCCTGCGATGGACTGGCGACCTGTCCAGGGTGTATCCTGCCTTCCGCCCAATGACAGCTGGGATAGGCTCCAGCACCCCACCGCGACCCAGAAGGATAAGCGGTTTAGATGATGTATGTATGTATGTAAATTTTCCAGTTTCACGTGACATTTGTTTGCATTAAGTTAATGAATCAATCTTTACCGAGTACTCAGAATGTCTTACAAACTTGACCTAGCTTGACTCGTGAATGAATCATTGAACTGAAGGGTTCAATTCATTGAATTGAAATGAATGAATTCAAAAGAATCAGTTCGGCAAACTGAATCAAACTGAAGCATCACCAGCGCCTGCGCCCTCTGAGCACGAGACAGTCAAATGAAGCTTTCTGACTTCTGAGGAACGAACATAAGACAGGAATTCTCTTTCCAGATTCCAGAACTTTTTATTGAACAACTCTACATTCACGCTTTATTACTGAAAGATTAAGATATACACCGCGTATATGACGTTAGAACAGTACACTGAAAACGCTTATTTCCCATTACAATCCATTAACAACTTCAAGAAGCTCATTTCTCTGTATAAGATTAGTTTATTTAATGCCGTTTTAAAGATCCCCAAACATAACACGTAAAACAATAAGAAGACATAGCCAGTAATAAAACTATTTTGGTTCCTTTGTTCCTGGAAGTACTACAGTATTTCCACATGGAAACAACACATTCATTTGTCTGCACAAAGCAAGTGCTTCACACCTGCTCAAGAGGCTTTAGAAAGCATAGAGGATGAGGAGGAGCCTTCTTCAGGAGTAAGCTCCTGGCTGGCACTGAGAAATCCTAGGATGTCTGTGGCAAATGTGTCCACGGTGATGTTCGGAGGCAACTTACTTTCCAGCAGTGACTCACGATCTGTCTCAAAACAAACACAAAGGGGGTGGATAGGCTTGATGTTTGAAGCTAATATTTTTACCATTTAAACAATGCAGAAATCATCAGTGAAAAATATGAGAACTTTGTGAAAGACAGAAAGTAACAAGTCAAGTAACCTTTATTTTAAATACAGTGCTGTAAAAAGCATTTCCAACTCCTGATTTCTTCTGTTCTTGCATGTGTCAATCTTAATTGTTTCAATAAAATGTAATATAAGAAAACAACCTGAATAAATAAAAAATACAGTTTTTAATTTATTATTTCATTTATTGAAAGAAAAAAGTGATCCAACACCAACTGGCCATGTGTGAAAAAAGTAAAGCCCTTTTTTTAGTTCATAATGTGTTGGTTACTGCCAGACATGTTGAATCTAAACATCACTTACAGCACCCTCCACAAATTCCTGGTAAACATGAGCAAAACATGCTGTAAAAAGATTATTGCTTATCCGTTTGACCTTACATTCAAAATATTAACAAAAATAACCTTTTTTCAAAGTACAATGATAAAAACAAAACAATCTTATCAGGAACTTCTTCATGTAATACTGTGTGCAGCCTCCCTTTGCAAAGACAACAGCTCTGAGTCTTCTTCTATAACGCTTAATGAGACTGGAGAACACATTGCAAGAGGTCTGAGATCATTCCTCTGTACAAAACCTCTCCAGATCCTTCACATTTAGAGGTCCAAACTGTGGATTCTCCTCTTCAGCTCATCCCACAGGTTTTCTGTGTGGTTTCGATCAGGGGACTGAGGTGGCCATGGCAAAACCTTAATTCTGTGCTCAGTCAACCATTTCTGTGATAATTTTGACATGTGCTTTGGATCACTGTCCTTTTGATTTAATGTCTGCTGGTACTTGATAGAGGCCATGATACCATGAATTTGAACAGCCTCACAGACCCATTACCACATTTCACAGAGGTAATGAGGTATTCCGCATGGCTATCTTTGCATCCATGCAGAACTCACCTTTGGTGTTTGTTGTCAAAAACCTTATATCTGGGTTTCATCTGACCATTACATATTCCCATTCCCCATCTGTGACCCTTGGAGATTCTCTGTCCACTCAAACCATTCTCCTCACTGTGTATGGGGTCAGTACAGACATACATCCTTTTCCTGGCAAATTCTTAACATCTGAAGCCCTAATAGTGGAAATGGGCATATTCAACTGTTTTGTAATTTTCTTGCAGCCATTTTCTGATTTGTGTAGCTCAGCAACCTTTTGTCGCACATCATTGCTGTATTCTCTGTTCTTTCTCATAGTAACGGACGACTGAAGGAATTAGGCCTGTTTTTCATATCATATATATTTCCTAGTGTAACAGGAAGTTTTAAGTGTTCCTAATATCTCAGGTGAACATTAAAACATAAAATCTGAAATATGAGATTATACTTCAGTTAAATGTAACTCTTAAGAATTGTGGCACACATAGAAGTAAGAAAAATATTTATTAATATTTAGTTTAACATTTAGTTTTTTCTTTCAATCATTATACCTTAAATAAACAAAAGTAATTATAATATTTTTTACAGCTCATTTTGCTCATGATTACTAGGGGTGCCAATATTTCTGGAGGCACTGTAAATAGAGCCTTTCCAGCAATGTCAAGTAGACTAAAAGGTCTCAAGAAGTAGCAAACTATGTCACAATACCTGGAAGAGATACGAAAGAAAGTTATTGAAATACATCAGTCTGGAAAGGGTTACAAAGCCATTTCTAAGTCTCTGGGCCTTCAACAAGCCACAGTGAGAGCCATTATCTCCAAATGGTGAAAACTTGGAACAGTGATGAATCTTCCCAGAAGTGGCCGGCTGACCAAAATTCCTCCAACTGCACAGTGGCGATTCATCCAGGGAGTCAAAAAAGAACTGAGGCCTCGCTCGCCTCAACTCAGCATTCAGGATTGCATCATTAGAAAGAGACTGGGCAAAAATGGTATCCACCAGAGAGCTGCAAGGCAAAAACGACTGCTAACCAAGTGGAACATCTCACATGTGCCAAAAAACACCTTGAGTGTGTCTCATAGAGCTTTCTAGTTCAGTAGTTAGGGAACTGTCCAGGGAATCAGACATTTTCTGGGTTGTCCCTGAAAGTTCCCACAATGCACCATAATAATCTGGAGGTGAAAGCTGCATGTTATCTCACTTGCTTCTTTACCTGGGAAAAAGTATTCACTGTGTATTTCACACACTTTTGAATAAAAAACCTACCAACAATAAGTTTGGCCTAGTAAGGCATTTATCATTGTTAGTTTTCTACTAACTGAAATGATTACAGCATCCTGTTAGCTACTCAGCTAACTAGTTACATTTGTCCCTGATAAGTTCACCAAACATATTCATTTCATGAACAAAATATGACATTATAGTAGGCTGACCGGCTAACAGACTAATAACTAACCGGCTAACTAGTACCTTCAGGAATATTTAGTTGCAGCGGTCCCGTAACATCTGGTGTAGAGCTAACACAGCATTCTACAATAAGAACATCATACCAACAGTAAAACATGGTGGTGGTAGTATAATGGTGTGAGTTGCTTTGCTGCTTAAGAGCGACTTGGCATAATTAATGTAACCTTCAATTTTGCTCTCTACCAGAAAATCCTGCAGCAACAACAATTCGAGACACAAGAGCTTGTCCCCTTCTGAGTAGCTCCAAAGAAACAAAGAGGTTTTTAAATTTGACTTAAAAATATCTATTGTAGGTGATAACTTCATGAACAACAGGAGACTGTTCCGAAAGCTTAAGGCAGCAACAAAAAAGGCCCAGTCATCTTTAAAGGTCATCCGAGACCATGGAATGGCTAAAAACAACTGGCTGTAAGATTGTAGGGCTCTGGAGGTAGAATGGGAGCAGTGAAGGTCAGATATATAGCTCAGAGCCATGGCAAGTAGAGCTTTAAAAATAAATAATAAAATCTAAAATTCAACTCTACACTTAACCAGTGACCAGTGCGAGTACAGGGGTAATGTTCTCAGTTTTATAATATTCATCACAATACATGTGTCTCGATTCGATATGTTTTGATGCATCCTGATATCGCAATATGATAACAATGATTAAAGTAGCACTCCTGCCAAAATGAAAAATGTAACCATTGCTACATCTGTAAACATGCTTATTCGCATCCTATAGCAGTGTTGCAGTAAGCTCCAGTGAGATTTTCTGGTTTAACAACTAGGAAAACCCCCTTCAGACTGGGGTGTAGATAGAACTTTTAGAATGGGGTGGCCATGAATAAAATATTACATTAATACAACTATTGCCAAAAGTAAACTCTGCTATGGTTATCAGGCAGGGTTTCTGAACCACTGGGCAGTGGCACGCAAGCACCCTCTGTTGGTCCTCAGGCCTGTGCTGAGGGGGAGCCAGCGGTCCTTAGTGGACTGGTGATGACACTTTATCTTAAATAATCAGTGCAAAAATTATTGACTTAATAATAAGAAAAAAATATGAAATGTTTTCAAACACCTGCAGCAACGGTGAACAAAGCAGCTTTGTCTGTTTTTTTGCCTCCTCTGACATTTCACTCGTGAGTGACTGGTATGTTAAGCCTAATTCCCTGACATTTTATGTTAAGTGTTACATGGTTCATATCACTGTGCTGAAAATCCCACAACTACAGCCCTAATATCAACAATGCATTCAAACAGAAAAATGTGCAGAAAATTAGGTCACTACTGTGCTCATTAAGTATTCAATCACTGAACACATATTTCATATTGTATAACACTAACATCAAGGATGGGCAGAGAAATATCTTTATTTGCTTCCAAAAATTCAAATACAGCATTGAATTAAGACATTTGTTGCTATGCTAATACGGTTTTTATAATTGGTAATTCAATATTGTAATTTATTATTATTATGGTTTTATTTTATTTTTATTTTTTTCACATTTTGGACAATCAGATCTTCTTGTTATTTTGGGCCCAGTCCTCCAAAAGCATTTTAGTGTTAAGTGTTAACTGGTAGAGAGAGTGTTTAGTGAGGTTCACTCAACCATTTAAAAATGTTTGTGCTAAGATGTTTTTGGGAAACTCAGCGCAGGTCAATATTCTTAAGTTTTCTGTGTCAATAATTGAGAAATCCCTGGTATAGGGTGCAGATGTTCAGGTGAGTACATCATCCACATTGACTGAACTTTACCATTGGGTGTGAATACACATACAGACAGACATACAATCACGATTCGACAATTAACCGCAGCTCTATCTTACGGACTTACTCACCTTTACAGTGGAGCGTTTCTGATTCAGATCGGCCTCCTTCCACACCTAAGCCTGGCAACGTCATTAAGCACTCTGCCAGCTCCTCTTCAGTCATGGGCTCACCTAAAATGAACAGAAAATGAGCCTGCTTTCCTTCAGAGACACACAAGGATTCAAAAAAATATTTTCTTGTACATTAAATCTATATTAAAAAAAGTAAAGATTAGTTATGATATTATCTGCTCTGATTCAGTGCATGCGGTGCAATTCTAGTTTTCTGAAATTATGGAATTAAGAACTTACTGGTTGCATACTTTAGGTATGTGATTAAACTGCTAACAAATACATTCGGACCTATGGCTACAATAGCTTATGTATTATTGTTATCTTATAACTAACAGTGAACATATTTGCGAATACATAAAAACATGCACTATTTTATGTCATTATAATGATATATTTCCTCATTTTATCTTATTTCTCATTTTCTCAAAATATTGATTTGTCAAAATAATGACTGTCTCATTACTCTCATTTATTATCCCAAATGAATGATTTACTTACTTAAAATTGAACAACTTATTATTTTGACATAATATCTCAAAATCTCAAGACAATTAGAAATCACCTCTATATACTAATTTAATATTTCAATAAAATAAGTCCATCATTTGAGATGTGAAATCAAAATTTAGAGAAAATACATGATTCTTTCGAGATATTAAGAAAAAATATTTTCTCCTCTACCTGGGGGGAAACGGGCTTCCATATAATTTGGCTAGCAGGTAATAGAAACTTAAACTCCACCAACATGCAAACTGCATTCCTAAATGACACACTTGACTCAATCCACGCTGAGCTGGCTGTGTAGACTTGCTTATGTGGCTTCTGATAAAGTGTTATGTATAAAAATGGACAAACAGAATTTAGACAGACAGAATTTAGGCTTTAAGATGGCTGCTATTACTGTTTTTGCTATCTAAAGTACTTTGTCCATGTTTGTAGCTGAAAGTATGTCATATAGTGTCAGAAAGTTGTTTAAAAAGTGAATCTATTTGAGATTACTTAACAACTCAACATAGATTGAAGCAATTATGTGATGATTTAGGCATGCAGTTTGAACAATGCTAATTTATGTGCATAAGCTTCCGTTACTTGTTAGCTACATTAGCATTGTAGCTCCAGTGCAAAACTAAGTAAGTGATCCTCAGACATCAACACATCTGTCTGCTCAACCACAGTTTGGGTAAGGAAAAGATTAGTATATCTATATTTTTTTGACTAATTATTTCTTTCATAATATAAATGCTACTAAATCTTAGAAAGGTACCCCTGCTCTGTAGTAACTCCAGTAGCTCTTCTCTGGTGATAACCTGCTGACCGCTCTCATTTAGCACACCCAGCACCTGGAAGGCTTTGAAGAGATCTTCTTTGGAGGTGTCAAAGGCTGGCCGGTGGTTGACATACAACTTAATAAACTCCTCCAGGTCAATATGCGTCACATATTTTCCTGTCTCTGCATAACGGCTGAATTTGACCTCATTCTGCATGTCCTCCAGCTAGAAGAGTGAAAAAGAAAGTTAAGATACAGAAGAGAACATATTAATAAAGAATGAAAAAAATAGTATGCTCTTTTAGGCCACTGCCTAGCTTTGATGCCTAGGTAACAGTATTAGAGGGAGGGCGAAGTAGAGCGAGGGCAGGGGGCCGAGGGGGTGCACAGTAGTATTTATTATCCTCTTAGGGGGCCTTAGAATAAAAAGGTTTGAGAACTGCTGTTCTGAGGTATGGCAGCAATTGAGGTCTTCTTGAAAGAGAGATAAAAGATGGTTATCTTGGCTATATACTAGAAACTCAAATTCCTCTTGAGGTGCATAACATAAAGCATGAAACTCATGTACATCTCAACTCAGCTGCAACATATGCAATCAAGTTGCTCAGCTTTGTGGAATTAGTCTCATGTAATAGCCAATCAAAACACAGAGAATGCAGATAATCACTTGATCAAATTAAATGCCATTATTTCAAACAATTGATTTTACTGGATCAATGGACAAGTAAATAAACCAGAAGATGGTTTATTGGGCAGGTACAAAGAAGATCCTCCTGATTACCTTCATGCAAAGTTGGTCAAGTTCCTTTTTTGTCAGTTTTCTGAGCAGTGACAACCAATAAATGTGAGTTTAGCTTAAGTAGCTGTCAAGTTGCACGGAAATTAGGTTGGATGCAAGTTTCACAATGTAAAGCCAAAGGCAACTAGTTGCTTGCAACGGAATTTCACTTACTCCACTAGCCATATTAGCATCTCATATTTTTAGTACACCATATTGTTCTCACTCCAATGTTATCTGTGAGGTGTAATTTACATATCTGAAGCATTTTTATCATCTCTGTGTCTTTGTATATTTTTTCCTGCTGTCACTGTTTTTTTTGTATTCTATATTTATATATCATTTTATTTATCTATCTAGGGTTCTTTACTATAGATAGACGTTTTTTAATCTGTTGTGTGTATGTTAAGTCTTTGAAAATTAATGTTTAAGTAGCCATTAAGGTTACAGCCCATCTGATGCCTCAGTCATCCTGTCCTAGCAGCACAACGAGTTCATCGTGGAGTCCATCTCACTCTCCCTTCTGTAATAATTTTCATCCTTTGGATCCTAAATGAATCTGAGCTCTGTGTAAAATCACGCCATCAAGAGAAGAGAAAACTAATCTAGCTACATAAACCATGAAAACAGCAGAGTAGCAAAAAATCAACGCTGGGACAAGCAGCCATTTATCCAGCTGTTAGCATTAGCTGGCTAGTTAATGCAGCTGGCTACAGAAACATTTGTTTTGATAAACTGTCCTTTGTTGTGATGGCTCAGGAAACTGACCAAACGAAAAACTGCCAACCTTGACTCTGTCAGGCTGTCTCTGTTTCACTCAATAGACCATCTTCTGTTTTATTTTCTTCCACTTATCTGCTGAAATCAGTTGTTTTAAAGTATGTTGTTAAACATTATTATGATTTCTGATGGGCTGTTTCATGAAACATGTTTCACCAAGTAGCACCAAGATGCTTGAGTTTCAAGTGGCATGACACTTCACATTACGGTAGTCAAGTGCATTTTAGTTTCATGTAGGTTTCAAGCAACTGCATTAAAGTTGCATTAAAGTTTCCAGCTTAAGACCTGGCTCAATTTGAATGCTTCTGGTGAGGTCTTGCCTTAAAGTAATCATAATTCTGAGAAAAGAATAGCGTTATCAATTATTTTAAGGCAACACTGAGTTTTCTCAAGCATAACAACTGTACATGCACGGAAATGATTTTAGTGCCTCCAAAATAGAATTTCTACTTTGCAGGTGCTCAAGAGAAGCCTATAACCAGGCTAAAACCTTTACATATTAGGGAGAAAGCTATGCAACACATCATATTGTATAGAATTGCATGGCATCATATTGTATTGTGTTGTTTTGTGTCACTGTACCATGAATAGCATGTTAGCTTGTGGCTAGTCTGTCAGCTTTTCTCATTTTCTCATTTTATCTTATTTCTCATTTTCTCAAAATATTGATTTGTCAAAATAATGACCAAGTATCTCATTACTCTCACTTATTATACCAAATGAATGATTTACTTTCTTAAAATTGAACAACTTATTATTTCAACATAGTATCTCAAAATCTCAAGACAATTAGAAATCACCTCTATATACTAATTTAATATTTCAATAAAATAAGTCCATCATTTGAGATGTGAAGTCAAAATTTAGAGAAAATACATGATTCTTTCGCAGGTAATAGAAACTTAAACTCCACCAACATGCAAACTGCATTCCTAAATGACACACTTGACTCAAACAACATTGAGCTGGCTGTGTAGACTTGCTTATGTGGCTTCTGATAAAGTGTTATGTATAAAAATGGACAAAAATACAACAGAATTTAGGCTAATTTAAGATGGCTGCTATTACTGTTTTTGCTATGTAAAGTACTTTGTCCATGTTTGTAGCTGAAAGTATGTCATACAGTGTCAGAAAGTACAGCTTGGGGCGAACTTCTTAGGTTATGCCTTCAGGATTACACTGGGAAACTATAAAACAACTTTTGTTTCAGTCACTGGACTTTTATAATGTCGATTACTGAAACTGAAAAACTCCTTATTAGAGCTGTATCAAAAATTGAGTTGGAATCGAGGCACCACTGTGTCGTATCAAATCAAATAATGAATTTTGTAAATTGATACCCCTTCATTTAACTATAATCACTTGCATAAAATTTTCACTAGATTTAAGTGTGACTGAGCAACATTTGTCGATTCAGTGTGGTGACATATGAGATTTCATGATGCACTATATCATTTCCAAAAGAAATGAAACAAACTAATGAGTAAGTGTAATGAGATTTACAGTCGTATGCAAAGGTGCTCCTGGTCAAATAACGTTTTGTTGATTTTCTAAGCATTAACACATCTTCTAGACAACACACATCAGCACATTTTAATGCATAACTACCATTTATTTTATGAATTTCACATATTAGAAAGTAAAACATAAAATGTGACCTGCACAGAAGTTACGGCGCATGTAATATTTTATGTTTCATTTTTTAAACAAATGAATGGAAATTGTGCACTAAAATTTGCACTTAGGGGTGTTCAAACTTTTGCATATGACTGCATATCTCTACAACAATTTTACTGGACAGTGCAAAATCCTAGTACCTCTTGCTCTGTTGGGTAGAAGCCAAGTGCCCTCATGACAAAGGGCACTTCAGTGAGAGGGATGTGAGTAGACACTTGTCTGGTTTCCATGGAGTCGATGCCCTGGTTGCGCAACTGGCAGTAATAAAACAAATCCTCCATCATCTAATGGAACAAATACAGGCTTTGGTTAGGAGAAAACCTAGTTTTAGAAACAGGAGCATCTAGAAAGAATGATATGTTCAGTGCAGAGCAGAAGTAATGGTGAAGATAGATGGTAATAGCTGTTTTAGCCAGTGGTACATTATGCAATCAAACGTAATAGTTAACTTAATAGCAAGTGTTTAATTCCATTAATAATGATGTGAAAATACTTACAGAAGACGTTTTTTGTCATTTCAAACATGCAAGGGACCTTACCCTAAAAAGCTCTCCATCTCTCCCTCCCTCTAAAAGGTTGTAAAAGGGAATCAGCTCTTTTCCTCCCAAAGCAGCGGCAGCCTCTAGTGCACTGCAATGCACAGATCAGTTTCATCATTGGGGCCTCTGCATGATCAATCTTAGTCTAGTAGGAATATGTGTAAATTTGAACATAATAGTTCAACAACCTGAGAAAAATGCTTCATTTTCATTTAACTAAGCAAAACTATTATCAATATTATCTCTAATTCCAATAATAAGAATAAAAATTGAAAATTTCAATTATACTATATAATTTGAGCAAATGGCAATCCAGTACAAAAGTGGATGTAGTTATTTTACATGCACTCTGGTATAAACAAATGCTGCAACTATTCCATGTTCCATTTAAAGACATATTATGCTGTTTTATACTATTGACACCTAGAAAATAAACAATACAAAACACAGCTAGTGCAGAAGCATCTCATACACTGCAATAATTTAGCATTTAAATATTTATTTTAGCAATCACACTACACAGTCACTCCACTGTCTTAACACTGTAATATTTGGTCAGCAGGGGGAGCAGTGTGAAAAGTTTCATGAATCGGACAGAGAGTAGTTTGTACATCATTTAAGGTAGCCAAATCTATTACTCAAACAAGCACACAATGTTTCATTGATGTGAAGCACCACTTTTATGAAGCACCAAAAGCTACTTGAGTGCAGGGTTGTTAGGCCAACAAAATTCTCTATCCCAAAGTATGGTTAAAACCAGCCCAACAGAAGCTGAACCTGGCCCAAAATTAAAGTATTTTACTGCTGTAAAATGCATTTTACATATTTTATTAGAAGTGTATTAGCATATTCTGCTCTTACCAAATACAAAAAATGTCATCAAATAAAATATCACTCAAGTCAAATCAGTAGTCCAATGCCAATAAATGCTTTAAACGGGACCTATTATGTTAATCATTCTATTTTTGGGGTCTACTAGAATAGATTTACATTCTTTAATGTTCCAAAAAGACATTATTTTTCTCATACTGAACATTACATTATTCACCCTCTGTCCGAGATGCTCTGTTAGAGCTCCTAACAGAGCTCTGATTGTTCAGCTCACTTACTCTGTTCTGACTGTTCAACCGCCAGAGAGGTTTCACACCTACACATTCCGCCCCTGTCTTGCAGTCTGCAGACAGACCCTTTTCTCTTGAGCAGCTGTAAACACCACTGTTGCTCTTTTTCCAACAACGTCAGTTCTGGAATATCAGTTCACTCCTGAAAATCAGGTCAGCATCTTCTGGAAATGGCTACAAAACTGAACAAACTCTTCCCAGCCTGCAGTAGTTGCTGCGCATTGTGTGAAGGCACGCCAAGTTTGCTGGTAGGCGGGTAATACGGATTGTGTTACAAGATTTCATCATCTTGTAAGAAAGGAAAAGGACTGGAATTCTAATGAGGTGTTTAAGGCAGCTGAGAAAAGTGGTTTCTGTGGGAGTGTGTTACTCCCTCTGGCATGTACTTTAAGCTTTGCAACTCTGCAGACCATTTACAGGCACAAAGAGCTATATAACACTCTAAAAAAAGGGGAAAACAGCAAAAGCATAATAGGTCCACTTTAAAGTATAAAATACAAAGGAAATATACTCGATTATATTTTAGTCAATAAGAATATTTTGTTTTTAATTCCTCTTTTGTGTTTAATTTCATTTTGTTACATTGGTGACAGCATCTATGCTGCGGTGTGATTTATCATTTTATTTTAGGCCAAAAAATCTAAAACGAAGAATTGAATCTTATCCTCCTGGATTTTTTGACCTGCTGCTTTTGTATTTCTACTCAAGATGTTTTTTGGGAACAGTACTTTCACATCTACTGTAGTCATTATTTCACTGAAGTAACAGTTTTTTTTGGGCTGTATAACAACTTGTCTACATGATGCTGTTAGAAATCATATACATATTAGAAGGAGCACATTATATCTATCCTTAAACCTCCTGGCTACATGGCTACTGGCTACATGTGTTCTTTAGATATTAGTTTAGGTTTATTCTTCTATTTATTCTTATTCTTTGTCGCAGTTTGCACTAGCTAGCTAGTTCATGTTTACATACCTTTGCATGCATCCCTAAAAAAAAACCCTTCAACTTCATCATTTCACTTGTAGCTTTTTGCTCATTGTCAGTGTCTGCTTGTGGAGAAACTTCAGCCTACTAAACGTGAGTGAGTATGTGAGTGAGTGAGTGAATGCCAAGCCAGGGTTATGCTGTGCTTTGCAAGTAAAATCTGATTGATTTGATTGATTTTTCATAATACGGCCCTCTTAAGGACTTACCTAAAGCTGAGCTCCCATGAGAAGACAGTCTTGTCCACTCCACCAGCAGTGAAAATGTATTTTCCATCATAGGAGCAAGCTAGACTGGAGACACCCAATGGGTGGCATAACAGTGCTGAAGACTTGAATGGGTTCCCATCTAGGGGCAGAATGTGAACCCCAACCTTGACAAAGAGGAGAACAAAGATAAAAAGTTCAAAGTTCAGCATTCTGTGACCAGTGATGAAGACTAGAGCATGACCAACACACATTGTGCAGCAACAGATGAGCTACCGTGTCTGACTTTACATCTACAAGGTGGACCAACAAAGTAGGTGTGTTTAATAGAGTGGACAGTAAGTGTACATGGCATTTAAAAACACCAACAGCATTGCTATACCTTAAATAATACCTGCTCTGTGGGGGTCCTGAAGATTGAAGAACAGGGTAAAAGGGGTTTATAAATCATGCACAAAAACAGATGGACTACAGTCTGTAATTATAGTACACCTTTATGGTAAGCAGAGATGATAAAATGGACAGAGTGTAGATACAAGGAGGTGTACTTAATGAAATGTATGTTCAGTTTTCTACTGCTTCCTAATGCTGAAAAATGAATAACTTGTACTTAATGGCCATTTTGATTTCAAATTAAATAAACTAAGGGTTGTCTCTGACTTTTGCATGTAACTCAAACCAGACCAAACCTTCTCTTGCGTTATATAAGCCATGTAACGAGAACTGGGATCCCTGTCTTTAGAAGGGGGGAGGGTCAGCATCTTCTTGACTGGAGTACCGTATGTGGGTCCAAGAAGTGTTTTCCTGCAGAGAACAGCACCATAGTATTCATTAATTCTCAAAAGATCAACACACGCATTTCGGAAGTCCACTTCTGGACCCTTACAAAATCAAAATAATATACAAAATCGCAATGTCTAGAACATTTTTGAATAATCAAAACTGGGATAAAAAAACAGAATTTAAAAACACTGACCTGCACATCTTGGTGGTCACATTGAACAGTTTCATCTTGTAGATGTCAGATGCAGTAAGCAAGAAGTGTTCAGTGGTTAAAGGCGGATACCAGGCCATGCAGGTGGGCACAGCACTTTGCTCAATGCGATCAGAACTGAGAATCAATAATTCATCCTTTTTGCTGTTCTGCAGGTCATACTCAACCTAATGAGTACAGAAAGAAAATAGTGTATAGTGTACTTGCTAAGGTGAGAAGTCTTCTCACCTTAGCAAGTACACTGTATGGACAAAAGTATTGGGACACCTACACATTACACCTAGAGGAGCTTTTAAGACATCCCATTCTAAATCCATTCGCATTAATATGGAGTTGGTCCCCCTTTGCAGCTATAACAACTTTTACTCTTCAGGGAATATTTCTACAAGATTTTGGAGTGTGTCTGTGGGAATTTTTTACACATTCATCCAGAAGAGCATTTGTAAGGTCAGAGAGTGATGTTGAACAGGAAGGCCTGGCTCACAATCTCTACTCTAGTCCATCCCAAAGGTGTTCAACAGTATTGAGGTCGGGGCTCTGTGCAGGCATTAAGATTTCCCTTCACTGGAACTAAGAGGCCTAGACCACCCCCTGAAGAACAACCCCATAACATTATCCCTCCTCCATCAAACTTTACATTTGGCACAATGCGGTCAGGCAGGTAATATTCTCCTGACATTTGCCAAACCCAGACTCGTCCATCAGACTGCCAGAGAGAGAAGCGTGATTCGTCACTCCACAGAATATGTTTCCACTGTTCCAGAGTCCAGTGGCGGTGTGCTTTACACCACTCCCCCCGACACTTGGCATTTTGTATTTTGATCTTGTGTGCAGCTGCTTTGCCATGGAAACCCATTTCCTGAAGCTCCTAACACGCAGTTCTATTGCTGATGTTGCTTCCAAAGCCACTTTGGAACTCTTTAGTGAGTGATTCAACAGAGGCCAGGCACTGTGTGCTTTAGCATTTTGCGATGCCACTTTGTGAGTTTGTGTCTATGACAGTGCCATGTTTTAAGGCACTGAGCTCTTCAGTACGACCCATTCTACTGCTAGTGTTTGTCTATCAAGATTGCAAGACTATGTTCTTATTTTATCCATCTTTTAGCAAGTGGTGTTGCTGAAACACCTGAACTCAAAAATTAGGATGGGTGTCCCAATACTTTTGTCCATATAGTGTACTTATATATTACACCAGGCATGGTCTTCACAAAGAAGTACTGAGTTAGAGGGCCAATCATAGATCAGATTCTTACATATTTAAATGGGGCAAAAGTATTCGTTCATTTGCCTTCATACTCATATGAACTTGAGTGACATCCCATTCTTAATCCATAGGGTTTAATATGATGTCGGCCCACCATTTGCAGCTATAACAGCTTCAACTCTTCTGGGAAGGCTTTCCACAAGGTTTAGGAGTGTGCTTATGGTCATTTTTGACCATTCTTCCAGAAGCACATTTGTGAGGTCAGACACTGATGGACACTGATGCAGTCTCCACTCTAATTCATCCCAAAGATGTTCTATCTGGTTGAGGTCAATACTCTGTTCAGGCCAGTCAAGTTCTTCCACACCAAACTCGCTCATCCATGTCTTTATGGACCTTGCTCTGTGCACTGGTGCGCAGTCATGTTGGAACAGGAAGGGGCCATCCCCAAACTGTTCCCACAAAGTAGGGAGCATGAAATTGTCCAAAATCTCTTGGTATACTGAAGCATTAAGAATTCCTTTCACTGGAACTAAGGGGCCGAGCCCAACTCCTGAAAAACAACCCCACACCATAATCCCCCCGCCACCAAACTTTACACTTGGCACAATGCAGTCAGACAAGTACCGTTCTCCTGGCAACCGCCAAACCCAGGCTCATCCATTGGATTGCCAGACGGAGAAGCGTGATTCGTCACTCCAGAGAACACATCTCCACTGCTCTAGAGTCCAGTGGCGGCACTTTACACCACTGCATTCAATGCTTTGCATCGCGCTTGGTGATGTAAGGCTTGGATGCAGCTGCTCAGCCATGGAAACCCATTCCATGAAGCTCTCTACGCACTGTTCTTGAGCTAATCTGAAGGCCACATGAAGTTTGGAGGTCTGTAGCGATTGACTCTGCAGAAAGTTGGCGACCTCTGCATACTATGCGTCTCAGCATCCGCTGACCCCGCTCTATCATTTTACGTGGCCTACCACGTCATGGCTGAGTTGCTGTCGTTCCCAATCGCTTCCACTTTGTTATAATACCACTGACAGTTGACTGTGGAATATTTAGTAACGAGGAAATTTCACGACTGGACTTGTTGCACAGGTGGCGTCCTATCATGGTACCATGCTGGAATTCACTGAGCTCCTGAGAGCGACCAATTCTTTCACAAATGTAGAAGCAGTCTGCATGCCTAGGTGCTTGGTTTTATACACGTGTGGCCAAGGAAGTGATTGGAACACCTGAATTCAATGATTTGGATGGGTGAGTGAATACTTTTGGCAATATAGTGTATCTCTTTTAGCTGGTTTAGCTGCACATTAGAAAAAAATATGAAGGCAGCTTAGGTGAGTTTGGGTAGTTGCTTATGTCAAAGTTAGTGTGTCTTTGAATGGGACATAATGTCAGTGAGCTCTTTGGAAGGGCACAGCTGGAATTGGTTGGTTTTAAGATTGGAAGGATGGAAGAGATAAAGTGGCAGCAAGTGCACAAAGGAAAAAATTGGACAAATTATACACTGATCGATTTGACATTACATTTAGTTGTTGGGGCTTCTTATGTGTTAAATATGTTTCTCATTTCTTTCTGACACTGAAAAATGAATAGCTTGTACCTTTTCCCCAGAGCTGTAGCATTCATCACCTAAAACTAAAACCAGCAAACCTCCCTTAGTGTATTACATTATATCTCCTCTGTAACATAATGCTTATTTGCACAACTGTACAAATGTTTTTTATATTGTATTCATTTAAAACACATTTTTACAAATGTTCATATCATTCTATAATATTCTGTATATAATAATTATTATATGTCTACTCAAACCTGCATATCTATAGATATTCCTATCTGCTTATGTACAGATATTCACACATCTCTTTAGCTCATTTTACATTGGCTCTTCATTATTCTTTCTTATTCTTTATTCTGTTTATTGTCCCTTAGAGAAATATTCAGTTCAGCATGTTGTATGTCATACATGTGTGCACATACCAAGACAAATTCCTTGTATGTATAACATACGTGGCGAAATAAAGTGATTCTGATTAATGGCCATTTTGACAGGAAATGAAATGAAAGAGTGGTCTCTAACTTTTGCACAGTACTGTATCTGCATATTCTAACAGTTTCTATTAAAATATTCGTAATTCTTCAGGATGTACTTATACAACATGTGTGGAGTACCAAACTGTTGTCATATATGATTTTTAACATGGGAATACCAGTACTCAGAAGTGTGCAGTGCTGAATTTGCCCATGTCTGCCTTAGGTTAAGTCTAATCTAATCTTGATTGAAAAACCAGGATACATGGAAAAGCCTTTATTTGTTAAAAAAAGGCACTCTGGTATTTCACATTTTTTTTCAATACAAAAAGCTTTTTTTTCTGATTTTGAAATAAACCAGCCAGCAGGATCCATTTGTAGAACAGTCAGATGATGCAACATTAAATAAGCTTTCTATGTCTTGGACAGCGAGCAACACTTCATGCTGCATTGACCCTCATTATATTGGTGACACACAATCAAAAATAAGGGCCAAGGCTCTGCAGAATTGATTGGAAAGATGATGCAAAATTGCAAGACCATATTTATATATTCCAAATGTCTAACAATATGAATTTCATACTGTTAATAATTACAGCTGTTATTCCAACAAAGGAAAATCTCAAATCTTATTCCCACTGCTAGAAAATGCTAGTACAAGTCTGATAATACTCCCTAGCGGGTCATTGGCGATTAAACAATAATAGACTGAAATTAAACATTTTTTCTATATCGATAATGCATTTTAGGTGTTTATCATAAGATTATTATCCAGTATTATCAACAGAGGCTTAAGCTTTGGACAACTTTTGATTTGATACACTGTGTGGTGATATGCACCTTTTACTGAATAAACGTGGAGGAAGCAGAAGTCTAGCCATTCACTTGCAAACCAGCATCATAGTTAGAAGTCAACTAGTATTTTCAAGGTTGAAATGATGGAAAATAAACTCTTGTTAACAGTTTGACTGTAAAAAAAAATAAACTCTTGTTAACAATTTGAGTGTAAAGATCTAGGAAAAGTAAAATGCCCTCAAAACATAGACCTTTTATCTACATTTTCTGTTTGTACTTTCTTAAAACAATAAACCATTTTGTATACTACATCAGGAAAAGAATTTTAAAGTATTCAAGCAGTAGCTAACAGAACCTACAGTTGTAATTCTAGTTCATTTTCCACCTACTTGACAGTAGACAGCAAGATTGATCATAATAATCATGAATTATGTTTTAATGTTTGTTCTTTTTGATCATTTTATGTCACTCTCAGGCATCTAATTTTACTAATTAGCTAACTTATGTTCCTCACTATTTAGCTCAACTTATTGACTGACATGTAACACTATACTCTATAGTTCTGTGCTCACACATGCACAAAACAGTCCACATTAAGCCACATGTAGAATCAAATAAAACTGTTAGTATCAAAATACGAGCAAAAACACTCCATTCCATGAAGGTTAGCATAACTGCTAATAACGATGGCATTAGTTTATTCCACCTAAGCAAACTCTTTAAAAATTGACAGTTCTAAAAATAGCAATTGCACATCAATATCTAATTTTAACTTACATTCTGGTGCATTTATTGGTGATATAATAGTGGCCATTTTGTCCTCATCTGGAAGAATTTCTTCAAAGCATTACCAAAGACATTAAACACCCTAAAGCAATGTCCCTCAACCCTGGTACTGGAGGCCCACTGCCCTGCACTTTTTAGTGTTTTCCCTGCCTCAACACACCTGATCTAACCAATCAGCTCATTAACAGCCCATTATTGCGTTAAAGTGGCTGTGTTAAAGCAGGGAAAGCACTATAATGTGTACGGGACTGGAACCTTAGGACCAGGGTGGAGAAACACTGCCCTAGAGTATCTGTTGTTACTAATCTGGAGCAAGTACCAAAAATCATAAAACTGGAATCTTTAGTACTGGACTATTGGCCAAAGCAAAAAGCTCAGTTACAGTTTTATGGTGTCAAAGCCTCTGGCGTAATGAAATTGCTGACACTGTCAAAAGTTGAGGCATTAAGCTTAGATTCTTGTACAACTAAACTTGTTGATATGATGTGTTTAGGCTGGAGAGGAAGACATTATCCTATGGAAAGAATTTAGCTAGCTGAATCAAATAAAAGACCACTTCTATTGTTTACATTCTGAATGGTTACCACAGAGAATCATTTTATTAGTTTGAGAATTGCTGTAACATTATTTTGTCTGTAATTTGCTCTACAGAGCTGAACAACAAAGCCAACAGCTTTTCTAAACATGATTTTTGTTAAATTAAACAAGTTGCTTGAATCATTAAAAAGCAAAGGGAATTCTTTTACCCACCGTGGGCTAAATCAGTAGATTAGCTAAAGCTAGAGCAATCATCTTCTTCTACATGAGGTAAATTATTATCTGCTCAGTAAATGATGTGGAAACATGTTGGCTTGTTGAGGTAACACTAAGAACAGAGAAATATCTTTTTCATTTCAGCTATCATAGTTAACCTAGCTGCACTAAGTTACTTCAGACTTCTTAGTCTGTGGAACATGTTTTGTAGTAACATTAGCAAAGTGAAATAATATAATCTACAATAGTAAGACACTAAGAAGGGCCAAAAAGGCACTGAACTGCCAGTCTATTAGGTACACCTGCTTTGTATCTCTCATTGGCCATCTTGTATACCTACTAATCGCTGATGTAAATACCAAGTTGCTAGGGTAAACACAGATCTATAAGGTGTCTACTTTACAATCCTACACGAGAGACCCTACTTTTGACCCAACTTTTGACACCCAACTATGTGCAGAAGGAAAACGTTGTATTGTGGTAATGATTTTTATCCATGTGTCTAGCCCTACTCACAACACTAGATACTTCATACTTACTAGTCTGCGATCCATGCCCAGAGAAAGCAGACGTGGCTGTGTGCTGTCCAGTTGCACTCCAAATAGCAGGTCCTGGATGGGCTTGTAATGAGAGCAGTGCCTCCCCAGATACTTCCACACATGCTGACTGCCTTGCTTACACAGATGAAATACTGTCACAGCCCTTCCAGTGTCCTACAAAAATACACAAAAACATAATAGTTATAGAAGATACATTTACTTTAGAACAGAGGTTCTCCAACTGGTCCTCAGGGCCCCCCCAGACAGCCCACATTCTTCCTCTTTCCCAACTCACAACACGTGTACTGTCTGGAGAGACCTGAGGACTGAGCCTGAGAACCACTGCTTTAGAATTCCTCTCAAACTCCTTCCTTCCTTATAGCCTCTCCCAACTTTTTTAACTGAGTAATTATTGTATGATTATCTTCTTTCCAAGTATGTCATAATCAGCACTATGGGCAGCAGCATTAACAAAAAATTAAGAAAATACTTGCAGTTATCTACTGCTAAGACAAAAAAACACTGCTGTTCTTATTAAAAGTTATACAGAGCAGTCTGAAATATTATACTGTACACATTAGAATCACATGACATAGATCACATGAACCAAAAAAACTGTTCAGCAGTTAAAACAAAACAAAAAACCCAATTAAAAACAGGAACAAAATCAGTTTCTACTTCTTCGAGTAAAAACTATATTGAAAAAAAAATTGTTGAACTATACAATAACATTACTTTGTTAATCTCCACAAACAAGGGACCCAATATACGTTTCTACTGTGTCTCTAAAGCAGTGCTGCTCTGTGAGCTACAGTATATGAAGTTGGCTAAGGAAAGCAAGATTCATCTGCGGTGAATCCAGTGCTGAGTTTAATACATAGTCCACACTCACGGCAGTGGCCAGGAAGGAGGAGTCATGGGAGAAGGTGAGATGGGTAATGCAGTCCTGACTGTAGTGAAAGCTCTCCTCTCCTTGCTGCAGAGTGCAGGGATCTAGAACCTGCACTGCCCCACTCGCAAATCCCAAAGCCAGATAAAAACCTGCCAAACATACCAACCTGTCACTTTTACACACCGCCTGCCTTGGCTACATGTATGACATGTACAATCACACAAAACATACAGCATCTTATCAGACATGAGCATGAAAGGTAAGAGTATATGAAGGTGAACACTTCATCTCCAAAATTTTAAAATAAGATATTTCACAAAATCAATTCTGTAGCATTTCCACACAGGTGCAAATACAACTAAGCAACTTTCCTTTTACCCAGAAGGGAAGCCAAGGCCACGTTTGATATCTAAAGTTCACTTCTTTAGTTTTGCACTGAAGCTACAGGGCTAACAGAGCTAACAAGTAAAGCTTATATGCCACCAATTACCACTGTTCAAACTGCATGCCTAAATCATCACACACTTGCCTTAATTCACACTGAGCTGTTATTAAACTGAAAAAATAACTTTTTCTTTTTTTAGCTTTGCTGTTTTTTTTAAACCAATTTATTAACATCACACAATAGTTTGTTTTTTTCACAATAAATATATCATTCCAGTGAGCAAAATGCACTAGCACTAAAATGAAAACTAGCAGTGAAAAAATACTGGCTAACTAAAAAAATAAAAACACTTGATAGCCTAAATCACCTTATCAGAGGATAAGTTATCACATTAAGCTGAGCCTGCATTCATACATTTTTATTTTTATTTAGTATTTCATTTTGTTTTTTGATTTTGATTTAGTGTCAATTAGCTTTATGGGTGCATAAATAGTGTTGGTCTTGTTTTTATTTTCTGAAAAGTAATAGTTTTACTTTAGTTTTTGTTTAGTTTCAGTTTTAGTTTTGTTAGTTAGTATTATGATAAACTCTGTGGTGGTAGATATTTCATAAGTGTAGAATAAAATTATCACCATAGACTGAGCTCCACTTCTAAACTCTCATTCATGTACTGGAAGAAAAAAAAAGAAAACTAAAGTAATTACTTAATAATTTTACTTTGTTTTAGTTAGTTTTGCAGTGGACACTATAGTTTTAATTAAGTTTTCCATTTATTTTTATTACAGTTAACAAGCACAATTTTTCACTGCTAGTTTCCTTTTTATTAATAGCATTAGTTAACTAGAATAATCTGGGTGCATGCGCAGTGGGACTGTAGCTCACAGAAACATATAAACAAACAGAACATCATGGCTATGATGTTATTTGCAATAACACACTTCTTTCCCATGTTCTTTTGCTTAAATATGTCAAACAGTGCCAGAACCCCCACAAGTAATCCATGCAGTTCACAAAATTCTGGTAAGTGGTTACAGCCTCTCTTAGCTGTTAGCTACAGTAGTTGTCCTTGAAGCTGCAGGGCAAAATTAAAGAAGCCAAATCTCACCGGATCAACTGTATTTGGGGGAGAGAGAAATGTGTGTAATTTTTTCCCCCCAAAACATTCACCCAGCCATTTATATCATTCCATTGTACAGTAAAGCACATTAAGGGCTTGTTGTAGCAAATACCTTGAGGATCATAGGTGATGCATTGGATCTGCTTGTCTGTATAGAAGACTCTGCTGGAGGTGACCCTTTTGTTCTCATAGTCCCACACTTTTAAGAGTCCACCATGGCTGCCCATAGCCACCAGAGGTTGTTTGGGGTGACAGGCCACTGCATCCAGTGACTCTGCATGTTCCTTCAATAAAGTCTGGGCCACGCTGCCCTGAGCTTTCACATGGACCACAGCTGCACTAACTGTAGAGAGGACAAAGTTTCTGGAAAAGGGAGAGAAAGACACTTTAGGCCAAGAAATTTAACAAATTAGCATTAGCTACAGGACAACACTTTAAAATTAATATTGCTGTGCAGTGTTTCGTCTTGTTTATACAGAACAAAATTTATAGTTTATTAAGTCACTTATGAGTATATAATGATTTTAATACAACATAAAAAATCTAAAAAATTAAATGTAAAGCGTCTCTCACTTGCTGTCTTTTGCGGAAACCACTGTCATTGAGGAAAACCAGACATGTGGGTGCATCCTATCAGAGAAAAGTGGGCAAGGATGGCAGGGAGCTAATGCTACGTTCCTGGCCATTTTTTCTGAAGCTGCTTATAAATACTACAGGTCATGATTTTGGGGTTTATTTTGTTGGGGCACTGGTGCAGCAGGCATTGAAAACCTTTATTCATCTAAGCTAGTAGTGGGCGGTATGGCCAAAAATGTATATTATGGTATTATTCAAATTTCAGACAGATTTAGTGTATATCACGGTATATACTTTAAAAATAAATTCATTTTAGCTGCTTACATGAACCTATTTTTGTAGGTTAACAGTGGCTTATTATTCTAGGATGTCCCTTCACGTTTTAATACAAAACATTTTTAACAACCAAATTAAATCTGAAATATTTTTATTCTGCAAAATAGCAATTTAATGGAGCAGCAGTTGCATTCTGGCACATTCTGGCTTGAAAGTAACTGCTGCACCATTTACGCATAGTAAGGAGGAAGATTTTGTGTAGTAGATTTTGTGTAGTAGATTTTGGGGTCACTAAGTCTACAAAGCTACAATTAGACCCCACCTCCATGCCAACAAACAATTTGCGAGGCATGTCTAAAGAAAGACTTTTCTTTCATCTAACCACAAACATACGCCTCTGGCTAGTGGAACTTTGACTGGAGACATATGCTATGGTTAGATGAAAGGTTTTTTCTGTTAACATTTAAGGTGCATGTGAAGTAAAAAGAAGGGTTGTTTCACAAAAAAGAACCTCATCCTCATTGTAAAGTATGGTGGAGGATCTGTGACGATTTGGGGCTGTTTTTCCTCTAAAGGAAACCTCATGGCATCATGGACTCCATGAAGTATCAGGTGATTTTAAATGAAAATCTGTCTGCCTCTGACAAAAGCCTAACACCAGGCTGACTGTATCTAAGCACCATAGTTCAGAATTGTTTACTGGTAACACTGTCTCTTACCTATTAACAAATGGCTTGGTTTGTAGAGTGGAGTCTTCTTGGTACCCCTCACTGCTACTGGAAGGAATTTCCTTTGAAAAGGAAATGGAGGCAATAGCATCCAAATTTAACTCACTGTACCAGTTAATGAGCTTGAAGTTCTCATCGTAGAATTTGACATGGCCCTTTACATCGCCTGTTACAATAAAGCTGTGTGGAAAAGGCAGATGGAGAACAAAAGAATATGCATGCTCCATTTTAGAGAAACTTACAAAGTCACAATTATTCACTGTGGTAGTGATAGAAAGCATAAATTTGAGTTTAATGCCTCTAAAAGCTCCCTCACAGAAAGATACTACATGAAATGATTATGAATGTGCTGCCTGATGCCTTAGACTTTGCTTTATAATAGTTTCAAGATAAAATCTGGGTGTAAAATGTATTTTTTAAAAATACATTCATGATGGAGATATACATGCAGGTCGTTGTAAGGTGAAATAATCCAAAAAGTTTTTTTTTTCCCAAATTTACCAATATTTTACCATTACCATTACATAAATTCTGAGTTGGTAAGTTTGTCTACAATGAACCATTTCACATCAAAACATGTTGAATGACATACATCTGAATGACTTAATTATGCAGAATTAGAAAAAATGTGGAATTCCCCTTTAACACTGTAGCTTATAAAGTGTAAGCTTTTCATAGACTACCCTTAAAAATTTGAAATTGTTTGTGATATTGATTATTTGTGTTATTTTATACACAGTCATAACTTATACAATGTAGATTTAAATACAAAGAAATTGAATTAAAAAAGGTATTTTTAGATTTAAACTTTAAATATTTTTAAGGTACACTGAATGTTAAATTCAATAAATATTAAAAAGTGATGTAATGTAATTAGTAATTTATATTATTTTCTTTGCTAAGGTTTCTGCCATGAGATTTGATCAGCCTTTACAAGGCATTCTGCATGATTATTTTATTATAACTTTATTCTTGTCACTATACAGCTCTCTCAGTGATTTTACAGTCATCTACAGCTCCATTTATCATTCTGGACACAGATAATTTTTTAAGCTTCCTAATTTCTAAGTCAGAGGTCACTAATAGGCGGACCGCAGTCCAGGTTCGGAGCCAGACGCTGTCCTGTGCGGACCTGGACCTATAACCGCTAAACTATGGAGAATTATTTAATTTCAACGGGGTGGTCCTATTTTAATCTGCGTAACTTTTCTAGCCTTTACGGTACCGCTTTAGCGGCCCGGGAAACTCCCAATCGCATGCGTTGTGAATATCACACGTGACGCTACTCAGCCAATCATATCTGTGCATTACGATGAGCACTGAGACTGGAGTGAGTGATGCACATACAGGGGAGTGACGAGGTGAGAGACAGCAGTCGGAGATGAAAGTGAGTCAGAGGGAAGTTATTTCACATGGCGAGCTCTAAAAAGAGAAAACTTGAATTGTACTTTTTATTTGATTAGACATTCAGTTGTTGACTGCATAAGATGTTGATATACCTACTAGGCTACTTCAGTACACAGTATATGGCACTGACTCATGATGCAAGGTAGACATTATGATGTTCTGGACCTTTGCTTGAGGAAATTTTCTCTAACTGAACCTTATTGAATTTTAATTAAATACCCCTGTTCTAAGTTTTTGGAACATGCAAAAATGTGCATGACTAGTAAAACAAAATCATTTACATTTCTATACAATATACATTTATCTGTAATCAAAGTGATTTTATAATACTGAAAATATTGACTGGAATTTTGAATAGTCATTCCAAATTGAACGGTTTTAGAAATATCTCATTCATACCTTTGTATGCAAAAGTTTGAACACCCCCAGTCAAAAGACGTTTTGTTGATTTTCTAAGTAAAAATAAGTTAACACCCTCTACAGGAAACAAACTTAAATACGGCATTTCTCCGCTAACTTTGGTGCACAATTTCTTAAACACTGGAAAAAAACATGAAATATAAAATGTTATAAAACTCTTGCACAGACCACATTGTGTTTTTTCCCCAATATGTTGCATTCAGCAAATAACTGTTAGTAAATGTGTATTGAAAGGTGAAAAAGTGCATTGTCTGTAGAGGATGAGTATTTTAACAAAACATGTAATTTGACTACTACAACTGTATCACACCATAAACGATTGTAAAACATATGCTCTTTGACTCAAAGAGGTGAAAAGCATGCAGGTACCTGTCACACAGAGTCAGCACAGTGATTCCATTTTTCTGCAGTGGAATGAGTTTTGTGGCTTTCATGGCTTTGATTTGATGTGTGGCAGATCCTTTCAGGGCGTCCCAGAGCACCAGGTTCCCTGCCAACGTAACTGAGAAAGCCCGAACACCACCAAAGTGGAAGACGGACTGACTCAAGGGACCCACTGTCTTGTTGAATGTCTGCGACAAAGTAAAATAAAAAGCTAAATGCCAGGTGGTAATGCACTGCTTTACTATTTCAACACAAATACAAGTCACAGAGTACAGAACATCAGTTTTATACCAATTTTATCCCTAATTTAGTCCTTGGCAATTCTACCTGCTAGCGAGGTCTCCCTCAATCACATAATGTTACAAGGCTGGAAAGGTGAAGGCTAACACATGCTTCCTCTGAGTCATGTGAAGTCAGCCACTGCATCTTTTTGAACTACTAACGTAACACTATAGAACAGCTCAACAATTTAGTGTGGCTTAGCTTTTGTTGCTCCGACATGCTTCCATTTCACAATAATAGTACAGTTGACAAGGGCAGATCTAGCACGGCACAAATTTCATGAACTAACCTATGGCAAAGGTGGCATCCCATGACAGTACCACCATTAAAGTCACTGCCCAGATAGCAATTTTGACATCTGGCATTCACTTGTACCCCAAATACCAAATGGAATGATGGCACAGGAGATGGCAGAGTGCAGTTGCCAGAACTCCCTGTTTTCTGCTATTATAGGGCCACATCTCAGCCACTTTTAAACCTCCAATCAGCTTCCCTGATGACTTCCACTTTTGTACAGTGCGACCAGGCTCAGGGAGTGGAGGCTAACATGTGCATTCCCCTCTGGCAAGTGCTTCAACGGCTGCAGCGTTGATGGGATTTCAACTCGTGATCTGATGATGGAGCAAATGCTTAGGCCAACCATTTGAGGTTGAATTTTTTTCAGTGTACTGTGCCATATATGGCCAAGATCTGAATTTAATCTACGCACCCCCACAATCCTGTTAATCCCTGTTTTAAAACATAAATGATTGTCACGTTGCTTATGTCAGCACTGGAAATCTTTGCCAGAAGTGGGCCAGATCTGTTTTGAGACATGTGGGCCATACGAGAATTTTAATATGTGGGCCACTTATGGATCACATGCAGTTTGCCAGGCTCAGTGGAAGGCAGCACTGATATATTTCTGCCAGAAGTGGCCCAGACCTGTTCTGACATATGTGGGCCAAATAAGCTTTCTTAAATTGGCCCCTTTTGGCTCATATGAAGTCAGCAGTGCCATATCTTTGGCAGAAGTGGCCCAATTTGGTTACGTCTGCTAACAGACGCCTGCATTAGCTATCATTGTACTGCATGATGAAGGAGAGGGTGGGCCACCCACAGAGCAAGGCCGATTATGCTCTGTTGGACTCCCAACCATAGATCACTGTGGCATTCCCAGGGATCAAACTCGCAATCTCCCAATGAACATTAGTTTTATATGTTTTATATAAGTTTTATATAAGTTTTATAAATCTTTGTGTGGAGCAATGAGTGAGATGGTCACTAAGTGGTGTTGTAGGCCATGGTGTGTACACTAACTTTAAAACATTATCCAGCCTTCATATGATGGCATCTTAAAGAAGGTAACTGTTTTTCATTCACAGCCAGAAGGGCATTCAGGGAGTGCTGATGTGGCTGATTAAAGGAAAAAACAAACAAATTAATGAACGCATGACAGGCAAACAGATGACCTAACTTGATAGCACAGTTATGTGCCCTAGGTAAACTTTCGCTTGGTGGTTAGCTTTCTCTCTGTAAGATTTCCAAACTCAGAGAGACACCTCAGAGGAACATGTACAGCTATACAGGTGGAAGCACCTCATCAGTAATGCATATGTATGTGCTACTCAAGATTATGACTACCTAGCTTACATCGAAAGAGGAGAATTTCAGCAAAATACAGCAACCATTTCTTGGGCCCAGGAAAGTTATTCTCAGGACATTCTTTGTATGTGCATAAAAGTGAGATTAACCTACTTAGAAAGAAAACATGGACTGTTTCTAACAGATATCTAGGCTTATTAAGCTTTTTAAGAAATGTATTAATTTGGTTAGTATTCCACATTTCCTAAAGGGATTCCTGTTATTTGGTGCGTAAAGACTACTCATGCTGTCATGTTAAGAGTTGTGCTTAGTGATTACTGCACCATTAACACAGATTTATTCCCAGTCTCTGTAGTCATCCGTACAGCTGACGATGCTTAAAGTCCATACTATAAACGGAAATATTGGAATGACAGTGGAGACTTACCTTGTCTGAAATTTCTGGGGCTGAATATTCCATAATTCCCTTATCCTAAACAGGGTATATTATTAGTAAAACAATCAATTTAGTTAACTTCTGTATGACCTGAACTCAATATACATTAGTGAATACACAGACACTATACCTGGTACTTACCCAGGTGTAAAAGAGGACTCGACTTCCACTGTTACTGAGTAGCTGAGAGCTGTCCGTAGGGTTGAATAAGATGTGATTCTAAAAAAAAGGGGTTAATGTTTATAAAGATATAAGAATGCAAACTGCGCCAGTTCACAGAACTTGTGTATATCATGTATTACTTTTTGCGCAATGTAGCTACATACCTGAAAACCGTACTCTGGGTTTATGTCAGTCTGGCATTCTGGATCTTCAGTCTCGTTTGTCCAATCCCAAATACACACTCTCTGTGATCAACAGTGACATGAACCGTTTCCAATAAAACAATCAAATATAATTTATGCACCTGCAATAACATTACATCAAAATCAAAGACCAACCTGTACTGTTCCAGTTCCAACGGTCACAAGATATCTTGAATCATTAGACAATGCTACAGCAGTGATGCCTCCCTCAGGATGGCAATCAAACATGGTGCGCACAGGGATCCTATTAAACAAATATAAAAGCAAGGGATCACTGAACAACTGATTATCACTACATTAAAGCGACAGTTCAAGAAAAAATGTAGCTGTAGTGGTGGATCAAAGTGGTGGATTGTTTTGCACTGGAGCTACAAAGCTAATGGAACTAACAAGTACTGGAAGCTTCGAACATCTGATAGCATTGTGCAAACTGTATGTTGAGTTAAGTAATATTACATAGACTTCCGTATGTGACTTCTAACATTGTATGACATGCTATTATCTTAAAAAATGGACAAAATAATGCTGCACAGCTGAAAACAGCAGTGATGTTGTAGATGTGTCCATGGATCACTAAAATATTATCCAGCTTTTATGTGGCGATATTAAAGATAGAACGGTTCTTATTAACATATTACTTGCTACTGTTATTATACAGGGAACCTGGCATGACTGTTTGACAAATCAGACAAAGGAAAAAACAGATGGCTGTTAGGCAGATAGACAGACAGACAAGCGAGCTTGCATGTTAGGTTAGCTTTCACTTGGTTGTTACCTTTTACTCGTTAATTTTCTCTAACTTGAACACAGAGACACCTAAGGGGAACACACTTGTGGTTGGTCGAGGATACTGTTTAAGTTGTCTTTTCCCAAGAGTAGGACTGCCCAGTTTACACTAAAAGAAGAGAATTTTGGTGAAATACATCACTTATCAATCGGACATTAGAAAGTCAGTCATAGGACATACTTTGTATTTGTATACTCTGCACACAGGAGCGGGGTCAACCTAATTACAGACATGAAAACCCAAAGAAAAAGGTGAGAAGTTCATAAACCATGGTGGGTCCAGAGGCACTGGGCCTCATTCACCAACCATTCCTAAGAAATTTCTTTTTAAAATCTTTTTAAAATGTAGTTTTCATGAAGATTCTGACACTCACCAATGTTTTCTTATTTGGGATTTGCTCTTATGTCAGAACAGAATCTATGCACACTCAAAACCTCAAAGGTACGAACAGTTCTGCAGTTTAAAAACACAACATGAAACTGATGTAGACTTTTTTTTTTGGGACCTTTCTCAAGAACAAATTCAAGAAAAAACTTAGGATGATACTGGTAAATGAGACCCATTGTTTCTAGGAGATCACTTTAGTAATTTTAAGCAAAAATTCTGGTGGATTCTGGTGCACTCTGAGGCTTCAATACAGGGGTAATTACTGTGGAATCATTCAGTTCAATGAGTTAAACGATTATGCAAATACAAGTCATATCCAAAAATTGAGCGAAATTCTAGGTATTTTTTGACATATTTGACAAAAACTGTTGCTTAGAATAAATGAAACCAACCTCACAGCTCAAGAAATATAGCTCTCCTTTCACTTTTTGGTAACACTCTCTTAGTTCTGATTGAGCATTAAAAATAAAATACTACATCTGTGAGTGGACCATTGGCCAAATAATCACCGTGAACTGCTGCTGTGCTATGGTTAAGAGGAGAGATTCCCAACATTAAAAATTATATAAAATCTACAAGCTTCATTTGAATGGCACATTCATCATTCAAAATGGTGAATTTTACTGAAAGCTGACAAGGTTGCATGTATTTAATAAGAAAGAAAACATGGATTAAGGTTTCCTCGGGCTTTAATAATTTGACATAAGCATTTTGTATGATGTTAATTCGTGTTAAGTTATGAACACCAGTAAGCATTGTTGCTAACATGCTTGTTAGCTACATTAGCCTGCTGCTCCAGTGCAAAAGAAGCAAACTTAAGACACCAAACATGTCTTAAAAAAAGACAGGTAAAAGGAAAACTGCAAAACCTTCTGTTTCTAAAAACATGATTTAAGAAAGTAGGACCTAAGAATATGATTTCCAGAACAGATTCAGATCAAATTTCAAATAATGATTTGTGGATGGTACCCTGTGTATGAGTCCCATACGATAAGCACACTCTCCTGGCCTTTGTCAGCTGTCACAAGCCAGCGTTTGTCCTCACTGACACACAGGCAGGAAATGGGACCGCAATGACCCTTCAGAACACAAGACAAACATGAGATTCAAAATGACTAGCCTCAAAACAGAGAGCTTGTAGTAACTGGAGTACCCTGATTAAAGTTCTAGCCATACTGTTTCCAACTAAAGCTCAATACTAAAGCCTTTAATGTAGAAAAAATAATTCCTAAAGGGGAAACATATCATGAAAAAAAAATACTTTGCTTTTAGGAAATACAAGAGTACTATGTAAACAATGTTAAATTTATAAAATGTAGCCTACTGTTCACTCTCCAGAGCAAACAGTACAGATATGAAGAAAAGCTGCAAAAACTTGGATGTCAGAACCATGAACAAGTTTCCATATTGCCCAACCAACAAAGCCCTTTACAAATGATGAAATACAAAGTTAATTCAAATTATGATTTGTAATTTAAAAATCAAAATAAAAATGAAATTAGCTTACAGCAATTCAGCCCTACCCAGTCACATTTAAGAGATAAAGAGTTTTGGTATTGCAGACAGTCTGTAGCAGAGTTGTTAGAGTGGATGTTCTGGGAAAAAAACGATTAAACGTTGTGCTGTTCCAGGCTGTCAGAAAGCAAACGCATAACTGCAGTCTTCCACAATCTACACACCCGAAAGGAGTGGCTTTAGTTTATTTTATCCAGCATCACTGAGGATGGATATGTCTGCTTTCTGAACATTGTGTGCCTCATTTCACTTATGAAGTGGTCAACCAATCAGAACAGAGTTCATTTGTATTTATCAGTCTTAAAGGCACAGTAATGAAAAACTTTCATTCTAAAGGATATAGAGAGGTTGGAAAGTGGCCATATGAAAAATCAGTTACAAGTGTTTTGGTATTTAAAACCAAACAAAAGTTAGAAGTGGACATCAAGGCAATATACAGAATATGGACCCCTAGCTACAACTTTAATATCAACCCAAAAATGCTTTAAAGAAAAACAGTCAGACGATGCTGACCTCCATAGCTTACTTTGACTGTAAGCTAGTATAAATGCTGTTATTATGAGTCAAATCAAAAGTAGTGAGATAATGCCAGCTGGTACTCCTGTTACGTCACATTTATTATTAGCTACTGCAAACCAGTTAGCAGTGTCCTGCTTTTCACTCACTGTTAACCACATTTTGGATTAAGTAGCCAACTGTTTTAAAGCTTAAAATATCTTACTTGCAAAAGATGCTGAGAGCTGGAGGTGTGGTCATATAAGACAGCTACATGGGAACAGCTGTAGAGGACAGCAAGCCGATCTTGGTCCAGGAGGCTGAAGACAGGTAAGGCCGGGTTGATCCCAAAGGCCCAATGTAGAGTCTGTAATCACACATGTTAAGTGAATTAATGTGACATGCAGTAGAGAGACTGCACAAGAGCAGAGAATAGGAATACTTATGAACTTGAGCTTTTCTGTTCCCTGAGGACTTGATATCGTAACTGTATAGTACTTTGACAATATTAGATACTGTCCATGGTTAAAACAGTTATTGTAATAAACAGTGATCCCTGGCATGCTTTCTTTTACAGGCCCATATCGCAGAGAGCTAAATGAAATAAAAGAATTTGATGTAGTGTATAAACCAGTGGCGAACCGTGACTATTAGAGCTAGGCCTTCAATTTGGCCCAGTAAAAAATCCACCTCTATTATAATGCTAACTTCTGTTAGCATTCCTATGAGATTCTAGTAGCTTGTTAGCACTTAAGCTAATGGCGATTCTATGTTTTATTTGAAGCTTGTGGTAGACATATTAGCATTTAGTCTACAGTGACTCAATCAGTAAAGTACTCTTGGTATATATGGCAACTGAAATGTACCAAAATAATAAAGAAACAAACAAACAAAATAATTTAAATGGAAATAAATAAATAACTGAGTAGCAGAAAAGTAAACATAAATAAATAAATAGATAAATAAATAAATAATAAATGAATAGCAGAAAAGCAAAAATTAATAAAGAAATGAATTTGGGACAAAAAAACAAATAATAAATAAATAAATGGCACAAAATCCAAAAAATAAAATAAATAAATGTGAGACATAAAACCAGAAATAAATAAATTAATAAATAAATCTGAGTCAGAATGCATAAATAAATGAATTTTAAATGAAGTATTTTTTATTTTTGCTTTTATTTTTTCTTTTATATAATTTTATATATTGGGCGCCGTGGACAGGGCTGCCCACCACTCCGGGCAAGTGTGCTCACTGCCCCCCAGTGTATGTGTGTTCACTAGTGTGTATGTGGCGTTTCACTGCACAGATGGGTTAAATGCAGAGGTCTAATTCCGATGTGTTCAGACACAGTTGGCTAAAAGGTTCATTTAAAAATGAAAATTTTTAAAATTTCTTTCTCCACTTTATGCTAATGCGGTGGGCAACAGTAACGTAATTCTAACTATTGGTTGAGATTGGTTTAAGATAAGATAATCCTTTTATTAATCCCACAACGGGGATTTGCAAGGTGGACCAGACTCTACTAAACTAGGAAATTCCAATATGGCAAACTGAAGACCCTGTCAGGTTCTATGAGATATCGCAGACCATTTTGGAGTGTGTCTGTGAAAATTTACGCAAATTTTGTCAAAAGTGCATTTGTGAGGTTAGGCACTGATGTTGGACAAGAAGGTCTGGCTTACAATCGACATTCCAGTTCATCCCAAAGGTGCTTAGTTTGGTTGGGTCAGGGCTCTGTGCAGACCCCTGGAGTTCCTCCATATTAACTCATCAAGCCAGGTCTCTATAGAGCTTGCTTTGTGCACAGGGGCACAGTCATGCTGGAACAAGAAGGGACCTTCCCCAAACTGCTGCCACAAAGTTGGAAGCATATAATTGTCCAAAATATCTTTGTATATGTATTGTATTTCACCACTCATCTTTCATAGTCCACAATTAATCCCTCTACCTGAAACAGACTGTAGTCATTATCCAGTTGTCAACTGTCTAATTTGCCCGCTATCAAGCGTAACTACATAGAAACTCAGCTCAGATTGTCCGCCATCACTGAAGTATTAGCAAGCATTTAAAAATCATGACAGAAGTAATTGAACACACTGCTTTCTCTATGAGTAAAAAGTAGCATGAAGGTTTAGTCTTTCTTATTTGCATACTGGAGAAAGAAACATAAATAAATAAAGAAAGAAATTAATATATACATAAATAAATGTGCAATTGCATAAATTCTAAATAAATGAAACTTATTTATTTATTTATTTACAGTTTTATGTCCCAAATGTATTTTTTCCCCCTGCTACTCATTTATTTTATTTATTTATGCTATTCACTGATTGACATGTTTCGTTCTCCGTGTGCATAGAGCTGCTGCCACTGTTTTACATGTATGATCAGACACAACAGTGCTGCTGGTGTTTTTAAACACCTCGTTGTCAGTGCTGGACTGAGAATAGTCCACCAACCAGAAATATCCAGCCAACAGCGTCCTTTGGACTGTGTCCTCTGACCACTGATGAAGGTCTAGAGGATGACTAACACAAACTGTGCAGAAACAGATGGGCTATTGTGTCTGACTTTACAAGGTGGACCAACAAGATAGATGGGTCTAATAGAGTGGACAGTGAGTGGACACAGTGTTTAAAAACTCCAGCAGCACTGCTGTGTCTGATTCACTAATACCAGCGCAATACACACACACACTAACACATCTGCGTCACTGCAGTGCTGAGAATGATCCACCACTCACATAATACTTGCTCTGTGGGGGTCCTGACCACTGAGGAACAGAGTAAAAGGGGCTAACGAAGTATGCAGAGAAAGAGGTGGACTACAGTCTGTAATTGCAGAACTACAAAGTGCACTGACACAGTCAGTGGAGCTGATAAAATGGACAGAGAGTGTAGAAACAAGGTTTTAATGTTGTGGCTGATCGGTGTATTCATATATATATTAGTCTTAAAGGCACAGTAACAAAACAGCCTGTTTATTCCTGAGTGATAACGAGAAGTTGGAAAATAAATTAGGTTAAAATGTTAAATTAACATTTTAAATAATATTAAATAACATTTTTAAATAACCTCTTTGTGATAAGTGGACCTCAGGGGGGAATACAATGCAAGAAAATAAGGATACGAGCCCTTTAATGAAATCAGGTTTTAACGCTGATGTTAAAACACTAGTTCAGGTCAAATTACCAGTGGATGAGTTTTAACACTGCTCTCCTTCTCGGTCGTGAGAATCAGTGAGGTGGCCGTGTAGACTTGTGAGTCCGCAGATGTGCCCTTAGCTGTAGGGCTGGAAAAATTACCCTCTGCTTCTCCTCCCTCAGCCTGTTCTTGCAGCTCCTCTTGCTTGTCCACTGAGCTCTGCTCTCCCACATTTCGAGTAGTTTCATCGCTTTTCTCTAAAGGGTCTCCACTCTGTGTGTTATCCGTGGTTGACATTTCTCGTAGCAAAATTAGCAACTTAGCTAACCTAACACTACGTTACTTTTCAGGAAAAAAAGTTTGGTAAGTTAGCTAGAACCGTTGCTGGCTAAATTTAACCCAACGCGTCTGTAACCCTAATGATACCGTTTACAAAGGAAAACGACAAACATATTCATTATTTTAAATTTAAAAAATAAGCCTTCGCAACTGCACCAGCTAACAGCAACAAACCGTCAGTGCCAAAGCGTCGCTACTGTTGCTAAGATACGGTTTAGGGAGGGAGCGCTTTCTCATACGGGCTTTTCATATTTAACAGGCTAACTCACACAGTCCTGGAGTAACGTTAACAATTTTAAGTTATCATTTTCACATCATTTATATTTTAATTGTGAGATCGTTAGTCGTAGTTAGTCAGTGTTTTTCTCACAAAAAGATTTTCTCCCAAAATATGGCTCCTTATTTAGACATTTATGAACTGTTCAAGCCGATGGAGCGCAGCACGTGACCTCTGGTTACTAACTTTAAAGAGCCTGTATGTTACATTTTTTCCTGTATTTTATTTCCCCCAAGTCCACTTACGACATGTGTGTTTTTGTATACAAAAAAATCAACAAATCCGTGGACTAGAAAACGCCTATATATTTGTATTTAATTTTAAATAACATTTTGTTATAAACATGAACTGGCCAAGCATCAACTTGTTGGGGAGGGGGTGGGAGTGTACATTACGTTGCAACACAATGTGAAATTGGTTAATATTAATAGAAAATCAAAATAATTTCATCTTGTGTTTGACATTTAAGTCTCAGAATTAAACAGGCTGTTTTTGTTACTATACCTTTACAACTGATATATGCAAATTAAAAAATATACCTGCCCTGTATTGTGCCTCATTCAAAAAGCAGTCTGGGCTGAAACACTTTGAAGGAGCAGAGCTAAACTTATGTAGACAGAATTTATACAAATATCTTGGTTTCTGTGACATCACAAAACCAATGAATGAAAATGGGCTGCTTTTATTTTTGCTTTATTTCCACATATGGACTGTGTGTACTGGAGAATGAATGGCATGTTTTGAAACTTTAACACACCCTTTCATTAAGAAAAAAATGTGAGAAAATTTGGATTTCCATGCTATGCGCTATTTAAGATGCCTCCTCTGTAGATACAATCGAACAGTTCAATGAAACTTCCTTTTCTGTCTGCTTTCCTTGCTTTTACCTGATCTGCAGTCCATGGTCGGACTAAACACATAGCATGTTGATCCACATGGAACCAGATCAAGCAAAATCAAGAAAAGCAAATATAAAAGGAAGATTCATTCGACTATACAGACGAAGCCTTTTTTGTATGTAGTAGCCTTAACTATTTGGCAATGCAGACATTAAGGTGTCTCAATATCAATTATTCTACTTCCCTGGATTGCGCCTTAGTGATATCCCACAGTGAACTGTAAAATAAACCCAAGAGACCTTGAGGGTGTTCAGTTTAAAATTGTGCATCTAGAATGGGCTCATGCATCTCACAGGCTATACATGTACTGTACCCAATAAAATGATGGTAGCAGTTGTGCTATTTGTGTAAATGACCTAACTTGCTTTGCTACAGCAGCTCAATATATATTACAAGCATAATGTAGCTCAATGACAAGTTATATTAATAATCAAATGAATTTTTACTCACATGTGAATATCTTGTTCTCCACCATGGTGGTCATTTAACTTGATTGGCCCTTCCCTTTATCTGGAATTTTGGGTATGTTGAGTCCAAAATGAGAAACGGAACACTTTTTAAGGCCACACGTTCTTTGCAGGCATGCACAATTGAGGACCACAGGACTGTGGTCAAATAGACATGGCTATTTTCTAGGGTGCCCCAATGTTCAAATGATCCTAGTTTCCTAGAATGTTCTTCCCCTAATGATATATGAACTCAAAATGTAGGGGATGGACGTGTCCTAGGCTGTATCCAAAACTGCATACTAACATACTATACATACCACATTTCTGAAAGCGCTACTACTGGTGGTGCGTTATTTTGAAATACTATTTAGTATAGTAGCATGCGGTTTTAGACGCAGCCCTAGTGTACTTTAGATTGCACCCCAAACCAAACCAACAACAAAACATTATTTTAATTTGCGTATTTCATTATTTTAGATGTTGAAATATGTAATATTTTGTCAGCCTTTTGTTACACTGCTTGCCAGTCAGGAACATTTTTAACTTTAATGTACATCGGGCTGTTCAATCTTATCTGCATAAGACCAGTGTGTATTCAAAAGAAATAAGTTCTAGTAGTTTCCTCACTGAGTTGCGAAGGCTGGCAAACAAGGGCTTAATATTTAATATTAACTTTCCATAATATTTTTGCAGGGTCTCAATGATTTCTTTTTAAAGAAAAACTGCACTGCTTTTCCAAAAAATTCTCCCTAACTGGTCATGATGTAAACAAATTCATTCAGAATGGTTTCACAGTGGTTCTGATAGGAACCAGACATCTAAACTAACACTTTACTGCCCCTAAAAGCTATATTGCAAAGTTACTAGCTACATAAAATGGTCATGAATACACTAACTGCTTCATGAGACATTATTTTATGATAGTCTTAAGAAAAGGTTTCGGTCTAAAGTATATATATGTTTAAATTCACTCATGGTGGAGGGTTAGAAATAGACCCGAATAGACCCCTATTTTATAATTATCAACATCACATGTAAAATGTATAGGTTCACTGGTCATTTTGGATACTGAATAAAATACATTCACCCTGGTTCCTATCACCACCATGTGAGTTAGTAAGTTTCTCTTCAGTGAAACATTTCACATCAAACCCCTCTGAATTCATATATTATATATTTAGAGTTTATATATATATATATATATATACACACACACACACACACACACACACACACACACACACACACACATATATATATATATATATATATATATAGCGCACTTCGCATTTAGCTCAAACATGCTTTACAAACAGGTGATAAAGCTTAACAGTAACAGAAGAAATTATGAGTATTAAGTTTAAATCATATAAGAAAATGACACAGATCTAATTAAAAACATAAATACCAAAAGACACTGTTTTAATTAAACACTAAATTAAAGGGATACATTTTAAAATGTTTCTCAGAAGTGTACACTGAACTTGACTGTCTAAAAAAAGGTGGAATCAAGTTCCACAGTTTAGAAGCATAATGTCTTTCTTTACATCTCAACCACTGAAGTATACAGAAGCACCAGAATTCCCCTGAAATAAAATCATTCATGATAACAACAAAAATATCTGTTGAATGTTTATTAATATTCCAGTGTTGTGGAAGTAAGTTCTTGAGAAGTTTGTGGATTTTATTTTCATGCCATTCAATACACTAAATACAAATGACTGTAGGGCTGAAATGCACCAATGTAGGGTCAATGTAATTACTAATTTGAATATAAACCCATCTAAACACATTCTGTTAAAAAATGCAGAATGTGTTTAGCCACCCAGTGACAAAAAGTGCTGAGGTTGGCCTGCTGATGACCCTCGGTTAACCCTTTGGTCTGAATCATCCTTCAGTGTCCTGATCATGGTCATCTGCGAAGAGGCACTATGTTGCATCTGTTGAGGAAAATATAAACAAACAAACAAAAGCAAAACACTTAAGCCAACTGCCTAAGCCATATTAACAGTAGGCTGTGAATAACTTACAGTCACTTTCATGTATTAATATTAAAAATCTTAACATATAAAAACTCTTGGAAAGAAAAGTAAATAGTGACCTAAAGGGACACTCTGGCCAAAATGAAAAATGTAACCATTCTTACTCATACGCTACAGTGGTGTCACAGTATTCCCTAGAGCGTGATTTTCCTAGAGTCTAGGAAATCCCCCTTCTGATGATGATCTTGAAGGTGGGAGGAACTTTGGAATTTTTTGGCAGGCTATGTTAATGTTTTATGTCTTACTTTTTTGCAAGCTGGTGAATGCAGAAGGAAGGTACATGCTAGGAAGTCGAATATCTCATGGCAACTGTATAACTGACTTCAAATCATCATTACAATGGTCAGAATGGCCCATACAACAGATTATTTACTACACTCCATTCTTCCTTTGAATTGTGGTTGTATTTATTAGCCTATAGTTCAGTGGCTAGAATAGCAGCCAGGACTGGTTAACACCACAGGGATTCCCCACTGCTTGTATGATGTATTAGTTTAAGGCATGCCAGGTATTTTAGTGAGAGAACACGGACGAAAGACAACATGAAAACAATATAAAATTGTGAATACTGTCAAATCGATGGGTCTGAGGGAAATAATGATGCACAACACAATACTGCATAATACGACAAACATATTAAACTGTAGTTTTATGCCAGAATGTCAGTTTAAGGCACATGTACTATGTGCTGTTACTAAAATGCAAGCCATTACCCCAGGAGACCTCTTCCAGACCAACGCTGTGGAGTCAAGCTAAGATTAACTTTCTGTCCATTCCGAACCACTGCAATGCTTACAGATTTCTAAAAGGCAAATGAAAAACCATATTAATACAATGCCTTTCAAAAGGAACTTCATTGGAACTTGAACTGTGAAAAGGGAATACCATTCTGCAGCATTACTTTCTCCCCTCATCACTTACCCCCTCACAGTGCTGGACCACAGAAGCAATATTTTGCAAGTTCTGGAAGTTGCTTGTGTTGACAGAACCAAACACAATGATCTCATCACCAATGTGTAAGCCCTGGAAAAAATGGTAAACATGACCCAATTTAGTCCAGTTTTCCTACAAAGAGACCTGTCCCATGCTAGTAATGACAAATCCAACTTTTTATGCTTTCAAGTGAAACAGTAACCATATCAACAAAACACTCTAAATATTGATTACCAAATTATGTTTTTATTTTATAACCATTTATTACCATGTTATAACACCTGTCAAGATGTACACAGTGCTGTAAAAAAAAACTGACCCTAGACTTAGAATTTGATGTCAGTGTTGAGGTAGTCAAATCAGCTAATGATATAAACTTAGTGTGCTACGTAATTACATAAATAATAATTGATAAATATGTCTAACACTGTGGTTTAAAGGGGAATTCCAACAATTGCTCAAAATTTCTGCATAATTAAATGTTTAAGATGTAAACAAAGTCATTCAGAGTGGTTTGGTGTGAAACATTCAGTCCTAGAAAAACTTACCGAGTCAGAATTGTTCACAG